GATTTGTTTGACGCGCTAAGGTGATGATCTTTGGGTTGATCTGGTTTCTCAATATCAACAGTCTTATTAATGTTAACGTTTCCTTGTGTGAAACTACCATTCTTGTATACATGTAAGGAGTATATGTACATGTAGTTACCCTGGTGCATACATCTTTGATGCTTGATCTAGAACGACTGGAGATAGGTACTATAGGAGGTACTATAATTAAAAGTAATATTAGGAGATAAAAAGTTAGTCATAGGTTATAGGAGGCCCTAAAGGGAATAAATGCTTTCTTTTAATCGCATATGATCCATCATATCAATCACTGTTTCTTCAAGGGTACATTTATTTAGAGATAATTTCCTGCCCAATAAGAATATTGAAATTGCACTCAACACTGTTCACTTTCACCATTCATGAGCCATCTTGTCATGTTTGAAGTAGGCTTTGACAGGTATATGCTAGATCAAGTAGATAGAAGAAAGAAAAAGCCCCATATCAAAAGAAGAGAGACGAAAAATCTTGTAAGGAAAGATAGTAATATCAACAGTCAAACCATAAGCCCAGGGGAGTAAATAAGTAATCATAAGGGGGTACAGCAGTCGGTCTAAAACAGTCTTAATCAGTGTTGAACAGTCAAAAGATAACCTTCCAATGGGAAAACGGTGGTAGTCAAAGATAGAAAGACAGAAAATGAAATCAAAGTGTAGATAAAAGATAGAAAAAAAAAGAAAATGCCAGTACCAATTAATTAGTGCCCTGGGAACCAGTTACATGAGAGTCAGTTACCAGCGCATACTGATCACGAAATTGGTCATCAAATCCATGTAAAGTACCCTCGAGACATAAATCATCCTCACTCTCAGGAATATACAATCTGCTTGACATCCCAGGGTGAGGGAAACTAGCATAGCAATTGGAGTAATCCTTAATCGGGATAGGTTCAAAGCAGTCGTGGTTGAGGGCGTTCTGAATGTTCGAGTTCTGTTCACTAGCTAGACTATAGTCTATCATTTGCTCCTCGACCCCATCAGGCGATGCTATATTCTCATAATGAAAAACAGGTGTTTGTGAAACTGTCGTTTCCTCTTCACACAGTGGCTGTCCATGATCCCCCGAGCGATTCTTTACTGTCTGGGTGGTCCATTTCCTTGTCGACTTACGCCTGCGCCTCCCTGCACCACTCCTCGGAAACATTTCATCTGCTGTTCTCTTTTTGCTTCCTGGAGGACTCTTTCTGTACCGCGTTGTCGATTTGACGCCGCCTTTGATTGCTTCGTCAGACAGAACCCATATATACCCTTTCCCTGGATCATCCGGTGGGCGATCCTGTTTTAGAAATGCCTATTGTACAATTAGAAAAAAAATTTCTTTCATAATGAAATTGAAATTGGGTACTTACCCCATTCATCGATAGATTGTGTCGAATCGAATTCATCCACCCACGGCCCTTGACTCTCTTGAACCGTGGTATCTTCTCTCTGAAGTAGTCGTATATGTCTGCAAGTACCATCTTCTTTTCAGGAGAGCTCATGAGGGCGCGGTGAATTAAAACGGCATATGGCGCAGTTTTATCAGTATCAGTGTCGCTGTAAATGGGGACGACTGGTGTGGCATCCAAGAAATGCCCCCTAAAGCTGTTCAATTCGGATTCTGTGCCCTTTTGAAGGGCCTGGCTACCCACTCGGAGGTTTCTACTATCCCCTATCTCTCCCAAGTCGAGATCTTGCGGGTCTTCATCGATCTCGGTGTCCTGGGACATAAAGTCATCGGTAGCAGATGGCTGTTCAGTTACCATACTTGACTCGTATACTTCCGTAATACTGGTTTCGGGATATTCCTCCTCCTGTTTATTGGGTGACTGGTATGGTGTTGAAACGGGGCTGTCAAAGGATATGGAAAGGAAACTAGGAATGGAAGACGACGATGTTAAAACGAAGTTATTTGGCGGGAAATAAGCCTCCTTCGAAGGATTATTTTGGGTTTGGTGTGATCCACACAAAGACGATGGAAGTTGGATATATTCCTCTTCTACATCGACCAGCTTTGAAGCGGTGATATTGGGTCCGTACTCTGAAACAGGAGATATTGGGTGTGGGGGCATCTTGTAATCGTCATATTGGCTGCAAGAAGTTGAAGAAGAAGATGGTTGCAGTATTTGGTTGATCTGATATTGGTAGGGTATTCGCGGTTCGAGAAAAGTCTGTGTGGAGTTGGGGTTATATAGGTGACTATGGAACCCACCATCATGGTGTGTATTATTGACTATATGCTGCGGACAGTATTGCGATCCTAATCCTATACCTAGCGAGGCGGAGAGGGCTGGCCGAAAACCGCAGACGGCGCAGGAAGAACCTTCTGAATCATCGAAATCCCAGTCCGACATGGTAGGGAGGGCTCCCTCGACGGTATCCATTTCGTACTTGATCATTGGGCCGTAGGAGCTGGAGGTGGTCATATCTGTGAGTGAAATAGCTGGATACAGATATCGATCTTGATATTGAGTGTTTTTTTTTTGAATTCACTAGAGCGTCAAGCTCTTACCCCTGCTGGATATTTAAGAGGGGAATCGAAGCTTCTTATTAAGAGTCAGCTGCTCTCTTCTTGCCAACTCAGAACAATTTGCTTTGCCAGCTCTCGAACGGAAACGAACATCACTGCAGAATCAGGGAAGATAAGATGTGTAGATGACAGACTGACCTGGAGGAGTGAGTATTATAGTTGCTGAGGCTATGTAGGTAACTCTGTACTACATTAATGGCTAGATTTTTTTAGAAGGGGCCATCAACAAAGGTCTCTAGAGAACTTAAGTAAAATAAAATAAAAATAAAAATGAAATAAATTTTTTAGCTTGGGCTGCGGAGAGAAAAGGTCTTGTGGTTTATGGGCGCACATACAAGTACAATTAGGGTAGGATGAAATGCTACTACAAGCCTGCAGACTAGAGGGAAAGATTAGGGTGCAAGCAGATGGACTTTCGGGCAGTTGCAGCACACCTAAAAAGAAAGTAATATCAAATATTGGAAGATGGTCGATTTAGAGGTGGCTTGGTTACATTTGGCAAGTATATGTGTTTTAAGTCATAGATCAAATCGCCCCAGTGATGCCGGAAGCATGGGTATCGATCGTGGATCTCTATCATAGTACAAACCTACCAGAGATGGTTCAATAACGTCATGCAGTATAGATCGATCTCTTTTTTAATTATCAGTTATCAATATCACAAATATCAATGATACATGTATTATTGTAACGCCTGCTACCAGAGTATCATCACTAGGGTGAAAGAACCATTAGTGCACAGTGCTGGTGTGGGAGAAAATAATCGTTACTAGTACTGATTAGCTCATGCAGGCACTTAACTGATTAGAGTGTCGCCACGTTTTCCCCAGGCACACTTTGAGTAGCATTGAATAACACAATATGAGCCCTAAGTATGTACTCTATCCGCATTGAGGCCCTTTAATTCCGTGGATCCATTGGGTGGGATAAAGTGGGAATGCACGTGCTGCATGTTGGTATGTACTTTCTTGGAGAACAAAGAACCCCTCCCAGCTAACGGGAGTTTGCATTGTAGCTCAGCCTCCCCCTCCCTATTCGTCACATTTGTCATTACATACTCGTGGGATTAGAACCGTGCAAACGGACATATCCAGCCGTTCAATTTTGACATCCGGGCTTGCGGGAAGGTGGGTGTTCGGCCAACTTACATACATGTATGATCTTCCTCACTAGCTCAATAATAATCTCGGTCCTCTTCTAGTTCTCTCAGGTCTGCAACGGTCGGTATGGCAGCGGCAGCGGTATCTCCAGTCCGTGAGTACGGAGACATGTCGACAGTGATGGCGGTAAGTTGGGATAATCGTGGCTATCCGTGCATTAGCCAGGGAATGCGGCACCCTAATGGCAAATACCCCTAACCAGACCGTTTAATTGGTTATCTGTCCGTTATCACGAACCATTTACGCTCACATAACTGTTTCGTAGAACTCGTATAGTTTGCAGAATAACTGGTTTCAGTTATCTTGATATCAATTTAGGTTGTTATGGTTCTAGGAGGAGATACTTCAACATTTAATAAATTATTTGCTATCAATGATATCATAACCACTGAAGAGGTTCTCACTTGTATCACAATACTATGTAACAATTCCGTGATCCAGGTTCGTTTCATATCCTAGCCCCAATTTTGATATGCAGCCCTTCATTCAATTACATGTAGTACGGCAACTATTGGGCTGCTTAGTGGCAACTCGAATTTTCTGTCGTTTTCCCAAGGGAAGAAATCACATTTCTATCCGGCTGAACTGCATCATGGCTAACGAACTCGGTGGTGGTGGCCATTAGGATTCAACTTATTATAGTTGAACGTTGCAGCTCAGATCGACTTTGAAGTCGTCAAATTTTTACTTTCCTAATACATAGCGGGGTCACTAATTCATAGCGTAGAAGGTATAAGTATGCATGTAACGAGATCAAATCGATCAACCTTAAACTTAGAGCTAAGCCTGAGAATTGAAAAAGCATACAAACTTGGGCAGTGTCTAGCCCTAGTCCCGTTCTAACCAATCTCTTCGACACTATCGGGACGAGACGGCTGTATTTCTTGCAGCGGGTTCCAGTTTTTAGTTGTTTGTGACCCATGGGAATTTTGTGGCGTTCAATCATAAAAAGCCCGATTGAATTCTTTCAATTGCCTGGAGCCGAAAGCCAAGGTAACACAAGACATTAGCTAGAGTAGTCCTTTCAGCTAGTCTAGGGTCCGGAACATGGACGCCACAGTTAGACGCCTTAGACAACATAATGTGATTAATGTGAGTATAATAACTTAGGTTTTTAACTGTTCTGTCACGTCACGGCCCGCACGGTCCGTGTTATGCACAGTTCGTTCAATCTTGAATTAAGTACATTTTACCAGAACTTTTAAAACCGATTCCCGTGGATTATGTGTACTTGTGCTCATAGTGTGCTTCACAGATAATAAGCAAGCTATTATTGTTGTGGGTAAAAACACTTCAATAAATTTGTCTTCTGATCTCCCGATCAAGGTATTCCAGATTTGTAGCTCCATCAATACTAAATCCTCATATCAGCGTTTGTAAAAAGTTTTTTTTTGAAATATTTTGAACTCATACGCTTCGACGTTTTTGTTAAAGACCGAATATGCGCTCTTTTCCCCGTCTTTTCTGGTCCCAGTATTCACATAGCACATCCATAAAATTCCTGGTTTCCGTTCATTTAGTAGTCGTTCGACTTTTCCTCAACGCGGCAAGTATACACTTCAAGCCTACATACTACTCCCGAGTGGCCGATGCTAAATATAAATAAGAGTTAGACGAACCTATGCAGAACATAAACTGCCCGTACCCGTAGAACGCAGCGATAGCTTGAAGTAACAGATACAGATGGAACTGCCGAGATGCGCGCAAAGAAGTTATTGCCCGTTGGAAAAGATGCGCGGGTGATCGATCAGCTAGCTCTTTTCTATAGCCAGCAAGATCAAGATCCGCCTTCTTGATGTCGTACGGTTTCTTCACCCGTTTTGGTTTATTTTGTTCTTTCTTCTGCATCGCGTGTATGTTAGGGGGCTAGGAGACGATGGGGTGAGGTCAAAACAAGCATATGTCAGAGCGTTGGGAGTGCTGACTAACTCGGGCGTACGCCTATCACAGTTTATCACTCGGGACACACACATTGCCGTTGGCCGTATGTAAGACATGCTCAAATATGCACCTACCTGCCAAACAATTGAGATGAGAGCTACATGTAGTCAAGCCAGGGATTCGGCCAGACCCTGGACTAGCCTCATCGACTAAGACCACGGCTTCTAACACATCTGGGAACTCTGCCCTTCCTTTTTTTTCTTTTCTTTTCTTCCTCCTACATATCCCTAGCCTATGGTTGAATGCATAAATATGCCACTCTTTTTTTCTTTTTTTAAGTTCTAGAGTACATTCTCATATCATCCAATCAGGCCCAGAGTAACCCTGATCCATCCCCTTCTCCTCATGCCGGTGATAACGAATAGGACACAGAAGCGTTCATCCGAAAGTTAACTAATACATAAACCAGTAGATACTCTCTATGGACCACCATTACCCCACTTCATCCTCCTCGGCAGATCTAGATTGACTAGTAGGAGATGGGTAGAAAACAGGCAAGAAGGTTTCCTGCATCACCTTTCCCATCTTCGTTCATCCGCATGGACTATATGGCCAGCCAGCAAGGAGATCTGAATTCACCTTCTTCGGCGATCATATAATTCTTAAGCCGCCATAGGTGGTATTTTCCACGCCGGTTACTACTCTTAGATCGATCTCAAGATCAAATTATAAGGATCCCGTGGGGCATAGTATAGTCAGTCAGCCAGTCAGCAGTAGCAGTGTCTGTCCATCCATCCATGGGAGGATTTCCGCCCGTCTGGGACCGGAGACAGCGCAATAAATACAATTATTCCAGCCAGTTAAACGGAAAGCCACATTTATTGCGTGCGTGCGTTCGTCGAATACAATTCTGCCAGCAAATCGGCTTACAACCTGCAGTTTCCCTCACGTGTACGATTCTATGGAGATGGATCGGGATACATAGAATGCACGTTACCTAGCTGCTGCTACCTATTCTTCCTTGCTCTGCCCTGTTTTGCCTTGTACATCACATCAGGGCACACACACATCAATAATTCCCTCAAAAATACCGTACCTGCCTGCAGACTTTCGAGCAAGCTCACTCTTAATCTCTATTTCGCTCTATCTCCTAACAGGAACTACTGCGGATTATTAGTACTCTTCAAGAAAGAGCAAGCATCATCAGCAGCGCAGCAGTAGAAGAAGAAGAAGAAAAAGAAGAAGGAAAAGAAGAAGAAGCCTTTCTCCTCTACACCTTCCACCCTCCCCAATCCCAGCTAAAATTTCACTGTCTGCAACTACCCTCACCCACAGCAGCGTACTCTCACAAATAAGCACAGGCACGAGTACAGTAAAGAGAAGAAATGTGTCAATACGACGTTTTCCACCATATCTCGCCCTGCAACACCTTCATATATTATCTCACCCATCTCTGTCGCCGTGCCAAAGGGCCAGGGCATCGATGTATGGTAGTTAATCTGAGACAGAAACACGTTAGACAAGGCAGTCCCTGCGGGCACCCGTCCGCCTGTGATTGGTGCAGGTACATGCCTTTCGGCGACGGAGGAGAGCTCTGGAACGAAGCGAAATCTACACCATATGGCTATGGCGCCGGAGCAGTAGCAGGATTCCCGCCGCTGATCATCGATCCGGCAGGACTGCCTATACCCATACCCACCATACCCGCTCAGCTGGTACAGACGGGATCCGGAGTGGGTGCGGGACCCGTGGAATATGATGGAACCACTTATTACGTTTCGCCAGAGGAGTTTCAGAGGCGTATATGGCCTGAGATCCAGGAGCGTAAGAGGAAGAAGGCTGCTAAAAGGCATCTGAGCATGCTTGAGGCTGCAAACCGCACCCCTACTATTGGAGAGTCAATGATCGCCGTCACTAGCTCTACCTCTCCTCAACCACTGGAAATAACGGCTCCAGTGCGGGTGGGAGCAACGCACTGCTTGAACCCGGAAGCAAAAGAATACCAGCCCAGACAGCGTGCGCTTGAAGAGAGGGGGCTCCTCTCGTTTCAAGCTTTACCATACGCACAATGGAAGTTCTATGAAGGGCCTGCCCAACAAGGCAAGCCAATGATGGCTGTGAGCTTTGGACCTCTACCAGATTTGAATGGTGGTACTATAGCACCTTATTATACCCAGGATTTATACAACTACAATTATATTCAACCTCAATGGTCGGCAGATTGGGGTTATTTTGAGCCTACCTACTAATACTTGGTCAACTACATAATATGGATTGCAATGGACCTTTGGATATCTAGCTGGTATAATCTGTTTGCCACCGCATCTATTGTGGACACTTTTACTTGTAACGCACTTGGTTGTTATTTTTCTCTTTTTTCTCTCTCTTTTTTTCCCTTCACTTTTCAATTTTTTGACTTTTTATTGGGAGATGGTATACATGTGGGGGGGGTTCTAATTACAGGTCGATATGAAGGGACTGAATAATGTAACTACCTACTTTACACACACAATAGTATTTGTACCTCGATTCTTCTCTTTTTTTTTTTTTGTTGATCATTGATTATTAATTCGACTTGTTCCCTTTGTGTAATTTACCACAACCGGCGACTACTCTGCATGCTGTATGTATGTCAATCTTAAGAGGCGTTGCCAAGAAACCCGCATTATTACTTTGATGCACAATATTGCTTTTGTTGAATAGATACACATGTATCCAGTTGAGAATACCATATAAGCTTGGTCTCATTCTCATGTGGCCATCAAGTGTTGCGATGTGCACGCTAGCCAAAGGCTAATGCAACCTCAACTTAGCTCCAGTCACAGATTCTCACTCGGTCATATTGTTCCCCCACATCATTATTATTCAATTCTAAAGACGAGCCCAAAAACACAAAACACAGCTATCTACAAAGCGCAAAGCACATATATTCTATCTACAACCCACTAAACCCCGCCGCCACAGCGCCCACCACCGCCGCAACGCCCCACACAAGCGCACTTTCCCCCCTCAGCATCACCGCCGCGCCCTCCTCCGTGCTATTCCCGCTGGCACTCCCACTCCCACTCCCACTCCCACTCCCACTCCCACTGCTGCTTCCACTTCCACCGGAGCCAGAAGTACTGTTCCCGCCGTCTATCTCGGCAAGGAACGGATACTTGCTTGTGTCGAGGCCGGGGCAGAGCGTGGTGGCGTTGGCCTGGTCCGAGAAGTCGGCCTCGGCGACGGTGGGACCGACAATATCGAGCATCCACAGGTTCTGCTGCGTGGTGCAGCTGCTGTTGCAGTATGCCTTTGCGGCGTCGGAGGTGGGGTCGGTGATATTTGTGATGTCCTCGCTGGGGCCTGCGATGAAGGGGTCGGTGGAGGGGAGGAGGTAGCAGAATGTGTCTGTGGGACTGTGGGATTGTTAGTTTTTATGCTAGAGGGGGAGAGAAGGGGGGGGGGTGGGGGTACTGACAGGTCCTTAAGACACCCGGCATAGTAGAGATACTCCACCATGTACATACTCTCGTTCAAAAAGCTACTGAGGAAGAACTGACCCCTCTCGCTCCCCTCCCACTTTGTCGCCGCATCCGTCGACCGCGTCAGGTCGACTGTGTTAGCGGCAGCGACGTCCTCGTCGGTACACGCATCGCGCAGGTCGTCGCGCCACGACTCGAGCCCCGCGATGCACTCGGGCGCGCACAGCTCGGAGAGCACGGGGAGGTTGAAGACGTCGGCCTCGGAGAGGGAGCTGGAGCCTTGGAACTTGAGCAGCCAGTCGGAGCAGGGGATGGGGGCGGCCCAGGCGGCCGTGCAGGCGGAGGTCAGCGGCGCGCTGGGCCGGATGATGGCGTTCCAGTACATCTCGTCGTCGTCGGATTCGAGGCTGCTGTTGAAGGAGATGGTGGCCTGGACGAGGCCGACGGCGAGTGCGAGGAGGGTGGTCTGGGAGAAGCGCATTGTGATGGTTGATGGTAGGGTGTACTAGGGAGGGACTGGTATTAATTACGACTACTGCTAATTCTAGTAAATGGTGATATGCTGTGAAGAAGAAGAAGAAGAAGAAGAAGTGCTGTAGATGCCGCTGGGCCTGGAAAAGTTATCACAGTGGTACTCCCTCTGTCTTCTTATACACCCCTTCCCCCCGCTTCCTATAATTTCCTCTCTTTCTTATTTCTTATTTTTCTCCCCAATCTATTTTCAGTCCTCCTCCTCTCAATTAACCCCTAACTCAACCCCCCCCCCCCCCCCCAATTCATGCCAGTGCTTTTCTCTCCAACTGAGCCACCATATGCGTCTGTACCACGCTGCGCCGTATTATTAATAAAAATAAGCTTGATCCGCACCACATCCAGCGCCTTGGCAGCGGCGATAGTAGCTAGCCCTTCCTAGTTCTCTAGTAGACTCCTGTGTGTGATTGGCTGGATTGACGTGCTTTGTTAGCCAGTAGGGTGTGTTCGGGCGGTGAGTCAAATGGTAGGTATGTATATGTATTGACAGAGCCCGCCTATAGCTAGCTAGCTGCAAGTAAGAAGTCAAATCTTATTTCCATCCATGGCCAGGGCCCGTGGGGCAATGCTTGTTTTATGATCAGTGCAGTACAGCAGGCAGTTTAATAGGGACCGTTAGTCTACAAATATTAGCGAGCGAGGGATTATCCCTAGCTGGCCCAGTGCAAATAGTTGGTTAGATTAGTTGCGCGGCCCAAGTAGGTAGGTGGGTATCTAAAACGTTAATATTGCATGACCTGATCTCGTCCCGTTTAGGAGCTCGGCATATAACACGCGTTGGATAAAGCGGGCCCATATAGCTATCGCGGTCTCGGGGGTGCGGGATTGGGTTCGGAGTTAATACTTGGTTCGGGATTGGCTCTAGAATTGGGGATTGGCGAATTGGAGAATTGGGGGACTGGAAGATTGGAATGTTGGGGGATTTGGGGATTGTTGCTACCACCTACTACTAAGCTGGGCTGTGTGGGCATCATCCCACCCCAGCGGTTGGATGACAGCCGCCACAATAGTACTTCAGTATTAACTTAACAGTAGTAGCAGTAACAGTAGCACCGTCACAGACTAACAGACAGCGCCAATTCCCTCTCTACTCTCGTCCATGCTCCCCGACTGAAATTAAGCACCCTTACCCTGCCAGACCCCTGACACTCTCCACTCCCATGCCCAAGACCAGGATCAGCGCCTCACGAAACATCACTCGACACCTCAACCAATGACAGCCCGGGGTTATGATATAATAGAGATAGAGCAGCTACATGTAGTTAACATGTAACCGGCCCCTCTTTCTTTCTCTTCTCTTAATTCTTATCCTTCCTATCAGCTAGGTACCGTACAGCAATAAACAATATGACATAAGCGTCAGTCCTTCTTTCTTCTACCCATAAAAAAATCCACAGCAGCAATAACGGCCAAAGGTACAATACAATACAAAAGCAGCCATCAAGAAAACACACAATGCACAAAAACTAAAGATTACAGTACCGGGAGGGTACGGGGAAGGGGAGAGGAGGGGTGAAAGGGGTGAAAGGGGTGAAAGGGGACTATTATCTCAGCCTCTTTCTCCCCCGCCCCACCCGCCTTCACACCACCAACCACCCCCGGAGGACGCACGCACGTACGACGGGCAATAAAAAAAATGGACAATAGAAAAAAAAAGGCGAGTTATAAAACACACGGCACCTCCGCAATAAACCACTCCACTACTATGCACGCACACACCGTCTACAAAGCAACAGCGCCGACGAAAACAGCGGCCATAAGGGCCACCACACCACCGATCCTAACTCTATCTGCTCCGGATCCCTGTGCCTGCTGCACAAAATCCGACGACCCACTTGCGGCGGTCTCGCTGCTGGTCGACGCCGACCCAGTGGTGGTGGTCTCCTCCTCACCCCTCAAACCGTTCGCGCCGGTACCGGCACCAGTCAATCCGGGGATGGTCTCGACATCGGTTGCGCTCGGCGATGCCCCACTGCTGGTCTTTGATGCCGGGAGTGCGGCGGTCATGTTTTTGCCGGTGCCGAGGAAGCTCTTCATGACGGTGCCCTTGTCGGTCATGACGACGTTGCTCTCGTAGCCGGCGGCGTCGTCGTAGATGTAGGAGACGGAGCCGCTTCCACTCTTCTTCGCATCTGAGGGGGGGTCGTAGCACTCAATCTTGACCTCCTTGAAGGTCACGTAGTAGTAGCCGTTGTCCTTGATGTCCTGTGAGTCCCAGTCAATCTCACCACCGGCCCAAGCAATGGTTCCGGGAGCGTTGGAGGCAAGACCACCGGGCCAGAGGGAGAGCTGCACGCGCGAGGGGGTCTGGGGGTAGTTGTACTGCTTGGTGGTGGAGTTGTAGGTATCGGATTTCTTGAGCACACGACCGACCTGGCCGTCGACGGACCAGGTAACGGTATCGGGGGTCCAGTCGACCTCGTAGGTGTGGAAGTTGTTGTAGGTGTCCTCCGAGAGAGAGATGTTCCCACCATTTGTGTCTGCGCCCTATCAGCAAACCATCCCACCTCCACAGCAAACCAAAGCCCAATCCCGGAACAGATAAATACTCACAATTCGGTACTCCCTGCCAGTAAAAGTTTGTCTGCGTTGTATCCAGATCCACACCAATCCACTCATAATCAATCTCGTCCTTCATATCACTCAACAAGATAAACGCCGACACCACGCCCTTGCCCCTGCTCGTCTTGAGCGTCGCCGAGATCTTGCCGTACCACACATAGTTCGTACTTGCTAGGACTGTTCCTACAGTGTCGGGCGCCATTGTCAGTAGCAGCTGGTTGTCGTAGATGGTAGGCTCGCCGTCCGCAACCCAGTCCGCCTTGCTCGGGTCGCCGAGATATTTTGTCTTGTCGGCGATGCGGTCCAGGTTGCTGAAGGTACTGTCGATGTTCTTGCACATGGGTGCGGGCGCGCACGAGTCGATGGTGGCCGAGTGCTTGGGGTCGCACCCGCCGAGGCAGTAGGCTCCGACTCCGCAGACGCCGTATTCTGGGGTGCCATTGAGCGTTAGTTTATGGGAGGAATTGGGGTGCGGTCATTGGAGGGGAGCGGGGGAGAACATACGGGAACAGCAGGGCTTGTCGGAAGGACAGTTTCCGAGGCCGACGCCGCACTCGGCGGTGATTTGGGCGTAGGCGACGGTGCCGAGGACGGCGGCCGTGAGAATGAGGGTGTTGAAGAGTTGGACCATTATTTAATTGTTATCGGGGGTATTGTATTTGGTGGGGTGGTATATAGGATAGTATAGACCTATACTCGGATGGTCAAAAAGAAACCAAAAACACCGAGTGATAGTTAATCGAAAAAGAAATATATATTTCAATAACAAATATGATTAAGGAACGAAAGTGGGATTGAGATTAGAACGACAGACAAACAGCGAGCGTGAACGAACGAATCTCGACTGAAGGGGCGGGGGGAGAGGAGAGGAGGAGAGGAGGAGGGGGGGGGGGGTTGAGAGACAGGTAAGCAGGAGAGGAGGAGAGAGAGGAAGAGAGGAAGGAAGGAAGGGAAGGAAAGAAAAAGGACGAGAGGGCGGGAATGTAAACTTTATGGAAAGATGCAACCGAATGCAGCCGCCTTGTCCGTCTTCTCGTATGAGAGGTCAATCAAGTGCTAGACACAGATAACCAGGCCCGAAAAAACACACACTACGTACACACTTACCGCGAAAGGGGGGGTCTTGGGAGAGAGGGTGAGAATAGGAACAGGAACAGAGGAAGGGAAGGTGAGGCGGCGGGGGGGGAAATGATAGTCTTGGTCTTGCTTGGTTTTTGGGGAAGGAGGGTGGCCGAACTGCACAGAAAAAGGAAAAGGTCACAGCCAGAATAGAGACAGGAACTGGCTAGGTAAAAAGCAGGTAAAGCAGCTGGCTAGCAGGGGTGTTTGTAGGAAACGAAGATGTATTGCTGCAGCTGCTGATCTTGATAGTATCGATAGCAATCAATAAATCCGTCAATTCCTACCCGGTACAACTGCAGAGTAGTAAGTAGTAGCAGCTAGCTGCTGGGGCGTCAACGTCCTGTGAAATGAGCGTTAGGATAAGAATAGGAAAAGGGAAAAAAAAAAAGGAATCTCTAGAAAATAGACACCTAGGCCAGGAATGGGTGAATGAATGGGTGGGTATTAAAAAAGGACTGTGTGGGGGAGGAGGAGGGCAGAGAATGGGAAGCTAGTACTTGTTTCCTCATGATTGCCCACATAGACTAGAAGGAAGGGGGAAGGAGCCCACAAAAAAAAAAAAGAGAGAGACTTGAATTGAAATACCAAAGCGTGAACCAAAACCGCCCCTCACTCTCTATCTACACAATCCCTACCTACCGCCCCCCCAATCCAGACCAAACATCATGATGCGAGGAGGTCCAGGTGGTAGTGGTGGTGGTCGTAGTCGTGGTGAAAGAGCTCCCCATGTCCTACAGTAACGTCGTCCCTACATACAGCAGCTGCAGTGCAGTAGAACTCTCTCTCTACTCTAGGCAAATAGGAAGTAGTAGTAAAAAACACCCAGCGCGCACTTCATTGGCCGCCACGCCACATCCAATGGGAATCCGCCCATGCGTCGCATTTCCCGACGCGGATCAGAAGCCCACCCGTTCGCTCTGTGCAACTTTGACATGTCTTATGTGCAGTTGCAGCGAGAATCATCCCTATGGGCAAAGAGCATTCGTCCGTCCCTACCTACTCTACCTATGTAACGGCCGCCGAGAGAGGAGATCAAAGAAGGCAGGAATGTAGAGTAGGCATTGTACCTACATGAGAGAGTGTGTGTGATGTGTGATGTGATGTGATGTGATGTAGGTACAAGGTACGTACCGTAGAGGTGCCTGAGAGGCAAAGTGCAAATATCGAACAGGAAGTGCAATTACGACAACTGCCTATCTTCCCACGATGACCTCAAAAGTGCAGTAATAGGCCATCTCCATCTGCTCGGTAACGCAGGCAAAGCAAAGAAGAGAGAGATTCACTTCTTAACCTCACCCACCACTGACTGACCTTACCTCACCTGATTTGCCCGCACAGCCCTCCCTCCCTCCCTCTCTCTCGCTCTCGCGGCGGACGAAAATACCCACGAGAAGGAAATGTTCGAGAAACCGCAACCGTACAATACAAACCCTCCCTTTCTACCCGATCCGAATTCCGGGACACCGTTACTCCGGGGTTTTCCCTCCAGCTAGCTAGCTAGCACAGCGTTTGTGGAGCAACAACACCCTGGGAGCAGCTGTCTACTCTAATCAGGCAGTTACTTTTCTAGTTGGGTCCTGTCTGGTTGGTCCGTTGGTTAAACAGCATCAACAAAAAAAAAACCTAACAACCTAATCTACATACGGCAACAACCCTCGCCTGGGGGCGGGCCCTGCCTGAATTGAATTCAACTGACTTTGCTGACGGTCCGGGGCTCCCGCAGCAGCTGTGAGATGCATTTCTACCCTATCTCCCATACAGAACAGAACAGAAGGGTTAATTCAAATCGGATAAAGTCCGCCCCCCTCCTCTCGGGAAATTGAAAAAGGTCACAGTGCCAGCCAGTGCTTCAGTCAAGTCGGATCTCTCGCTTGCTTTAGTGTGTGTCCGCCGCCGCCTGCCCGGCCATAAATAGCATCATTGTAGGTAGGCCAAAAACGAGGGCGCCGCGAAATTACATATACCTTCTCCAGAAGTGTGCGTGTGTCCTGGATAGGCCCTGGATAGGCGATTTGACAGATAGATTGGCAGGCAGCACACCCTCGTGATCAATAATCCCAAAGTTAGAGCAAGAGAGAAGGTGAGAAAGGTGAGAAGGTGAGGTTCAGCTCAGATTGAATCCCATCGTTTAACCTTCCCACACATCATCGTCATCAATCTGGGTTCTGTATTACTCTACACCCAGCTAGAAGCTAGGTACTCTAGATACGCGTGTTTGCGCCTCTGGATCTAGTGCCTTGAGACCTAAATATCGGGTACTAAACCGGACGTTACGAGGTCTATGTCTATTTTCAAGACCCCCCCCCCTTTCCCTTCCCTTCTCTGCTATGGCCCTCTGGGAGTTCTTCTTTCCGCTTTCTTCGTTAATCCGCCGAAAGACAGCGCCAGATCACCTGAACCCACTGCTCTAGAACCTAAGTAATGGTTAGCTAGAGATAGCACGGCGCTCTATATATATCATACGAGCAAGACCCCTACCATACCTACAACCGACCTCGGGATTGTAGATACTGGACCCTTACTGGACCCTTACATAGAGCACTCTATTCAGCTGCTCTAACTACATCATCGCTCAAACCCTAACCTAAAAAAACAAAGCACAAAGCACCCAAACAAAAACAACTAAACTAGACCAAATAAAACGGTCCCGCTTAACCGTAAATACAGTAACTTCCCTTCGTCTATCTCTGTCCGGCATAGCTAGCACACCCTCCATATCAGATCCCCGACAAGGGAGGGTCGCTTTTAAGCTCGTCGGGATATATCCGGCTCTTGTTCCTCGGTTTCCGGTTTTAGGGGTGGATGCTCGTAGCTTAGCTAGCTGGTCCTCGGATATGATACGGTAGAGTGGAGTAGAGCAGGTAGCTAACCCATATATAACGGTAGAGCACGCTTGGGAGAAGGCACGGGAGCACGGAAGGAAATGACGGTGCTTTAAATATCCTCTCTATCTACTCTAGTTAGAGTAGAGTGGAGGAGAGCATAGAGAGTGGTCTAGCTAGTCGGTACCGATGGAAGCTGGCGGGCTGTCAACCGTGCATACGATGGATGCCATGGTGTGCTATGCTGCTTTTGGGGGAGCTAGAGGTGGTAGGGTGGTAGGCAGGGGAGGGAGGTAGATTAGGGCTTGATGGCAGCTTCGGCTGTGGGAAGCCGAGGAAGCTTCTATTCTACATTCTCTAGAAGAGGGCGAGAGATTGAGGGGGGAGGGGGAGAGTGCTTGTTCCCCCGGAAGGGGGGGAGAGATGTAGAGATTGCTAGGTAGCGTGGCATCACAGCCCGTCACTCGCCAGAGACGGGATCCGGAAAGGAAACATCCATCTACAACAACGGCATCCGCAATATCTGTCGGAAGTAGAGTGAAGTAGAGTAGAGGGCAGCTCGCAATCTACACAATTCCCACCCACGGCCACCCAGCGCAGCGTAGAGTAGGTAGTCGGATCATGCCATCGCTCACCGGTAAAACGGTAAACCGCTATTGCATTTTTGATTTAGATTTCAATTGCAATATATGCCATGCTATTGCAATTGCAATTGAGCACTGGCACGCACACACACACGTACACTCAAGCCTCATTACATACGCTCCCCCGTGAAACGCTGCCTTCATTAAATACATGGAGAGATAGCAGTTGTGGTGGCTTGCCGGCCGCGTGCGCCGTGGGTGGGTGGGTGCTTTGCAACAATCGCATAGTAGTGTCTCCTCCATAATTACAATTTCCATATGGTTGGGGGGGGGGGGGGGGGTGAGGGGAGATTAAATAACGTCTGTTCACCACGATAGTGTGATAATAGTGTGGGGTATAAGATGGGGCCATAGTCCCCTTCCTAATATCGATCTGGGAGATTAGGCTGCGAGGAGAGATCCGAACCTCAGGTTTACTTTTTTGGAAAAGAGGAAAAAGAAGAAAAGAAAAAGACGGTGGTGCATGGCGGGGTAGACATATAGGTGGGTTGCAGTTTTTTGCAGTTCGGCGGGCTTGATGGGGGTTTGTCATTATGGGGGGTTGTGTAGGTTGTAATTATCATCGCTATTAGTACTGGTGCTACGTGATATTGCATTCGTGATCGTGATCTGTCGAGGATGTACGTCTGTAGAAACAGAAATTGGGTTTTTTGATAGCGAGCCTGTAACTCATGCCTGCCTGTTATAGATGCATCTTGTCTAATGTGTTCTGTAAACAAAGTTGAGATCCAAAAAAGCTACTTGTATCGACAACGCTGTATTCCTATATATCGATCACAAGCTTCAAGTAACCCAACTCTGTACCGAGCCGTAGCACAAGAACACAAAAAAACAAAAACTGCTTATCCCAAACCCACCAATCCCCCTCCACTCTCACGAGAATTTTCTCCTCTACTCAGGTAAGTACTCACTCAGAATATCACTCCCCTCCCCTCTGCTCTACCCTGACTGAGCACGCGAGCACTCCAGTCTTGGCCATCCCCGGGCGATCCCCCAGCCAACCCGCGCCAACAGCCCCTGAACGAAGCCGCATCTCGCTCGCTGACCCTTCGTTAGTCCCTTTCTACCCGGCAGACTCGCGCTCAGCCAACCCGATACGGCCCACCACCTCATCCTGCGTTGTTGCGTAGCAGTTAGAGCACCATCTATCCATCCTTCACTTACTCTCCCACTCACTCACTCACTCACTCACTATCTCCACCCTCTCTCTCTCTCTCTCCCTCTTACAGCACATACAGACGATAAATACATATAGAGAAAAAAAATGTCAGACCTCGACGGCCAAGAAGACTCGCTGCTCGGCGGCCCCCGCAAGCAGCGCTGCAAATGGCAGGGCTGGATGCAGATCGGGCTGGGTGTTTGGGCCGCTGTGGCCACCGTTGGTAAGTTTACTACAGTCCCGGTTACGGTTATGGTTATGGGGGGGGTGTGGAGATTGTAGGGGCGGGGGGGGGGGTAGCTAGCTAACGTTAATTGCAGGTATTGTCGTCATTGCGGTGATGTGGGTTCACGCAGACACTGCACCGGGCAGTGGGCTCGACAAGTTTCCGCCCTCGGGGAAGAAAAACATTGTGTTTATGGTCTCCGATGGTAGGTTCTCCGTCTTCATTAGAGGAGGAGGAGGAGGGGGGGATAGGGTTAGGTCTTGTATTAATACGGTTGATATAGGTATGGGACCGACGTCACTCGCCCTCACGCGCGAGTACCGCCAGCTCACAGACGGGCTCTCATGGGACAACACCCTTACGCTCGATAAGCACCTTATCGGGACCAGCAGGACCCGCTCTACAAACAGCTTGGTGACCGACTCGGCCGCCGGAGCGACCGCATTCTCGTGCGGTATCAAGAGTTACAATGGTGCGATCTCTGTGCTACCAGATGGATCGCCCTGCGGAACTGTTTTAGAGGCTGCAAAGAAGGCGGGTTACATGACTGGGTTGGTGGTCACCACTAGGCTTACTGAGTATGTACTCTCCTTCAATATCACCCGGAGCTTGGATTAGAATTGGAGCTGATGTTGTTCGATGTAGTGCTACGCCTGCTTGTTTCTCTGCCCATGTCAACATGCGTATGGAGGAGGACCGTATTGCGGAGCAACAGCTCGGCGACTATCCTCTTGGACGCGTTGTGGATCTGATGATGGGTGGTGGTGCTTGCCACTTCCTCCCCAACAGCACCGAAGGTTCCTGCCGTAAGGATGACCGGGATCTTGTCACGGAGGCCCAGGAGAAATTCGGCTTCCAGTATGTGTCTGGCCGTAAGGGTTTCGACTCCCTTGAGAAGGGTAAGAAGGTTAAGCTTCCGCTTCTCGGACTGTTTGCGTCAACCGACATTCCCTTCGAGATTGACCGTAAGGACGAGGAGTACCCCAGTCTCGACGAGATGACGGAGGTTGCATTGAGGGTGATGGAGGAGGCCACCAAGCACAGCGACAAGGGTTTCTTCCTCATGGTTGAGGGCAGCAGAATTGATCATGCCGGCCATGGTAACGATCCGGCTGCACAGGTGCGAGAGGTGCTTGGTTACGACAAGGCCTTCAACAGGGTTCTCAAGTTTGTTGAAAACGCAAAGAACCCCAGTGTCCTCGTCGCTACCAGTGACCACGAGACCGGTGGTCTGGCACTCGCTAGACAGCTCCACGCCAGCTACCCCGAGTATCTCTGGTACCCTGAGGTCCTTGCCAATGCCTCATCCTCCTCCGAGTACCTCGCCGCCAAATACGCCGGTTACAGCGGATCCAGCTCTTCGGAAGACGAGTTCGTCAAGAAGATCATCCTCGAGGAAGGTCTCGGCGTCCACGACGCCTCCGAGGACGAGATCGAGGCGCTCAAGGCCGCCAAGTCCGGTGCCGCCTGGGTTCTCGCAGACATCATCTCCCGGCGCGCGCAGGTCGGCTGGAGCACCCACGGACACTCTGGCGTCGACGTGAACATCTACGGAAGCAAGGGGTCCGAGAGACTGCACGGGAACCACGAGAACACGGATGTTGGAAACTTCATCAAGGACTTTCTCGAGATTGATGTTGACGCCGTGACGGAGGAGCTCAAGGAGAAAGGGGTCGACAGGGCCGTCACCATGGAGGAGGTGGAGGAAGGTGGAATGCTGGTGAGCCAGGTAAGGGAGTACCCGTGGATGGGCAGGAGCTTGCATGAGCTCGCAAAGGACGGGTTTGAGACTGCAGGGGTCGATTGCTATCATGGGGACTATAAGCACAAACACTAGAGACAGAGAGAGGGAAGAACAGAGAGGAGGGCACGATATGTGAATGCTTTTTGTGTTGTGTCTTTGTGTTTTGGGTGTCCCTTTCTTGGACTTTGAACTTTGTATACTGGGTTTTAAGCTTGTTTTTTGTCTCTTCTCGCGATGGAATGTTTGTGTTATTGAGCTTGCATTAATTAGGTTTTATTTTACCTTTATCCCCCCCACACACATTCGAAATTGAGGATACATCGTCATGCATTGTCGTGTAAGAATAGAGTTTTTTTTTTTTTTGCTTTCTCCGGCCATAATTACATATTTGCCAAATCCTCCGCGAAACCTTGAAAAAAGAAAAGAAGAAACCGTCATTGCTCTGTAGAAAGGGTCCTTACTTCCAAATACTTCGTGGGTTTGACGGTAGGCTCGTAGTAACGTATGTGAGGGAGATTGTAGGTAGGGTGGGAAAGGCGGATTCGTACAGGTGGGTTTGCAAAGTTTAAACACCATGCAGAGTCTGGGAGTGGGATGTTGGGCCGCTGTGGGGAACTCAAGTGGGTTCGGTTCGTTGGGATCGTGGCTAACCTCTGTTTGTTACACTGTTATTGTAGGGGTATGAATGAGGGAGGATTATTGGCCGTGTACTGTTGGAGAGTTTGTCTTCTGGCTGGCTGGCTGGCTGGCTGGATGGATGGATGGATGGATGGATGGATGGTCTGCGCGTTGGTTTGTATTTATCTATACTATTGTAGCTACAAATCAGCCAGTGCGATCTAGAAAGCTCTCATCCACCAGCGCAGCCCGGTGCTAAAATTCTCAACGACAGCAGCCGTAGGCGTAGTTATAGGTGCGGGTGCGGTTCTCTGCTCCAGATTCATCCTTAAACATCACCACCCCCCCCCCCCCCCGGCCGCGGCGGACGTACGACACAGTCTACAGCCCACTCAAAGTAGTTAATGGGGGAGGGGGGTTCTATATAGCTGCTCACTGATCTCTGCCATTCATCTGCGGGACTAAGAATATGATAGGCCTGTCTAGTCTGGAGGAATATGTAGGTAGCGTCTCGGTGGTTTTCTTCGGACTAGTGGGTCTGACTCTTTGTCGTATGTACATGTAGTTGTCTGTGTTGTCATTGTGAATTCTATAGATGTGTGCCTGGGAGCTAATTCCTTCATGGGCGGTCACTCGCTATCCGGGGCGCGACTTACATTATTTTAACATCTCTTGGCAACAGAGTGCGCATACATACAAAACAGCTTATCGTGTATCGAATAAATCGTTTGCCCGAAACCGGCCCCCCACCTCCGAAATCTGTTCAGAGACCCTTCCACCCTCCGCAGCTGAAAACAAAAAGGAACTTTTCATTTTAATTTATCAAAAGCATAGTTTTACCACCACATACTTGTGGCTCGTTCGTAAGCTTTTCTCTCTCTTCTATTTTCACTTTGGAGCGTTTCTGGACAGGGACAAAAAGAAAAAAAAGAAGAAACCCTAGAAATGCATATGGAGATATATAACTGAGGATTGACCAAGACTCAAAGGAAAGGGGGTGGGAAAAAAAATGCGAGTATGTAAGATCCTCAAACACCGTGCGTCCGTCCCAAAAATAAACTAAACTTGAAGGAAATGAGGATAATAAAAATAATAGCCCTGACCTTAACACCAGATACACATCATTATCCCCTGGTATGATGCAATCTTTTTTCGTGAAAATAAACTCAAATAGTAGAAACAAAGGTACTTTAAAGAAAACAAATAAAGCGAGGGGAATGCTCCAAACACATGTCGTAGAAACCTGTTTTTCCAAGATTAACATAATAAAAAAAAGCAATTAAAGTCCGAACCCTGAGAAATGGTCACAACTAAGAAATCCCATCCAACCCACACCATAGGTCATTATCCAATGTATTCACTCACAGCCCTAACTCCCCACAACACCTCTCCCATGAATCTTGCCTGACAGGCCAATAGCGCCAACAGACACTTCTCTTCACTCCTCAATCCGCCCATCCCTTGACCTGCTCCGACCCAGTCCGCTACGCTGACCATATCAGGCTGGGCGCAAACCCTTTTTAAATACCTCCTTGAACCCTTATCCAAAAGCACTTTGATCTCACTGTACCGAAAGTCGTCTTTCTGAATCCCGAGCAGCCGCAAACTGTAGAACCATGCTGCTTCCTTGAAGCTCTTCGGTTCAAAGACATACCTTGGTGGTGACGACGCTGAACGTCCCGAGGATATGAACGACCTTCCAGTGCGATCGTGACGGTCTGGCGGTGATGCGAGAAAATCTTCAAACTCTGCGCTATTTATTCTACTTGAACTATACTCGCTTCTGGTACTGGAGATTTCATCGGTTAAAAGTCTCCTCGGTGGCAACATTTCTAACGCTGAGGCGAAGTATACTTCGTCGTCGGCATCCGCATCTTGCGCCTCTTTAAAGTAACGGTCCAATACATCTACGACGCTATCAAGATAGTCCGAGATGATGCTGCTTGCGTTGCGTTCCCACTCAAACTCCTCCATGGGTAAAAATTCGTACTCACGAGAGTTTGGGTCGAAGTCTTCGTGCTGGCGATCTATACTTTCTGGGTGTAAAAAACGAGTGTAATCTTCAATAAGAACATTCACAGGTAATTGCTCGCCAAGTAAACCCATCGTGTCAAAGAGCGAGCTCGTTGAGCTTGACGGCGAAAGAAGGTAGTCTCGAGCCGGTAACGGTCTCGCGCTTGACAGACTGGAGAAAGGAACATAGCTGTTTGGGGCCGAAAGTGAAAATCCATCTAAACCTGCAGTTGCTGGGGGAGGTGGGGCATCTTCACTTGTGGCACACTCCTCGAAAGATTTCCTGCGTTTCTGGCTCTTTGTACGATGGTGATGACGTTCCTTTGGAGTTCCTAGTGTTACAGCTTCTTTTTTCGGGAGCGGAGGCGGTACATTTATTAGGTCCGATGGCGCGAGGACAGGACTAGCTGGGCTACTTGGGTTCGACACGAAGGGGATACTGCCGGTCGGTGTTTTCCTCCATTTTTCTGGCCCTTCTTCAGTTCCTTGCCCAACAGCTACCTGTGCTCTTTTTCTACTTGAGTGTCCCGACGTAGATTTCAACGAATCCCCATCTCGCCTAACACCACCTGATCCTTCACTTGGGGGATCTGTGGATGAAGACTGGACAAAACTTCCAAAAGGAGCTACCGGTGTGCACTTTTCCAACGTCCTCACCGTTCCACCTAGCAGATCTGCCTCAGGCAGTATACCCCATGCAAGAGCCATTGCTGATTTTCCATGATAGAAGCTCATTATGATAATAGCTTGGAGAGCCTCTGCTGTTGTCCACTTATGTTCGGGATCCAATTCTTCCGATTCATCCCCACGAATAAGCTCTTTGACATGGTCTTGTGTGATGGTCCAAGGACGGTGCGCAAGTAACATATTCAGTTTTGAAATCCGCTGCAGTTTTGGTGGTGTGTTCTGGATCCCCTTTAACCACTCTTTCTCGCCTCGTATGGTCAAGAATTTTTCCGAAAGTAGCGATAGGTAGTATTGACACTTTTTCTCGGCCGCAGCAATAATCCCCAGGTAAATTCTCCACTTCTGGGGAAGGGGCCCGTTCGGCGAGTCGTCCGAGACAAATAGATCAGTAGCCTCCCTGTTTACCTCCCCAAACCTTGGAAAATGGAAGAGAATCTTGTTCAAATTTCCAACCCTTCCTGTACGCATATAAGCGTTCACTTGTAGATATCGAATATCTTCACTAGGAGGTTTCGGTTTCGGCAGAAACTTTGGAATCTGCCGACGGGGATGATTACGTCTTTTGAATTTGTAGGATGTGTTCAACCCGTTTGGTGGAGATGGCGGCGTTTGAAAAAGCGATGATACCATAGAAACCGTTGTCCGCCTGCTACCTCGACCAAAAGAACCAACTGGGGTTCTACCACGGGAGGTAGAACGAGTGCGATCTCCATTCATAGTTTTATTAGGGTCCGGAATCATTATTCCCGATGCTAAATTTCCATTCCCACTCGACTCCCTCGGAGAGAACATTATTCCGTCCTCCTCATCTTCAGAAAGATCAAGAGGGTTGGGAGACCTTGGGTTTGGTGTAGCAGGAGTCCAGGGCCCGTAGTTGAGGCCAATTGTTTCCCCTAAAGGAATGAAAAATGACGGCCCTCTTACGGGTACCTCGGGTATTTGGGCTCCAGCTCTCTACCAGATACACAGAATTGAGTTAGAATCTTTCAATAGATGCTTTTGTATGAAATCAAAACCATTATGCGCAAGTTTACCTCTGCTCGTTTTAATATCTCCCTGCATCCCTTTCTAACGTCTTTGAAAGGGCAGTCGAGTGAGAATCTCAGCAACCAAGTGTAAAAATTTTCTAGATTGGTCTTCATTTCCTCCAATCCCCATATTTCCTCGGATACCTGGCGACCAGCCCAAGCTAAATCTCTGTTTGCAAACTCAAAATCCCCCAGTCCCCTGTTGGAAAATCTTACTGCACCGTCAGTAAACGAACCTGTCTCTGTAGGAGACACGGCGTATTCCACCCCTGATATTGATGTCCAACTGTCTTCCTTCTCTGGAGTTAGAGGTAGAAAGTTGTTGTATGGTGCCTCTAGTATCCGAGGCGTCACGATGCTCAAATCATCTGCATCAAGTCCAAATACGTCTTCGAAATGCATTTTGAAACTAGAATCTCTCCGAAGGATACCCCGTTGGCAGCTTGGGGCGGGCGAGATACCGGAGCCATTACTTGACTGGCGTGCAATGGGGGGTCTATTCAAGTGAGGTGATAATGGTGTCCAGGAAGTCCTGAGATAATCCTGCCACCCACTTGTCCAATAATCCACGACATGCCCAAGAGTTTTGAGGGCACTAGAACGTATCAGTAGCTCCTCGTCAAAGAAGCAATTGAATAGGCCGTGACGGAAGGTGTTGGCCGTTTCTGAAAGGAGAAGAAGGTCAGTCTCGGAAAGTCCTGATTGCAGAGGAGACGGTTTACCGAGCCTTGGTCCGTTTTTCTCTCCCCCCATGCCAGTTTCGCTCGAATCAACTCCGCAGGTTACTTAAGATTTCCGTCTACTCGCTTCCAACGGGGTCCCGCGTAACCCCACGTAGCCTTCTAATATCGCTTGTAAATGCTCTGAAAATAGGGATGTTGAAGTCCAGGTAGAATGTGAAGATGTTGGACAATTGTGGATGTGTCAAGGAATTGGCATAAATTGACCAAGAAAGCTAGTGAGCTCGTGAGAAACTCCCAAGAACTTTGATATTTTTTGGAGACAAAACGCCGATTGTTTGTCAGGAGTTCCGGTATCTCCCTATGGGACTGCTACGGCGGATAAGGAATGAGAATGGAATGGGGAAGAAAATGAATAGGTAATTTGCAAGCCCAAAGATAAGCTGTAGCTCGATCGAAAACGCCGGGTATGTAGGTAGCTGGGGATCTCTAGCGCCGAGCAGATAGATAGAGATGGCTTGTCCCACAGTAGACGGTTGGTAGTAATCCGCTACACAAGCAAGCCAGCCTACCGAGTTTCCCTGCTGTAAGGGCTGGGACAATGACGACAAGAAAAGAAAGAAGGAAAGGAAAAAGAAAGAAAGAGCCGCTGCCTAGAGCACAAAGAAACTAGAGTCGAATCGGGTGAAGCGAGATGAGCCTGGGGTTCACGAGATGGGTATGTAAAAGGATATGATCGGATCAAACTGCCACTCGGATGAGATAATTGGTTACAGATAGGTATCGTGTGATATTTACACGAGTAAACAAGAAAGAGCGAAGGTTGGCAGAAGAAGATGGTTTTCTCTCCCGTTGGGTGTCCGATAGATCTGGCGGAGTGGTTGTTACTCTTGGGGGGGGAAGAGAACTTTGATCTGAGACGTATGATTGATAGCTTCAAAGATGCACTAACATCACCACCAGCCGCAGTGGCAGGGAAGGGAATCGGCAAAAGCACTGGCAGGGACACCAAAATGACGACGAACTCGAATGATATCGGGCACGAGGGGACAGGAAAATATTCCGCGGTAATCTTTGACACGGTGGACGGATGCCCTTTTTTCTGGGGAAAGGCAAGCCTGGGCGGCGTTTCCGTCCCGTCTTTTTGGCTGGCAAGGGATTGAAAACGGCAAGGTGCAAGGTATGAAATCTAGAGCAGGATCCTTCTTCTGTTATTTTTTTTTCTTAAGGGACAAGACTTATCTTTCCTGTGGCGCGTCCCTTTACCTACCGCAGTAGTCCAAATTATTGCGGGAGCTAATATTATGCGGTAAGGATGCAGATGCCTGACAGGTAGAGTAGGTAAAGGTCAAACGGTATGTAGACTCTACACTAGAGTCGTATGTACATGTAGCTACATGTATGTCTAAGCAAGAGGATCTATGCAATCGACAGCGAGGTGATTCTGTTTCAATGACAGAAGCAAACAAAAATATTACGGGAATAATCGGAGCAAGAAAATGCGTGTTCAGGGAAGTATGAAGAGATGCTCAAGGGTCCAGGCAGCAAGGTAAGGAAGGGAGAAGGGGGAAAAAGAAACAAAAAAACTGAGAGACCAAGCTTGTGCCCGTGGAGTGGTTCTGGATCTAGGATCTGCAAATCGCCTTGTTGATTGGTGTAGGGACATACTTTCCCGTCGTATGCTAACCCGTTAAAGTCAAAAACCTGAAGATCAAGAAGATCAAGCGTCCCAATGTCGTTGATATTCTCAAGCAAGGTACAACAACATGAGGAATTATTACCGGAACACTTTTAAACCTGAGGTCATAGATATATCTCTACAGAGCAACGGTTGTGAGGAGTTGAGGCTCTGCTAGACAGTACTAGTGCTTGAGTACATAAATGATTATATTTCAAGCCTAAAGCTTCAATGTGCCAACTAAACATCTGCTCCTTTTCACAGTTACCTAGATCAGATGTACCTACCCATTCATTATGATACTTCAACCCGCATAACATATCCGGTGATTCGAGTATGGGGTAACTGTGCTCGGCTTTGTTTTACATGGTATTGGGTTTTTTTTTAAAAAAAAAAATTTAACAAAAAAACGAGTGGTGGGGAAAGCATTCAGGGGAGGAGCTTGGGTTTCCCCGCATTTTTAACACTTCCCTGTCCGTCATGCAACTGGCATGCAGGCGCCCCCTCTGCACTAAAGCCTTAGTTGGTGTCTGGGGCAGGGTGCTCCAACTGGAGATGCAGTTTTAAGGCGGCGAAAAAGGAGTTTGGGCCAAATGGATATCCTAGAGAGGGCCCCATAAATACCGACGAATTGCCATTTTGATATGCACGAAGACCCTAAAACGCCTTTCCAATACTATTAGATGAGGTTCTAATGATCAAAGTTGCATGCACGCCAATGGATGTGCCGACAGAAATTGGTATACCCATGTAGCAAGCACATACCTACATACGTATAGTACTAGGACAGAGGTTTTGGTAATATACCCTTTTTACAGCCAAAGTAGCCATGTTTAGCTACCCGAAGCAACCACCCAACCTCATCCAAAAAATTCCAAGGTTTCAAGGACAGTTGGGAACTATCTCAAGACGGAGCACAGAGAATTCTAGAATTTTAAGTCCATTCTTCAGGTGTGTGCGATCTAATTTTTAAAGTCATGGTTTGAGTGTTTCTGATTTTGTATGGTGTTCCCATACAAATTTCGTGTTGCACCGGCAACCAAAATTTACCAAAACTTCTGTACCCTGACTGTACATGTATGTAGATACTTCGTAGAAGATATGAAGTGTTGTAAATAGAGTAGCTAGAGTAAAGTGCTGCATACATCATGTATGTACATAAGAGTTAGAGTAGGAAGGTCCGCGGGTGCAGAGATTGGACTGCCCAGCCAGAAGCCTACCGTGGAGTTGTGTTTCTGAGGAGAGCACTGCAAAACGGGTTGCGTCACCAACATAGTCTATGCCAACGCAACATCAAGCTCTGCATTCTTTTACAATTCAACAATTTTCACCACCTCACAGCTTTATCAGGCACTAATTCTGCATTTACGATCACATAGATTCGTGATAGGACTGTTCATACAGAAGTGAACTGAAAATATACAAACATCCAGGTACTTGCATAAGTGATACCTCCACAAATGGAAAAGCGTCACATAAACAAGACAAAACACTAACCACTTACAACTTCAACCCAAGACGTCCACATATCACACAACATTACGGATCTCACCGTACCCTGCCACATTGCATCGCATAGCTAGAGAACTCTAGAGTACCTGTGGGTAGTGCGTCAGATCACATACTCGTGCTCCTGTCGTGTTAGATATTAACCCATCCGTCCATCCGTCCAGTGGGTGCATCGCCCAGTTCCACGGTTTACCCCTCCCATTCACCCCGCCATCCGCGATTCTACAACGCCCACAACGCCCAGTGCCAATATTGTACGCTCGGAATAGTGAAACATAATAACTGAAAGTATGCACGCCTTGCTCCGTCCAAATGCCATCTCAATGCTACAGCGCCTTTCGATTTCACGTCGAGCTGCGTTCCACACGAACTCTCGTCTCCTCCGAAAGGCTAGCGAACCAATCGACACCCCCGAGACTACGGGAATGCCTTTCCAGGAGGAATCTACAAATCCGGCTGAAACTTTCTCAACCCTTGATGTCCTTGGATCAATCCCGGCGCCGCCGTCAGCGGTCGATGCAACCTACGCCGATGGATTCCTACTGAATAACGGAACGCGGATCAACGACGGTGTCATGTTGCTGAACAATGAAGCGTTTGTGTGGAAACCAATTGCACAGGGTGGTCCCGAAGAGAGCAAGGCGAAAAAGGGCGTGTTAGAACTGGCAGAGGAAGCTTGGGGCCTCTTAGATGTTGTTTACCCGAAGCCTGGTTGGTCCACATTACACCCTCTTCCCCGACATCACTAGATCTCAATCTATTTTGTGTTAACCACGTGGCTGTTATTTTCTTCGGCTTGCATTCCTTCTTCCTCTCCCTCCTTGGATTCTTACTTCACTGCTTTTGTGTACATGACCAACAGCATCTTTTTCATGTTACAGGCCCAGAAAACCTAAATCATTCAATTTGCTGACACTCAATACATAGAACTACTAATCCTCGGGACTGGACGTCGAACGCTTCTTCTCTCGCCCAAAACGAAGGCTAGAATCAGCGAGCTGGGAATACGACTTGACGTCATGTCCACTCGTAGTGCAGCTGCCCAATACAATCTCCTCGCAACTGAACGAACAGGCGCTCAGGTCGCTGCGGCGATGTTGGTGGATGGATTTGGAAAATAGGAAACGAGGCAGGCTTCTTAATTGGTGCTGGAAGAAGTAACTAAAAAACAAAAGGACAAATTGAAATGAATGTTGAATGTATCATATTGGTTGGGATTCATAATCGCAACAGCATTTTCTTTTATGTAACCTTTACCCAAGGTTGAGATGTATGTATCTTATCCATTGAAGACAGCCACCCGCACTTTGCGCGCTTGGCAAGAGGGGTTTTCTCTCTGAGTGCACCACGTTATTGGAAAATCGACAGCAGGGTTCAGGAGCATCTAATCAGCCTCACTATGGAAAAGCTGACATAAAGGTCTATTATGGGGGGTCAAAAAACTCTAGATCTCTAGATAGACTATCCAATCATGTCTTATCATCCGGTCGAATCCGGAAGTCACCTACACCGGGACACTTATTTAATATACTGTTTGGACCAGAAAGAAATCCGAGAGAGCTGAAATCTCGGGGATGACACATGGAACACCGGGGAATTTCGGGGAAACCGAAGATACGTATGTCGGCATGAGATATTTAAATGAAGTAGTTTGACTAATTTATTAGTTTTTTTTTTTTGCTTGGTTGCATTTTCGATCATCAAGTCTTTGTGCGTTGTTGATTGTTCGAAGAATTTTATGACATGTGATCGAAATTCTAAGCATAAATCTAACTTCACTTTCCACGTACTCTAAGAATTATGGGTCTAGGTTCATAGAATAAGGCTCAATTTCACCACATTTTTACCAGAACGACGTTCCTGGCTACCGTTTGTTTATCTTGCATCTCAGGGCTCTCTTATCGTTATCTCAAAGGTCCTGGTCCTGGACTGTGAGTACATATGTACCTGATCGGTCTTCTGTCATCGTTCTTAAACTATCGATCATATTATTGTTAAATATGCCCTGATCGTAGAGTACCAAAGGCAATTTTGGTCACCGAAATACTTAATCTACTAAGTACATATGCGAGCATCTACCTACCGTTCCACAACTCCACCGATCGTGGTGGGGCCATAAAGTGGATACGGGTTTGGTAAAACCCGAGATTTCCGCTTCGGCTTCGTTTCCGGTGCAAGAGCAGCTAAGTCTTATCCACATTTTAATAGAGCCCACATTACAAGCAAGTATTTGCTGTTGAAAGCTGTATTAGGCCGCACAAGCCCTGCATGGGGCTTTAGCCTGATTAGTACTGGCGAAAGATTCTGTTATGTCTTCATGCTTCATCACTCGTCTGTTTCGTTTGAGGACCTATGCTATTCTTATTGGCTTGTCCTGCTATTGAATATTTGCGGCAGTCTAGGTATGTTAAGAGGGTAGGTTTTATTGCAGCGAGGATTCTGTCCTCCCCTCTTTTAAATATTTGCTTAAGATGAAGTGAACGGAGCCATTACTGGCCCACCTAGTGTACACTAATTGCATCCTATATTCCGTATTGAAAACCTTCCCAGAGAGCTAAAGATCGCAAAAGAAAGAGATAGGAAATCATTAATTTAAAAAAAAAGAAAGCAAAAGAAAATTAGATCTCAACGCTTGAAGTGCCCGTTCGAGCTGCCACATCTCGTAATTTCTAGTCATCAGATTCCCCCTTGATCAGTGTCTGTCTTCCTCTTCTAACCCTCTCTCCCAAGTCCAAGTTTCCAGCTTTCCTATTGACACCGGTCAAAAAGTCACCTTTGCCCCCGTATTTGCTATTTCGCATCCTCGCTGCCTCCTCTTTCTCAAGTTCAGCTTTCTCCTTCTCCGTAATCTCCGCCAAGCGTTTCATGCGCTCTGCGTTCATTTGGTCTGCGTTACTCTGCATGGCTGCTAATTTTCTTGCCCGTTCCTCTTCGGCATTTCCATTTCCATTTCCATTTCTGTTTCTGTTCTCATTCCCATTCCCATTAGAACGATTTACGTAAGGCTGTCGTTGGGGCCTTGATTTATAGTCCCCGCTATCGCGTGGTGGAGGGACTGGGGAGCGCCGGCGAGGGGAACGGGAAGGTGGACGCCGATGTGAGCTCGATCCATTACGACGGCTATTTGGTGGCGATCGAGTGCGTCTACGCTCGTGATCAGGAGAGCTACGGCGACGGTAATCGCGACTCTCGCGTCGGGGTGATCTTGATCGAGATGATGCTCGTGACTTTGAGGATGCCCTACGACGAGGTGGCGTTGATGAGCGAGAGCGAGAACGAGAGGAGGAGTGTCTGCGACGGTGATGATGCTTCCTATCGTCGTCTCTGTCTCTCCGGCTGCCCCTCTGGTTGCGGTCGTCATCACGATGGCTGCTCCTTCGTGACCCCCGGTCATCGTCGCGGTGCCGATGGCTCCTGTGTTTTCTGTCCCTCTCCTTATCACGGGTATCTCTGCTCTTTTCCTTGCCGCCCTCCGCGACTTCCTTCAACTGCCTCCTCTTTATAGGATCTTTCATGAAGGCCTCATAGGCAGCCTGCTCTTGCTTCTTAATAGCTAACAAAGGATCCTCCCTAATCTTGTTCGCCGTATCTCTCACGGTATTCGCGTTCTGGATAGCCATAAACGACGTCTCAGACGCCTGCTTGCTCAGCTTTTCGTTGTCGCTCCCTTTCAATAATGAGTCGATCCTACGTTTCCCGAGTAGATATGCCTCCATCTCATCTGTAGTCCGATCCATCCCCTGTGAGGGGCCACTATACAAGAACTCGACACGGTCTAGCACCTTCTTCCCCCCGGCGGCCTCCTGTAGCTGTCGGAGCTCCTGTAGCTGTCGCTCCTCTTCTCTTTCTTTACGCCATTGTTCGGTCCGCTTACGCTCTTCGAGCGCTTTATTCTCCTCTTGCCAGACGCGCTCTTGGTTCTTGAGAAGATGTGGGTGCCACGATTTTTTCAAATTAAGATCCTACAAAGGCGGCGATGAGGTGTTAGCTGAATGTGTCAATTGATGTAAATGGCAAAAAGAGGAGGAATCACTTACACCACCCATACTTGAAGGTTTGAATCGGCCGGATCCTGTTTGTCAAAGGTTCTATGATAGTAGGAATGACGGGTTGATGTTGCTGTTGACACACTATTATTTGTCTAGCCACACGAAGCCAAGACTTATTGCCACATGCCAAGTCTCTCATGTATGATCACTCGCCAATTCAAATTCAGGCTTTATTTATTTATTTTTAATTTTTTTTTAATTCATTAAATATGAGCCTTGTATACGCTGATGAATAGATGGACTCAATTTATGCCTTGAATGATACCACTTATAAATGAGCATGTATATATTGAGTACATATTTATTTAATTTACACCTTGGCATTGGAGAGAATCGAATCATTGTACATGTTGTATTAACTGTTCGTGCCTGATTCGAATATAATTATATAACACCATAAAGGCTACCTAACTGTAGTATAAGAGGTAAGACTCACGCATCTAACTAGAAAGAGGAAACGATCATGTTATAATCTGCGTCTGCTGAATCTTTTTCTCCTTCCCCCCCCCCCCCCCCCCGCCTAAGTTAATCCTGTATGCCTAGAAATAACCTTTTCTCTCGACAACAGTACAAATGGCTGCGAAAAAGGCAAAAAAAATCCCAAGAGTGATAGTACTAAGCCCCCAGGTACTCCACCCCAATCCCGAAGTCCTTTTCGGTGTCGGAGTAGGAGAACCCACCTTGGATGCGGCCTGTATCGAAGTAAGGTTGCTATGATCAACTTTAGGAGAGGAAGAAAAAGCGTTTGCGATATCCTTCTTGGTGGCTGCCTCTTTGTATAATGCCTCCGTTTCACTGCTATCGCGCCTCACAAGGCGACCCTCAGGTAGTGGACAGGGTTCCTGATTATTCTTTACATGGTTTTCCTTATCGATTTTGTGACCGGATTCAGGCATTGTGTTTTTTCCGTCAATTTGCTGCTCGATTTGAATCTCTAGTGTCTTTAGATCGCCAAGATACCCTTGAGCCCTATCATTATTTTCCACAGAGTTAACTTCCCCCAGCATGTTGATGTTAATGACTTCAGCTTTGTCACTTTGGTTTCCATTTTTTTCTAGATTCTTGTCGACCTTTTGATCTACATTTTTCTTATGAGCTTTGATGTTCTGGTAAGCTTCGGCATCCTCGGTATCCTCGAGATCCTCAAGATTAATAAGATCCACAAGATCCTCAAGATCCTCAAAATCCTCAACATCCTCGGAAACCTCGATATCACCACTATCTTTGATATCCTCATGACTCCCGGTATCCTCGCTGTTCTCACGGTCTTTGGCAGAATTGTGTGTCTTGGATTCTCCTTGAACCACCTTCTGTGCTGGTTCATTACAGCTGAAGAATCCATCACATTTGGACTCTTCTTGACCAACTTGGTCTTCACTACCGAACTGAAAGTTATTATCGGGGTTCGATCCATATTGGGTGGGGATGTTGTCATAGTTCATCCCGTCAAAGGCCGTCATAATTTCGCCAACAGCCTTATCTAAGCTCATAATCATGTCAATATCATCTTCCCTGAAAGGAAAAGACAGAAACAGGGGGAATATAAAACTCACTTCCAGGCTCAACAAACAAACCCGGAGCAACCTTGCAATTTTTTAGTTTAGCATCAGCTCCAATGATGACATTCTTCCCCAAAATGCATCCCTCAACACTAGCACCCTCAGCTACTGACGCCCCATCCATGAGTACAGACCCTATAACCATTGCACCCCTACCGATAGAAACACCGAACCCCAAGACAGAACATTGGATAAACGCCTCCCCAGCGATAGAAACCTTGGCTGCTATTAAGCAGTCTGATCCGCTAATCGTAGCCGTTCGATCGATTGAGGCAGACGGATTAATCTTGATTTGGTCAGATTTGAAAGCAGGACTTGCTATGTAGAGACACATGGAGTGATATAAATGAACCGTATCGACGCGGCGTGTGAAGTGCCCGGAGCTCCCCGGAAGATATACAACTACCGGTGGGATCTTGATACCGCCTGGGGGAGGTGGAGGAGGTGGAGGTGGAGGAGGAGGCGGAGGTGGACGTGGTGGAATATTTGTGGATGATTCTGAGACCGCCGATTTTTTAGACACCGCAATTCCTCTCTTTAGTTTCTCCAACACCTCCAAATCTAATGACGAGTATACCCGTTGCACAGTTACGTCTTGCTGAGTCCATTGTGCAATATCTCGTTTCCTGGAAGAACTCATCTCCGCGAGGTTGAGTCTCTGCTCAAAAGTATCTCCACCATCAGAAAGGATTTCAAGGAGCCCCAGTTTTTCAGCAAGCCGCCTGTTCTGCCAGCGAGCTTTAGACCACCATGGAAGAACATCCTCGCGGATTGAGTTCATTTTAGAGTTTTTATCAATGAACCTGAGAACCCAGAAAGGGAGAAAATAAATACCACTGTCACGGACAGTCTGGTTGATCTGGATATTCGGGAACTTTCTGAGAAGGGATTTGCGGAATGGGCGTTCCTCCTTGTTCATAACCTCTTGGCCAGGGAGGTTAAATAAAAGTGATCTGAGAACACCAGAGAATTGAGATTCGGGAGTGGATCCCACACTTGGATCACGATGCGGGGCCAGGGCTAAGAAATCGGTTTCTATCAATTGTTAGCTTAATTAAAGAAATAGTGAAGTGGTGAAATACCTTGTCCCTTTATCTGACCCTCTCCCCTGGCATCATACCAGATACCCAAGCCACCCCTCCTTTCATCATCTTCGCGGCAGTTGGCATAATCTATGTTTCTTTTGCCCATATCACAATCAAAGCCAGCGTTCTCAACCATCCATATCTTCACAAGCTCGTTGGGGTCTAAGTCGGTTATAAGGTCACAAGGCAGTACTACAATATCTCCTGTTATCCATCCTTCCCTGTAAGCTCTTCTTAAAACATCTGCAGTCCCCAAGTTTTCATCCAGAGCCGATGGGGCCTCAATTTGAATATTGAAGGGGAAAATTTGGGACTTAAGATATGCTTGGATCGCGATAAGATGCTCAGCAAGGGTAAGGACTAAGATTGCTGGAAGCCGAGTAAAAGAGTTAGTATTGGTTTCAAGTCTTAAAAGGAACCGCTGGAATATATTGGTAAGAGAAGTACTAGAAGAACTTTTTCGACATACATTCAAATCTGGCTTTTTGACACCATTCGAGAGGGTACTGAATCATCGGCTTATTCGCAATAGGAATAAGTGCTTTGGGTAGCAACTCCTCAACGCCAGTAAATGGATAGAGGGAGGTCCCCGGCCCACAGAGAATGATGGCTTGAAACCCAGGTCCGGGAGGACAAGGATCCTTCTCTTTCGCTTCTTTCCCTCTTCCTTCTGTAGCCTTTTTGGCCTGCATAAGTCCTGAAGCTTCTACATATCCAATAGCCCTAGTAGCTCCGATGGCCCCAGTAACTCCTACATCTCCAATAATTTCGGTGGCCCTAGCAGCTCCAGGAAGCTTTGTGAGTTTCGTGAGCTTTGTAATTTGCGTGTCGTCCATCATAGATCTTGCGATATTCTAATTTTCAATGCTAATGGCTGGTGTTAATGGTTGTCCGTGTAGCTTAGGGCAAGGCTGGCTGAGATAGTTGAGACTCAAGCGACAGAGATTGAGTTGGTAGAGGTTGAGTTGGTAGAGGTTGAGTTGGTAGCGTTGAGGTAATTGAGTTGGTGATGGCTGGCTGTATTAGGAACAGTATTGGTTGTTCGGTTCGGAAAATGTGGAAATAAGACAAGGGGATCTTCCAAGATTCTTCAAATAACTCGGTTTGTAGGTGTTTGTTGAACTTTGAAAGTAAAAAAGAATATATACCTAGATGGAATGTTCAATAGGCGAGCGGATCACAGTTTGTTACTGTCACACGTAACGATGACTGAGTTGCCGTATATGTAGCAATCCTTACATGTATGTGTATCGAATTTTTGAGGCCCCTATGACCCTCAGTTGCAACATTGAAGGGCTCTACCGACCTACATGTAAATACAATGTAAGACGTCAAAATCTCAAATATGCAAGAACTAAATACTATGAAACTACATTTACCGGAGATTTAGCCCGATAGATCGAAACATCTATCAGACTCGCAAACATAGTTTACATGTAGTTAAATAAATCTCGTCTTTAGTCCATCCAGAACTCCACACGAAGCAGGTAACCAATTTATTCCCAATTATAGATACATTTAGGCGTTCGAAGGCCACCTCGTCATATTACTACGAGGCTGGGGGGTATTAGCTTCGGATCTCTGATCGCGCAGTATTGGTGGTGTGTCTATTCTGTCTTGCCCCATCTCTGCAAGTACTCTTGATGGCGGCTTGAACCCCCATTTCATGCCCTCTACTTGGACCCGGTTCATCATGACTTCCATGATACCGGCATCAGTAAATTCCAGGTATTTCCTGTATAATTTGAGTGCCGTCGAGGAGTCCTCGATTGAATCGTGCGTTTTCAATTGAATTTCTTCATTTAGAATCACCCACGCTAGGAATCGAAGCGATAATTTTCTATGGTTGTTAGTAGTTTTCTCGGTAGCGTATTCCTCTTAGGTTCCTTACCGGAAGGTTGTTTTTAAGGCGAATAAATCGACTGTATCCACCACTTGTTCCTTGGGGACGTGGATATCTACTCATAATTAGCACATCCCTGGACAGTCCGGCGAGTAATTATCAGTATCCATTTTCTAGGAGGGACAAACTTACTAATAATCCTAAAATCTTTCAACAATCCATGACCCACGAACACACACCCGAGATTCAATAGTAGCCATAATCGTTTGTATGCTACCTTCAGTGGCACCAATGCATGTCTGGACTGCATTGGATCGAGATCACCAAGATGAATACCCGAGAACTCAGTCAAGTAATCCACCACTGGCTCTTTGGTGATGATATAATCGTCCAGGAACGGAACTTCTTCATCCTCCCCCTCCCCCCTAAGCACAGAAACCCTTGCAAGGCCCAACCTACTAGGCCGCACAACAGAGCGTGAGCCGTCTGCCTTGACCTCGATCTCTTCGTTTTGCATTGACACGAATTCCGCATCTAATGCAACCAGCATCCCTGGTCTTGGCCCCTCTTCCGGTGTGAGTGGCTTGTATTTTGCTTCCCTATATACCTCACGTTTCCTGAACCCCCCGAAGTCAGCCAACCCAAGTGAGATGGATACTTTGTGTTTTTGAAATATATACCCATATGTCAAATCGTGATAAAGCAGACTGGTATCCAGATGATCCCTCCAGGAATTATCAACAACGTTGCTAGCGGACTTGACCTGGTAGCATAAGACTGATGGCATTTTCCATTTAGGCGTAAAGTCCAATGCATCCTCTTTGGAGACAGGTCTGACCATAAAATCGTTGAACATATGCCAATTGTTATCCTCGGTACGCTCCACTGACGAAAGAGCAACTATGATCAAACATCGTTAGAATTCACAAGGATTCCAACCATAAAAATCGTAAAGAAAGCCAAACCGTTAACGAAAGAAATGAGGTGCGAGTTTCGAGATTCTTCCAACTTGATCTCTGCTACAAAGCCGACAAGTTCATACACAATCAAGGCACCACTCCTATCTCTTTCTTTCATGGCATCCAGATCATCGCCTTGGTATATATTCAACTGGCTATTAGTCACAACCATTCCAATTTCGTCAGGTAGCCACCCGGGTGTCGACCAATGATCCTTCGCAAAGTTTGCGGTTTTTTCATGCGCGGTAGCATTGAACATTAATATTTTGGGCATCTTTCGAATGGTTTTCCGCATGACCTGCGTTTGATACCGACGACACTTATCACACCACCCTTTTTGGTTTGTATCTAGTTGGATACTCTGTTTTGCAATTGCGGAGAAAGCCATGACTGGTTTATTTGGGAGCTTTCTCTCTGGTCAGCTAGGGCAAATTTTACAAACATATGCACATACCTTTGGAAGATAATTAAGATCAGTAACGTTGGTGTCGCCCAAAGGACGAGTTTCCTTCCCACATACTACACATCGCTGGATCTTTGTAGCTGCAACATTAATGGCCTCTTCAAGTACAGTTGAGTTGGAATCCCAGTTTCTCTGATCCAACGAAACCTGGTCTAGTAAAAAGCGGTTTAGGCTCTGAATCATTGCCGTCAAAGAACCATTTCCTGACGAATCTTCCTCAAGTACACCGTGTCGAGCAGCTAAAACCCCGCGAAGGCCACCAGAAGATGGGGCAATCCCTATCAGTACTACAATTCATAGTGATTACACAAGGGACAAGGGAAAGCACACCGGTCGGTAAAGAGCTGAAAGTTTTCAAGAAGTTTGTAGCTTGACAATTTTGACCATTTGCTTTGTCCAACATATCGAATAAGAAACCCATTTGACATAACATACAGTCCTCTTTTGTACATGATGTCGCTGTGTGTTGGAGTGCCAAATTTCGTAATAATGGCGTGAATTTGTACATCTGCAATAGCGGATTCATATACGAATTTGCAATATGCGTTTCTAACCCCGAGAACCTCGTCTTGTTAAAATACCTATAAAAAGATGAGTTATGAAAATTTCTATCAAAGGGCAATATTTCGAAGATATGGCTCACTCAAAATCAAAATCGTCAACTCCAAATTTGCTATATTTAATCTCCACTTTTCGATACGCCGGCGGCACCTCAAACTGTCTCCGTGCCTCATCTCCAAATAGTAATTTGGCATCACCGAAATCCCCAGAATCTCTGTTTTTACTCTTAGCCTGCTGGCTTAAGAATTTTGGCGCAGGCACCGGGGTATCTGTAGGAGTTTTTTCGATACAGTACCGCGGTGTCCTCTTGTGATACGGCGCATATCCTGTCTTTGCTGAAGCTTCTAATATATCCGAGTCAATCTTTTGCGGAAGCTTATTCACATCGAACACCATGTGGGGTGGCCAAGCAGATAAAAGATCGTCATGATAGAACGGCATTCCTATGGTGTTGAGTGGAGTATCTTCATTGACTATTATATTAGGCAAAGGGTGAGGGTCTTGCCATTCCACAGGATTCATCAGTTCAGTAAATCTTATCTTGTCCGGCGAACCCCAGAGTTGCAGGTACCCATCTGCATCCATTAGGGCCAATGCATCACCCGAAGGAGCTAGTTCCATAGCTGTTATATAGCTAGAAACATTCGCATGATAGAGCTTCATAGCTGCAGGATTCATGATATCGATTATTTGGAATTGACCTGCTTGAGAAGCAATTATAGCTGATGCTGACATTTTCGGATGCATGCGTACGAAAGCTGCTCCAGAGGGAAACCCGATAGGTGGAAGAGCTCTATTCATCCGAAGATCATAAACTTTTACGAGTGTATCGAGATGGTAAGCTCCTTGCCTAATCCCTAGTTAGAATAAAAATTTACCACACGAGCTATTTTGACAGACCTTGGCGAATAACCGCAGGTTAGCAGGGTATTCGCTTGCGTATCAATGTCAGATATTGCGCTTCCATGAACTTGAGAAAATTCCTTGATAATCTTCATGGTGTTCATGTCCAGGAGCTTTATGTCCCCCTTCGCTGTGCCATATACAATTGATCTTGAGCTCCGTTTCATAACTTTGATATCGTCTTCTGTATCATACTATACACTCCGTATACAGATTAGTTGCCATTAATTCGGGGGAAAGGTTGACACAGATGTAAATACCTCTCCCAAAACTGTCCCACGGTCGAGGTTCACTGTAAGCATTGAGTACTGACTACCGCCAACCAAGATCTCCGACGTCCCTCGATTTGTATACGCCATTGTTGAAAGATTCTGGAATTTATCATTCCTAAAGTAATAATAATCGGTCAATGTCCTTCCAACACCAAGTATCCGCCACGCCCAAAGATCCTCTCAGCGAGGGGGTTTACCGACTGTATATTCCACTGTGCCAATCCCCTTCTAATAGCAAAATGCAAGCTCTTTGCCGACAAAGATATCACCCCCCGATCATTGACCATAACCTGCCTCACGGCATTTTCTGTCGACAACATAGGATTGGCGTGCGCATGGCCACGGTAGCTGGTGTATTTCCTCAACTCTGGCCCAAAGTACGATGTCACTCTTCCCTACTCAATCACAGATGTATCCGTCAAAACCGACACCATACGTCCCAAACAAGGTTCAAAACCTACATGTTCATTCCCGAGCCATAATAACTCTTGATTCGTATCAAATGTTATAGCTGGAGGTAGAGATGCGCTGTAGCCCACAACCTGCTGCGAAGTCGGCGCGGCGCCGATTCGTGCTACCTATATACAATGATGAGTTTTGTGTTCTTGAAAACCTTCGATTATGGGCGCTTACCTCGTGCCAATCTGATTCCATGAAGCTGATGCTATCGTTCCATGAGCCGATACCTTGTGGAGGTGGGGGATGCGGCTCACATGTATGTATGCCATCAAGGTTAGGGTTGCTGGAATAGATAAGGTTAGCGTACCGAATCTAAGGGCTGCCAAGGCTGAACCTTTAAATTCGAGTTTTCGCTGACTTCCCTTCGAAGTTCCTACAACTCACCAGCCGATGTTTCACCGCCGTTTAATCCCTATTGCTACACTGTATATATAAATGTGAATAAAGCAGAAATATTTATAGTACTTATCCCGATCTCTCTACTCTCGAAATAACCGCAACCTACTCTATTCCAGCCACTTGCTCCACCTAGGAATCAAACAAGTTTTCTTCAGAAGAAGAAGACCACTCCCTTCCATACTGCGTCTTGTGGTCGAAGGTGTGGTGGGGCTGTAGGGTTGTCTGTATCGTATTTACGATATGGGCTCAGTTGCAAGAGTAAGCATTACCTAAAGAACCTTCATAGTACATATTCGGATGAAACCTCTGTGTTTCCAAGCCCACTCGGGTGTGTCTCCTTGCGTTCTACATTTATCTATACATGTACATTTATGTAGGAGAATCAATCAGTTTGTGCAGTTCAAATTGCTATGGTTCTATCATGTTTTCTCCTAGATATTATGGATATATTGCGTGAGGTAATGAAACGGGTATCAAACTACATGTACTAACTACAAATAAGGATAAAACGGCCCTCCCATAAAAAAAAGAACCAAAGAAATTATAAAGTAAAACGACTGACGATAAACCTTGCCCCCTTTCCTTGAACCCAACCCAGTTATAATGAACGTCAGTAATTACCCTCAAAATAGCAGAAAACGACCGATTTTCTAAACCCATCCTGACATTAAACGCCCCTTCCCAAAACATAACAAAACAAAACAAACCGAAATTCCATACACAACTCACTAGCAGATGATACAAGCACCCCCTCTCTTCCTCCCCTCATTCGCCTGCGCTCTCTCTTCCTGCCTTCTCCTCCTATCTCTAACATTAATCGCTGCGCTCCTCTGCGCTCTGCTTCCTCTCCTACTACCCCCATTACTCCTAACACTTCCTCCTCTAGTTGTACTCATACCGCGCCTGAGTCCGCCAGTACCTGTAGTTGGTGCTCCGGCAACATATGATTCTTGCAATGCGACCCTTCGCCCGCGCGAGGCAGACCTTGCAGGACTAGGTCGTCGCGTAGGCATTGCTCTGTAGTTGGGGGAGTCTCTCTGTCCAGGTGGTAAGCCTGGCGAGAGCATTGAAGTGCGGTATTGTCTGGGCGGAGGCGCTGTGTGTGGCGGCTGTGAAGGCGGCGAGGTTTGTATTGGTGGCGGCTGTCTGGACTGTGTTTGCTGCTGCTGCTGCTGGGGTAACGGAGCAGAATTCTCCCTATACATAGCAGGAATTGGCGGAACGTTTGGAAAGTTCAGTGCATCTCCTGCACTACCTCTGCGGCCATGACTCTGCTGTGGTTGTGGGGAATTGTGACGCTGTTGATTCGCAACATATGTTCTTTGAGGTTGTAGGGTACTGCCAGGCAATGGGCCAGTTCTTGGACCCTGAAAAACAGATGGCGGCATCCCAACAGCGGGGCTAACGGGCGCTGAACGGGACTGAGCAATGTTCCCCGCGCTATAGTTTGGGTGTATGGAAAGATGTGACTGAGAGGCTCCAGTGTTAACAGTGGGTCTGAAAGCGCTTGGTCGCCTCATCATGTTCCCCACAGTGCTTTCGATAGTTGTTCTAGTCCTCTGAAGCGTAGTCATTGATCTTGATGGCGATGGAGATAGCTGATCATTCAGGACATATGGTTCTGTTACTCGAGGAGGCCCTTGTAAGGTCATAAGTAGATGCTCTGGTAAAGGAAGATTATCTTCGTTTCTTGGAGTATATGGCGGTGGTGGCGGAACCCAGGCTGACCCGTCATCATGTCGGGTTTGCTGAGGTGCTGCTACGTTTTGCGGCACAGGCCTGCCGTCTGGGCCAAGTGCACGGGCATATCGACCTCCAGTTGCCGGTTGTGGTGTGTTCCTAGCAGCTGTTGCAGCACGATGCAGAGTAGTTCTTGAACGTGGCTCCCCTTGAGAATAAGGTAGATCTATAGGCTCGGTAGATTCATCCTCCTCGTCGAAGGTGCGTTGCCTCCGTACTGGAACCGGACCGGGGGAAGTCCGTGGCGGCGCAGAGGAATGTAATGCAGCCGGTAGTCTCGGGATGGGGGGAATATAGTTATTGCTGTGGCTGCTCTCTGGTGCACCCTGAGGACGCATGCTTCGTCTTCTATCATTGTCCCTCTTTTGAGCTACAGTTCTACGTCTAACGATATCCACCTCCACTTCAATGTCGTTATGCTGCTCCTCAAGGGTTTCGACCGGCCCTTGTATCCCGTCTCCAATTTCAATAGTGATTATCGTTTTCTCTGCTGTCTTCGGAGTTCGCCCTAGGTCATATAAAACCACTCGCCCACCTCCAATTGCCAAGAATTCTTCCTCCCCTCCTTCACCGAGCATTCCATCTACACCTCCGCCGGCTACGGCAACCAGCCTCTCTGTTCCGTTGCTGCATTTGACGAATTTGATCCCAGACAGCGCATGTACATCCCCAATCTCCCTGCCTCCAATAAATGGACCCCTCATTTTATCGCACAACACTTGCCATTGGGGCATCACAATCGTTCCAAGCTGTCCACTGACCCAATTTGGCGCCCTCCCGGAAGTGCTGTTGCTTCTAGATGGAGCGTTAGAGCCATCCCCATCCTGGCTCGGTGTTTCCGCTGGTAACTCTAATTTCCTAGGAACGCCATAGATCCAAACCTTTCCCGAGAATCCGGCAGCTACCATCCTTCCGTCTCCGGTGGGCGCAGGCAACGTAGTCGGTGCCACAGCGCCGTTTTCGTCGCTGGGTCCTGTAAAGTATGTGTGTCCGTTCCTCAAATCATCAACCCTGACCGCTCTAAACATTTCATAGACCCGATCATAGGTAAAAGTCCAGGTATTCTCTCTATCATCCTCTTCCGGTAATAAGCTTGCATGGCTGCTGTCCCTCGAACTTCTGGGGAAAAGGACTTGGGTTGTCCATAACTGCGCTAATCCTTCAACAGGCAAGTCTGTTGAGAAATGCTGCGCAGAAACCATGACGGTCGTAGGCGTTTTGCAGTTCAGCGTTGTGCCCACTAATATTGATCCATCTGGCGAAAAGGCCAAGGTATCGACAGGATCACAGTTCACTGCCCGGCGATCTGTTGGGAGAGCATCTGGAAGCAATGAGTAGACCTCTATGCCGCCATTATAAGCTGCTCCAAGAACCTCCGCACCTGGCGAGAGTGCGATAGTACGAGGTGCGTTTTCGAGCGGAATGCTCTTTATGAGCTGCGCCTTTGTCTGGGTAAGATCGTATAGGGCGACAGTGTGATTTGAGCTCAGGACAGCAAGCACGCTCCCATCATCAACGATAGCTGCGCATACCGGTCTCCTGCTGATCTTAAGCTCACGTTTAACACAAATCTCCTCCACTGATAAATCCAGTACAAATATTCTACTAGAGCTCAATGCTAATAGGTGTGTTCCTTTTGGCGAGAACTCGAACCTAAAGGCCTCGCCTCCAGGAAATGCAGCGGCCGAAGACGAAGCCTCGCAGATGAGTTGGATCTCCGTCACCCGCGGCCTCAGCATGGTCTCGAATAACTCACGACGCGCTTTTGCTGTGAACATTCTAATAAGTCCTGGTAATGAATCATCGGTAGGTTCCTCCGGAACATCGGTTGCACCACACTGCTTCAGTTGGTGAGCATAGAGCCGTGGGCTTTTCGAGGCTTGGTGCCATTTCGAATTGACAAGAGTGAGAGAATCGAAAGTATTTGGGTCGGCCGCGTACAGTATTCTAGGTTATCGTTAGTTTGCTTTTCTCGTGTAGCCAGATGTCACCAGCTGACTTTGTGCAAATATGTAATCTCAAACAACGTACTCTTGTATGATCTCCCTCGGCAGCGCTTCAAAGGCTGAAAACTGAACCTTCTCTTTACCCTTCCCCTTGCGATCAGGTGTTGTATCAGTGTTATCCCTCATGGGTAACGGTTTTTTCCGTATTGGCGAGTTCATTTGGAGCGGTCTTTTCGCAAAATACGTGAATGAAGGTGTTACTTTCTGAAAAAATATGCGAACGAAGGTGGAACAAACAAACAAATGAGGGGGAGAAGAGAGTTGATAAAAGGGATTATTACGGATAAAGCGTCAACCCATCAAAGGGGTCACAGGCGAGGAATGAATGGACTGAAGCCCTGTGAGAAGTCAGGCACAGGGGGCGGGCGCATATATACATGTATTCTAAGGAGAATTCCCAGGAGGCAAGTACAGGCAAACGGTGGTACAGGTACCTACGTACATCCATCTGGGTACTCTAGATACTTGTAGGTACATGAGCGGGGATCGGAGCCTATGCAGGCAAATAATAGTGCGTACCAACCTGTTCTAGCAAGTACCCACTAACCTGAAATATTTGTAGAATATATCTACCGGTAGTAATTTGAAATCTACACTACAATATTTATCAAATTAATTCGGGTCAGCTCTCACTTCAACAAATTCCATGCATACAACCCCCTTTTTAAGAAGCTTTGAGATCGCCCTGAATTTCCCCTTGAATGTAGGCAGTCCACACAAATTAGAATATGTAATCCGCCCACTCCTCGCCTCTCTATGTTCCACTTGCTACTACTCTACTATTTCCAGCGGAGTGGGCGATTGTCAATGACAATGTGAATCCCTCCCACACTTTGCCTGATCGAGTGGGCTTGTTTTGTGTAACGACCTCTGCCCGTGGACAGATGCAGCCGAATCGAATGGCCACCCCACTGAAAGAAATAAGTCCAACTGCATGATTTCATCAGCCGAAACGTAACCGGCTCTCCCCGGGCTGGGTGGACAGGTTTCGAGTTTGGGCTTCATTCCTTGCTTCTAGAACGGCTGGTACTGTCATTCACGGGGTATTGGCGGATACTGGGTGATGGTGGACGGAGCAAAAAAAAGAGACAGCCAAGCCAAATTTTACCAATACCCAGTATCCACCAATACCCCGTGAACGACGGTACCTTTTCTTGCTAAGTCAAGGTACAATGTAGAAAGAGTACTTACTCGAGTTATTGACGATGATCGATCTCGTGTCACTGCGTCAGTGGCATGGATGACATCTTGCTACCTGCCTGATTTCCCTTACTCTCCGTTAGACATGTGGCTAACACGACGTTACTTGTCAGACTACAACCAAAACCGGGCTGTAGTCCGAGTCCGATAGGAGTAGATGGCTTCCCTAGCCACCCGAACACCCTCACCCGAACAGTCAACGTCAAAAAGAAAGGATCTTCGTTGCAACCGGTGTGTGTACCAATCATACTCAACTGTTCGGGTGAGGGGGTGTTCGGGTGGCCAGGGAAGCCATCTAATAGCCTCGAAAATACAGGCCGACAAGTCGCCAGTAATGCTCTATCTTGAAGCGCATGCGCAGTAGATACAGCGCTTTTATGAGTATGTACATACTTACACCTAGCTATCAATAAATAGATGATTATTTTAGCCCGGGAGTTGGGCAAGCGTTTGGAACGGGATGTAAACCAAAGGAAGAAAATGGTCCCCCTAGGTTCAACCTGAGCAAGGTAAGGGCTTGAAACATTGCTTGCCAATCAACGGGAATCGGGGCCGTTATGAGGCTCGGGCGAGCTAGGATCTGATCTGTACTCTAGGTAAAGTACCTACCCTGCCATATGTCTCTCGGTGGTCGGGGCTGGCATAGTAGAATGAAACTTATATATATCTAAGTACATGTAGATACAAGAAGGCATTTATTATGGGACCTGCATGCACTCTACATGTACCGTACATACTGTACTTATAAGGCATCGGGCATTGAGAGGATCTGACGTTGGCAACGGGTGCTTAGGCTTTCGAATTTCGCCCGATGTGCGACAAAGCAGCTGCAGATTTTCTTATTCTCCAAACAAGGGCCAGGAGAGATCGATCTAGAGTAGGGTAGCAATCCAGAGGTGCTTATTGGTGGGTCAAGGCCCTAGAGATCGCATGGTTGATCACGGTGAAGCAGTCCTTAGCTGTTGTAAAAGCAAGGGTATTCATGCATTTAACCCGCTATCGCTAACTAAATAGATTCTACATGTACTCTAACCACTATCACCAATCATACGGAGTTTGTTTGCATTGCTATGTAGAGTAGGCACATGTATTTACATATAGACATCAGTTAATAGATAAGAATGCTAGTGCGCACCAATCCAACAGTTCATGAATTCCAGGAATCACCAGTCTAAGTATAGCGAAGTCAAATCAAGGTTACTAAGTTACAGCATCATTAAACGCCTACCTAACTATTTTAATAAAGAGGTACATTATTTGTATCCGTTCACAAGCCAGAATCCCAATTTTTACATGTATTTATTACATGTACTTTTCACTGAGAAATAAAACCGAGATCTATATGTATTGTCTGTGCGATTTTATTTGATAAAGTCGTCGTATTTAGCGTATTTAACGTATTTAGACGGTATGACAGCTAACTCTGTATGTGTAGCTGGAATGTTGAGTGCATGCCTGGAGTACAAGTGGGTACATGTATGTAAATAGAATTTACCATACTCTACATAAGAACTCTACTCTACAGTACATCCGACTAGGACCGGGATAAATGCATTTTAATACTCCCCCCCCTGGGAGATGCCCGTATGTACGCTACTTGAGGCACAGGCATCGTAACCAGCCCCTTATAATTTTTTAGTAAAATCCCAACTGATGCAGGTCCTCCCGCGTCCTAGCGCTTGAAATCCGCGGTTAATACGAAAACGCGCGTTTATAAGATGCGACTACCTAATCCAATACCTGATTGGCTGATTCTTCTCGACAGAAAAATAACACTTTTAAAAACGGTGCAGTAGGAAAATGATTTCAATAAGTGAAACCTCTTATTAATACTACATGTACGCATACAGTACTAGGTATAATATATACACAAATGTTTATTCATATAAGGATTTAGCTGCATTATACACCCACGGGAAAAAAAAGTAAGGAAACAACGCCTGCACTTAACACCAACCCCAATGACGAGAAATAGTTGAACTACAAAATGAGAAAGAGAGTATAGTACAGCCTCTAAAGTATATTTAACACCTTGTACAGCCTCCCTTCAAAAATCATAGTTGTTTAATCGCGTTTATAGTCACTCGTTGTTTCGTCACTTTTCCTGTGGGTGTACATTGTACCTTGAGCGGCTCGAGGCGAACAAAAATATTGCGTTGAGAACGATTGCCTCATAATTAACCCTCATAGCCTGAACTGGCAAAGCTTTAAAGGCCTCCTCGTACCGGTCTACACTGCGTAATGATCATGCATGTAGTCAATGTCTAGCTACGTATACTTAGTACATAGTTGTAAAAAGCATTACAGCATTCCCTCATTCTAATTGTATTCAGACACGGGGTTCATCTAAATGTCATGGCACCAATTTCGATTCTGTACATAAGTACAATGTAACTAGGTACATTATACCCCCATACATTTATAGAGGCGACTTCCTCAAAAGTGTGAATATGTCTCGAAGGCAAATGCAAACCCCGGAGAACGATGGGTAAGGGAATAGAAACAGCAATAACCAAATCAAGAACAAGGAATCGATAATATCCAAGAACCCTATGAAATAAGGGCTATAGGGAAGACATCACGAAGAGGCCAGATAAACTGGGAGAAATATAGTCTGGCCAAAGGTTAATAAAGTAAATGAAGTTAGGAAGGCAGACAGACGTCGCTAGCGCTTTCGCAGACAAGAAAGGGAATGAATTAAAAAAAAATCTCAATAGAAAAACATTGGTTCATACCTGGCTTTGGGGTACATACAATACCCAGAGCAATCACTCCGCTACAAGCCCAACGTCCAATAAGGCAGTCCTCCATCGATCGGCCGTTTCTATGTTCACATGCGTCTCCTCCGCAGTAAATATAATCCTTTTCCAGATAAAGTCCCACTCATCAATCCACTTCTTTACCTCCTTGGATTTAGGGCCTGTAGAGTTCGACCCGGTAGTTTCGGCCCATTGAATCCACTCAGACAAGCGTCTATTAAGATCACCGTTTTTAAAAGCGTGCCCATAATACGCCGGCAGATACTCACGGAACACAGAAGCCCAGTACGTATGGAAAAACCTTTCCAGGTCAATGATATTTCGAACCTGCTCCTCTGGATGGCAGTTAAGTGCCTCAAGGGTGAACTCAGCTGTCCCGACTAATTTGCTCTGCACACATTGTTTCAATAGCGGCACGAGAGTAGCGACTAACTCTGCAGAAACTCTCTGAAGGAAGCTGTTGAGATTTCTTTTGACTTGTACTTTATTTTCATCGTTCCTTGGGAGCCCCAAAAATGAATTCGACGTTCGAAGTAGACGCCTGGAGATGTTGTCGGGTTTACTATGATATTGGGGTTTTTGCGCAGATGTTGCAGTGGTGGCGTATATAGACGCTTCCAAGCCGTTTCCCATCGCGCGTTTCGGTGGAATATCTCTTGTAATATCCCCACTCTGGGAACGACCAATCCCCTGATAAAAGCATGGTTCGTTCATGTCTCTATCTGTACCGGTAACTCTATAAACGGGCTTCGTATATACAGGGGTAGATATATGTGTATGACGCATAGAAGCCTGGCGATCCTCGCGGTTATAGGTTGTATAATCAGACACTGAACTATACCCACTGTTTAGCCTGGATGGCCCTCGGGAACTAACAGCGGTTTCTTTAATCTCCGTTGGATTGATTGAATTTCCAAGAATACGGGCGAGGATTGTTTCAGCGGTAAGTATCTCACCAACAATCGATACGGTTTTGATATCTCGGATAATTATCAATGATATTGATCACTAAATTATGGGCAGGAAAACTAAAACATACTGTGAATCATTGCTTGGACGCAAAGGTTCTTGTCATTGGATAGAAGAACTGTTTCATGGCTATTTTTGAAGTATCTATAGAAAATACAGTCAGCAAGCAATTCAAGAATACCATCAGCTAAAGTGAGGGCGTCTTTTCGGGTAATTCATTCTCCTGAGTAAAATGTACAGATCATTGCTATCTGTTACGCATTTCTCGAAGAACGACTTCCCCTCCCCCGACGCCCCACCAAGTGATAGTACTATGTGAATCTAAAGATCGGTATCAATGGGGGCTATTATAGCAAAGATGCATAGGTCAACCTCACGGTTTCACTAGCTGATATATATGGGTGTGTTTGTAAGGGAAGCCACTAATTTAGGGCTGGCTTTCAAATTTATACTGAATTTCGGGGTTGAGTATATGTGTACTGACCGGCAACATTCAAGGATTGCAGCATCTCCACGAACATAAGAGTCTTCACATTCCTCCTTAGTCTGACCCCAAACACCGGGGTCAAGTTTCGTGAACATTCCGAATGCCCAGTTGATCGCATTTCTGGCCAGCTTTCCAAGGTCAACGCCTTTTTGTGCGTGCAAAGATTTCTTGAGACCATCCAGTTCTTGTATAGTTGCCCATGGCATGACAACAACATTTTTCCAGCGATGATGAGAGCGAACAAGATTATCAACCAGCTGAAGGTGGGAAATAATAAAGCTTGTATCAATTATAAGCAAGCAAGATGGCCGAGAGATACGAGACTTTGAAACTGAAGGTCGTAGCCCAGGTTTCAACTACGCTCGTCAGCAATTCAGTATTGAGATATGGAGGTAGAGAGAGTTACATCAACGTATTCCCTCATATTCTCGGCCTGGCGTTCGTTTCTGGTGAGCTCGGTAACCATTTTGATAATTCCAGGATCATTTAGATCCACCATAACAACATCCCCATCATAATCAATTGTCGTATCAAAGGCGTAATCATCGGTAGCGCCCGAATCGAGGTGCATATCCTCCATATCATAATCATTATCGAAGTTTCCAGGGTCGTTGGCAGGCTCCTGGGTAATCAGGAGAGATGTCTGACCATTCCTAAAAACAGCAGAAGATGGGATATTTCTCATCTCATCTCCTGTAGGTGCCCATCTTGAGGCGCTCAGATTCATGCTGGATATTTAGCGATCCTGTAGCAGTACTCGTAGCAGTGGCTGAAGCCGTTCACTTCTGAATTCAGATACCGAGCCTTTGTATCAACAAGGAAGATCGGTTCCGCAGCCGGGAAGAGCTTAAAACAGAATATACTCTAGGGATCAAAGTTCTATACGCTCAGGATCTGAAAGAGATGTGTAGGGAAGCTGTATAATATAGAATAGCGTAACCAAGAGTATATGTGTTAATAAAGCACAATACAAGCCGAAGAAAGATGGAGAATGTTGGGGAGATAAATGTGGGGATGTAGTTGCGTACGTAGAGAATCGAAGAAGCCAGAAAACAGGAAGATAAAAAAAGCCGACGAATGAAAATGAGGGGGGGGGGCAGATATGGTGAACCTTAAGATAGAAGCGAGACGAGCTAAAAATGAGATTAACTAATAGGTCTCTCGACTTCACTTTTCATAAAAGTTAATACACCACACAAAGGCTCGAGTGACAGTAGATGATGCATGGCCTACAGGACGATACACGTAAGTGATGTTCTGATTATTGAAGGACAGGGTAACTACAGTACCATAAGGAATCAAAGCCGGGTAACACAAGCACTCATGTGTTACCAAAGGTTTGTTGTCCCCACATGCGCGACATGGCCAAACCAAGCCCTGAGCCTCTTCAACTGCCAACTCCCCTTCGCACATCAGCAACTCCCGCACATTCGCCAGACTCTAGATCTTCAATTTTCAAGGACAAAATCATACATTCCTACTTCGATCCCCTTGAATTTTAATTCTTACAACCCCGGAATTAACGCAAGCCTACCATGGAGGACGATGAGATGCGTGATGTACCTTCTGCTGAAGAACAACTCGAGGAAATAGGCGCGTCAAAAATTGCTCCTCCTCAAACAGGAGCTGGTGCACCGGCTGTAAGATCTGTCGAGGGATGGATTGTACTCGTCACAAACGTACACGAGGAGGCAAGTGAGGAGGAGCTTCATGACAAGTTTGGGGAATATGGGGACATCCAGAATCTACATCTGAATCTCGATCGAAGGACGGGTTACGTCAAGGTATGCAACCTCAACTTGATGCATATCAAAGCGATTTCCAGCTGGATTGGACGACTTAATAGAGTGTATGGCCACACTTTATTTCTGAGTTTTGAGCTCAATTCTGTGTGCTTGGCAGTGGAGAGAGCACATCTGTGCTGAACGCTGTCGCCGCTAACTCTCATTGAGTTTCTTATCGCATGCTATATAGTTACTTTAACTGTTAACAGTGGCAGCTTTCGGCACAGACGTGCTCTCTCCACTGCCAAGCACACAGAATTGAGCTCAAAACTCAGAAATAAAGTGTGGCCATACTCTATACAGTCGTCCAGTATGTTCAATTCCTCCGTAATTTACTAATTACCTTATATTTCCTTGCGTATAGGGATACGCCTTAATAGAATACTCTACACTTGCCGAGGCTCGCGATGCAATCGCCCAAACAGACAATACTAAACATCTCGATCAAACCATCTATGCCGATTTTGCCTTCGTCAGTCCACCACCTGACCATAAGAGCAGTAACCGCGGTGGCGGTGGTGGGAGAGCCGGTGGCGGAAGGGCCAGTGGTGGTGGAAGGGCCGGTGATAGTGGATCCAACAGACGTGACAGAAACAGCGGAAACAGGGGAGGTCGTGGCCCCGCAAGGTCGAGCCGGAGTAGATCGCCTGCTGCAACGAAAGAGGAGGACGTGGAGGAACCCACACAAGCTGCCCCCGAGAGCTTGGAGAGCCGAATCGGATAAAATTTGTTGTGTGTTGTCAGCGATTGGGCCGTTGAACCACAGATAGAAATCCTTTCTCTCTTGGTGATACTGGTTCCCTGTTTCACGAACTATGTGTATTAATAATATTTTTGAGTGCCAATCAAAATTAACCTTGGGCTGGAGAATATCTTTCGGGAAGGGCAAAATGGTTAATCTTAGACCTTGAATAAACGTCAGACCTGTCCTTGTCGTAGCTCATATCTTGACTGCATCCAATCCAACACAGATTTGACGGTATGCAGGGAAATCATCAATTAGATCTTTCTGCGGTTGTTGCGTAAATGGCAATATTGGCTCGCTTGTAACTATAGTTAAAGTCCTTGCAACAACACCCTGAAGCAGCAACTTATCGAGGCGGATAATATAAGGGCTCAGGTAAGGAACGATGTCTGTCTTAACCAAAGTGACATTGAAAATTCTTGAGCTTTTTGTTAGATTCGTACCGGCACAAAGTTCATCTCCGCCAAGACAGCATGAACACATATACAATACACCGGCGGCCGGTTTGAAGCCGCTCAAAGAACTATGGCAAGTGATTTGGCAGCTAATAAGAGATCGCCTTTTTTGCAGTCTTTAGATCAATTACTTTTTTTTGTATGAGCGGCTTCAATCCGGCAGCGCGAGTATATGTATGGTATATACTCCGCCTAGGAACTTTTTCTGAAGTCTTGGCTCCAAGGCGAGTGATTTTTAATGATGAGAGTAAGTATTATTACTAGATACATATACTTAGGGCCTGTTCGGCCGACCATAAAATACTATAATATTAGGCCATCTATCATACCGTGGTATTTGGGTGTTTGTTTAACCACAAGCCTCTATAAAAATATCAATGTATTAATGGACTTGTTTATTCCCAACACTTGAATCTCAACTAGCTCCTTGCCTACATACAGTACCAAAAAACGGGTGGGGATTAGTATGGTAGTACTACGCGCATTCCACAAAATAGGGTAGCGCTCCAGTAGTCAAAAAAGCAAAGCCGCATTTCAGCAAATGCTCTATCAATGCCGTATCAATAGTGTATTATATAAACTATGTATGCTATGGATTGCGTAGTGTGGGTGGTAAATATGTACTACCATAGTGATTCCGCATTTCATAGTATTTGGGACAATGCCAGGCTAGCTCTCACCTAACCCTGAAATATTATATTTGGGGATGAAGCATTTCGGAATCAAAGATCACCAGATATTCATTCATGCTTGGCTCCATCAATTCTAATTATCCTAGGATGGGCTTTAAACATTTGGGATATACTTTTGAAAAATAAATTTTGTGCTCTTAAGCATCCATATACTCGCTACTCCAACCTGAGGCACCACCCACTACTGGGTTGTGGTGCTCTTGTAGTGGTGGTGATGATGGTGGTTGTGATGATGGTGATGATGGTGATGGTGATGGTGGCTGCTTCAAGTTGTGGTACTGGACTTAGCGCTGGACCTGGTGCTCTCACTGTACTTGGCGCTAGCGCACCGGACCTGCTGCGGGTCACAGAGCTAAAATACGTCTATATTGCTGTGGTAGTGCTACGGTATTCTGTGAAAAATAGTTTCCTCAAAATTCTGAAATGATGCCGCTGTCCTCAAAATACCCTATTAGGACAACACTACCGTAGTACTACGATACCTATCCCTACCCCTTTTTTGGTATTGTATGTACGTACCCAGCTCCAGCCACAACCAGGAAAGTCTACTCAAGTTGGTCCGGTGGAACACTTCAATACTAAGGCAATGCTCAGTTTTACTATGGGGATGAAATATCACGAATCGTTCACACCATAATATCGAATACCACGCCCGACCGAACGGGCCCTTAATGTTTATCCTCTGCATGATGTAAACGCACCTGAGATATTTTCTGAATGGGAGTAGAGCTAGGGCAAATGTTGTGTCATCGAGTCTAAATTTGCTACTCAAGGGTTATCAGGTGAATTAAGGCCAAAAAGGTCTAAATTTAGTTTAGTGATCATGAGGATACCGAGCCTTTCGGCTCGCCTCCTCTTTCAATAGTTCTAATTAAGTAAACTATTTAAGTGATATATAAAAGGTTTTATAAAAGCACATGTAACCGCCCTTCTATCTTGTTGAAATTACAATCCTTGCAATCTGTGGGCATAAACAAATTGAGGTTGTAATAGGGCCTGAAAGAAGACTATTCATCTAGAATCCTTCAGGTACAACCTACATGACTATAAATGTATTCTATTCGTAGTCAACAGAAGCCTAAGGAATGAACCGAACATATCGAGGGATGACAAAAAAAAGAAGAAACTAAAGGATATTCCCTCACATGCCACCTCATTCCGCACAAGAAACAGACCAAAATATCATACACAATCATGCCAGTAAAAGAAATGTACCCTTACGGACCGCCAAAATACGTAGCTTACTTTTAGTTTAAAGCCTCGGCCTACCGGCCAGAATACCTTTCAGAAATAACTGATGCGGAAACAAAATCGTTTTGTTTTAACTCGCAGCACGTGGAAAGAACTCTTTCAAAAACAGTATCCACAAGGTTCGATACCTGGTTATGGATGGTATTTTTAACGAGAGTTGAAGAGGCATTCGGAACTTTCCATCCTACCGGTATCTTGTCGTTAAAGCTCGTAACAATGATGGCAACACCGGGGCTTTCCACCATTAGAACGTCGATGAATCTTCGGCACATGAGACAGCCCGGCTTTGAAACCCCAAGCTGGATTTTCAAATATCTTTTCTTTTGATTATTGATGCACCAATACTTTTTCAGAAGATACAATGCAAGAGCGCATTCACAATGCACAGATGACACAATCATCTGTTTCTCAGTCAAATTGACGGAACTTTCTGTAGATGATTTCATCTGCGGGAAAACCAAACGAAAATGATCCTGCGTGAATACAGATTCTACATTCCTATCTTTGGCCCATGTCTTGAGAATCTGCTCTGGGCTTACAGAGAGAGAAATGCTAAAAGACTCAAGCGATAAAACCTATGCGAAACGACTGATAAGTAAAAAAGCAGTATTCTAGATCTTAAAGAAAAGGAATTACCTCTTCAATTGTCGTACAATGCTTTTTTGGTCCTTTCAGATCTGAAACCTCGGCCACCAGTATCCGAATGGCCAATTCATAGTCGCCAAGCTTTCTGATGCGATACAACAGGACTTCGTCAAGTATAAGATCAATATTAGGTGTCGCGGATATTGCCCAGGAAAGCCTGATTAAAGTTCCGAAGTTAACATCAGGCTTCCCAACATCAGCTCTCATTCCATCAAAAATCCGGGTCAGAAATTGTTTTATAGTCTCTTCTTTCGGGAAGTAATATCCTGGAATAAATTTCCTGAGTGAAGTCTCAATATCCATGATATAAGGACTGGAAACTATTCTATAATGGCCTACAGCTCTATTGAGATGTCCCAATCGATGGCAGATCTTGGTGAGCCGCCTGTTGATCTTGAGAGTACAGTTCTGAATGACGTTATGTAGAATGTCCGTCCGGCATGCGGCTTTTGTCTTTTCGTCCCTACTAGCGAGGGCGCGTTTTAATACACGGTCGATGTATTCACGCTCTTGTTGATTACAAGGTTCCTTTTTGGTATAGTAGATTGAGATCTTTTGAGGATGTCTGATAAGAGAGATGGCGCCGACGTCGTGAGGGCCCCGAGTGATAAGGAGCAGAGAAACAAGGTCTAGTAACCGCATATCAGGGTTTCTATAGTAGAATTGATGGGCCGCTGCATGATAGTTACGTTGTTTATGGTCTCCATGGTGATGGGTGATGGAAAGGATATTTAGTTGATCGTTGAATGTAATAGTTTGCTGTGCTGATATAGATGGCTTATCAGCTATAGGAGACGTCGACTGAGACATCATGGGTGATTGATACATGTATGTAATTGTGTTGAAGTTACACTTATGGGTCGTGGCCTGCGGAGTGGGGCATTCTAAGGTGACGTGCATAAGACGTACTTTAGTGTTATGAATTCTTGCCCGTTCGCAACACACTCGAAACAACCACGTTCTTAGCCAGAGTCTTTGCGTGAAAGGCCATGACGTGTTGGCCTTCTCGTTTTGCTTGTATGTGAAAACTTATCTATATTCTAATTCTGTTCTAACAGTTAATAAATACATGTATAACCAATATTAACACCTTGATTACATATATGTACGTGTACATATATTTAGACCTTACATGTATTTTGATGTCCAATTATCTTAGGTCTTGGCAGAATATTCGAGTGAGTTCGAATGATGCAACGAAAATAAGCCATGGACCCTTGACTATGGGAGCGGGAGCACCCTGGTGGGTGCGTCATCGTTGTGATGGCCGTCACGGAACTAACCGCTCCTGTTATGTAGTCGCCCCACCACCAAGCTGCAAAGTAAATTTATAGCCTACCCCACTTCTCCACTTACATGAACCATCTTGTTTTCAGAGCATTATTCAGAAATCATCAAAAAATGTCTTCAATTACTCCCGTAAGTACATCGTCTTCGTTCCAATTTCAATGATACATCTTGGTGCTGATGATGGCTAGGTTTCTACCACCGATGCTGCGCCTGGTAAGATGCTTCTTGATTGAGGTTCGGTACACTTGCTGATCTTGTTTGCTTTGATTGAAAAGCTGCGGGTCCATATGTAAGATATTCTCAACTGCCAATGATTTAATTCTGTTGTTAATAATCGAATAGTCCCAAGCTATCAAAGCCAATGGCTTGATTTTCTGCTCTGGCCAGATTCCTGCCGACAAGGACGGGAATGTTGTCGAGGGAACCATTGAGGAACAAACAGTGAGGAAATTCTGAGTAATTCCGCCCAGGTTCGCTGCTTACGGATTGTTGCAGGATGTTGTTTTCAACAACATGAGGGCGGTCTTGAAAGCTGCTGGGAGTGACTTGAGCAGGGTTGTTAAGACCAGTGTTTTCCTTGACGACATGGCAAACTTTGCGCGCATGAATGCGGCTTACGAGAAGAACTTCAATGGTCACAAGCCGGCTAGAAGCTGCGTTGCTGCTAAGCAGCTGCCAAAGGGTGTACCTGTCGAGATTGAGTGCATCGCTTTGGAGAATTAAAATTGATACATGTATTTTTAACATGATAAATGATTCTCCCTCCATCCCCGCAGCGTTTATATGTATATTTCAGTTATTGAATGTGTCATTTGCTTATATATAGAACATTTAGTGGACTCAATCCATATTGACCTTACAACAAGAAGTAAAACGCTAATATCAACTGGTGGCCTAATTTCCATCCACTTGACTCCTCGACGAGGTCATCAACAAACAATCATGATCATTCCATCCACCAAATACCTAAAATTTCAACTAAAGTCTAGCCTTTGACCACACATAATCCATCTCCAATATCTCCCTGCGAGTTCTTCCCCGGGGCATAGATGGTACTAGCGCCTTGTTTGGTATCTCTGGAGGATCCAGACATAACCCTACAGGCGGTGCACCAACCCAGCGAGTTTTGTTTACAGCACTCTCAACCTGCGGACCCGCTTTTGGAAAAACCAGGTTGGTATTCGCTTGTGATATGCATTGGTTGATCTCACCGATAAACATTGCAGGATATACTCCTGGTAGGCCATCACCGCCGTTAATGATCTCGACGTGGGCACAATTCATATACATCTCTCGGAAACCGGTTACTGTAAACCATGTCCTATTTGGAACGTCTAGAATTAGTACAGACTGAGTTTGGTGATGTGACCGGGAACTTGGATTACCACGCAAATATCGCATTTCCACTCGGTGTTTCTTGTGGGATAAGAAACTCAAATGTCTGATTTGAGGTGGTAAGTTCGTTTTCAACCGCGCCGCGTGGGCAGTTGCCAATGAATGACTTCCAAACTTTAAACGTTCTTCCAATATCGTATGATACCGATACTTGACAACTCCCGCCGTTATGTGCAGCCACACCCTTCATATCGATCCTTAACTCTGCAGGTGAGCATTTAGAACATTTGAAAGTTATAGTTATACTACATACGTGAATGTTGCAGTCTCTCCAGCAAACCATTGCTTTACTGGGGCACCCATTCCCGCTGTTAGGTGGAACCCTTTACATGGGTAGTCACTCCCATCGGCTTTCAGTGGTGCGTTATAAAAATCCGGGCCACCTTCTGCGTCGATCCCGAATGGCTTCGGGTCTTGCATAAACAAGTGAGCTAGTAGCGGTGTCCATAGTAGTTGGACTGCGAGTATAACTAGATAGCACCTATGGAGGAACATGGAACATGCAGGGTGGGATAAGGATAATAATCGATCGCGAAGTTATCGTTCTATAATGAATTATATACGTCGCTCTATAGCTACTTGTAGCTACCCAACCTTTTTCGATAACGAGAAAGGAGTGGTTAGATGAAGGTTGGTCAAACATTCCGAGAAGGAAGTCACCCCCCCGCCCCCCCCCCCCCCCCCCCACACACACACACACAATGGCTGGGTGCATATATATGCCCTGCCGATCATTCATTGGAGATTGCATTCCGGCAGTTCGGTTTGTTTCTCCTTGAGAATCAATTGGATGGCCTCCCCTTACATGTGAAAATTAAAGATACATTTATATATCATCCTACTAATTCATAATCATGTAGGTATTTGATTCTGTTGAAGGAATCTCAACCCCCTCGTCCGTAGCTAATGTATTAACCCAAAATCTAAACCCCAGCGCAGCTAAATAGTTTTTACATAAGCCTCCGTTTGCGAGCATTTATTGCACACATGTATTCATTATGGTGTTAGGTGTGAAGTACAATATGTACATATGTACATGTAAGTATGTACATGAAAAAGGCCAACTTGTACATGTATACGTACAATCGATATATTTATTCATTCATACATGTATCATCCTACCTCAACGGAACCACATACTCGCCAACTCGGATCTCTTTCATTGTTATATCCTCATCTGCATCGGAAATCGTTTCTGCATCATCTCTGTTGATCATTCATCCTAGATCTATTAAGGCTGTCTTCGATGTTCTAGCGAAATCCGAAGCTTTCACGGTCGTTAACTTTGCACACAAAGTCCACAGGACTACATCTAATCCGAAATTGCATTAAAGTTAAGTTGTTTTTCTACACAGGTAAGTGACTTATCATGGATCAACATGTATATGTATTGCTCCGAGGAGAATCAATCCTTATAATAGGTGAAAATCGCTAACTGAAAATGAGGTCGATATGATAAAGATTTAATATTGGCCCTGGTCGCGACTTTCTTACCGTAACGCCTTTTGCTCTACTCTCTTATAGCTCATCAAGATGTGCTTCTATACAAATCACCACTATTCGAGGTGCGGCCACTCACCACTTATTCTACAGGACTTCTGTCGCCGTTCTTGGGCAACGCTCCACCCAAGTCGGCCTCACTGCGTTATTAGACATAGTTGCCGGGTCTTCGTACTGAGGGGTATACGCGATGTTCATTTTGTTGTTTGCCCAAGGTGTTTACCAAATTGAAACCTTGGTTACAAAACTATTGGAAGAAATAACATCGAAGCCTATAATACTAGAGATGAAAGATCTGGTATACTTATTATTAACATGAGGGGGCAGTATTGAAGAATGAAAAAACTACCGCAATTTTGATGTTTTGAGATGGAATTTTAGTGGGAGGGAAGAAATAGGAACCTGTCCTATTATGATCAAGGGGGGATACTAGAAGGGGTCATCTGGAGAAGACGTGTATTCGAATTCTATGATTCTTGAGAAGTCTCTTACCATTCATTATATTCGCCTAACTATAATTAATAGGCACTAAATAATATAATTCTAGTACCCTGCAGCTTCGGGAATTGCAGATATTGATCATTCTTAATACTCATTCCGTATTAAGCGTTCTATGGCTTCCCTTAAACTAAGTGTTCAGTAAGTCTAATACTTACGATTATGTCGACTTTGAATTCAGAGTCAACTAATATAATTAATAAATTAAATAAAAAAAAAAAAAAAAAAAAAAGTCAACTAATAAGAAGTGCTACTATACATGTATACATGTAGGGGATACGGATTGTCACCAGTCGAGACGTACGAGCATGATGCTGACTAAACTACATGTACATAACCAATGGCCATAAAGATTAATACGATGAAATATAGTCTATTACATACTCAATTTCAGTCATCATGACTCCGTTTTCTTGACTGATCAACTGATATACTGGCTGCTGGCATGCAATCATTGCATATTCCAGCCATACGTACTTCCTCCGTTATACGGTCCATTTTACAATCAGAAAATATATAATCGCCATGCTGGCGTCGATTCGTATCATCCAGTTGTTCCCAGATAATCCAGCAAATTGTGTTGAATTGAGGTGGGCGATGACCACAATCATATAAAAGTCGGATAAAATTGCACATTCTAGAAACGTTGAAGATCTAAGGCTAATGTTAGAACTGACATTAATCAAATAGGTGGAATGCCGAAAACATTTTTACCTTCGAAACAAGTTGGTCTTGAGCATGAGAGGATAGAGGATTTTGGCTGGGTTTTTGTGGATAATAATGATTTTTCAAAAGATCTCAGGACTTTATATATGTTTCACAAATTCTGTCATTTTCGCAATCACTATAGTGCCACGTCTGACTCCCACCTTTCCCCCTTTCTTTCTTTCTTTCTTTCTTTTCTTTTTTACATGCAGCGTTCTTCGATATAGATTTTGCACTTATGCCAACTGGCAAATTTTAGCAGATCTCGACTGAAAATTAGTATGCAGTGACCAGTAAGGGATTGAGTACATATACAAATCCTGTAGTTATAGAGGAATTTGTTTGTACATAGAAAAGGCACATAGCAGTTCTCCCGAAAACCGTACCGCTGGTAACGAACGATTCTATTGAAAACCTCGCTTCGTCCAGTGAAAGTAAATTTCCGTAGTGTTTGTACTTCCTACTTATACGTACAGGTATGTATCCGCGCAGCGCATTCAGAACAAACTATATAGGAAGGGAAAGCATTTAGCCAGCTTTTTGGCACGAGGCTGAAGAAAAATATAACCAATCTATCCATTAAAGTAGTTGGAAGGGGAATTTTGTTTCACCATATGAATTCTAGACAGATCTGGAAGGATGAGTATGTACCTATGGTTGAGCTAAGGTCTACTCGGGAGATACAAGTAATCAACACATCTTCCGAAAATGCAAGATAGTATACACACTTGCACATGACCTAGAAGCACTGTGAAACGTAGATTTCTCTGCCCAAACCTCTCACATGCCTCAATGGTTTATTTTCTCTTCACAACTTACTACTTTTCATCCCACTCCCTCGTAGACAAGTTACGTGTAATTCCCCCCTTCTTTGTGTATTAGGTGGAATTTGCCACTTCTCTAATTTTAAAAAAAAAAAATTTAACTAATATAACAATTTTGCATATCTTAGTCCTTAATCGTTCTTAATAAGGTTTTTGGTTATAGTATAGTACAAGGTACATATGTGTAGGCCGAGTGATAATGTATGACCATTGTAGTTTTACTACATACAATACATGTAGGTATATACAATAAGCTAACTTGTCGCTTACGTCTCATCTAATTAACTCTGCTCGCCACTTTAGTTTTGAAAAATCCTTCTATCCGACCACCTCTAATAAAGCGCCGCGACAACGACGACGACGACGTTAGTGATGGCTGGCATGAATATGACCCCTTGCCTGCAAATATATCGTAACCTATACATGATAGATACTACATAGCCGACTCAGACCACACCTTAGGAAAATTTTCCTATGCCTGATAATTCAGCGATGTAGCCAGACATTTGAGTGCGTGTGCAGGAAGCGATAAGCGAGTTTGGTGTGAATTGATAAAGGTATCGCTATCTTTCTAGAAGTGTAAAACTTTCTGGCATAAATACATGTATGTCAATCGTTAATTCACTTATAAGCTGCTTCGCACCGGCCCCATGTCTAGGAGTATCCTTTAGTCACCACTAACGCTTCTCTCGTAGGTTGTTAAAGTTTATTATTATCCACGATAACGTCTTGAACCGATGCGTTGGGCAGAAACGTTTTACAGGCTATGTGAAAGGGATGGTTGGTATGTAGGCAGGTGTAGTTAATGCACGAGAGACTTAAAAAGGTCTAGTAGGTTCAGATAGATTCTTGGGAGTGGGGCCCCAGAAAAAAGGGGAGCTGGGAGTTAATTACATGTATGTAGGTACATCAGTATCAGTATCGTTGGGGTAGCTACATGTATATACATCCTTGATACCTACATGCGTTTGGTAAGGATGGTATCCGAGATAATGTACGTAGATTCGACAAACGATGTTTAGGACGGTCAACGTTCTATCCAATTGAATCACTCCTCTAACATCTCGGGAAAGTCTTTCGGATCAGATCCGCTCTGGGGACAAGACTAGTAGCTAGAGTAGCCATCATGCAGGGAATCTACTAATTGACTAATACATGTATGTTCGCCGTTGCTCTTCACTTGCTTGCTTTTGTGTGGTGACTAAGCCCAGTGATGTTTCACCTGGATGTATGTAGCTGGGTTAGCGCAGAAGATGATTCGCTCCTACGTTGCTACAAATGGAACCGGAATGCTTGCACCCCCTATTAGGTTACGGATTTATCCATGATACCAGCTAGGTCTATGGAGAACGGCATTGTGCGCTGCATACCTTCTTTGACTTTTGAGTTCATGTTGGTGCCAAGAAGGTACTGTCGATCTCTACTGTAAACTGATAGGTACCTCCGAGATATCGAAGGATTCGGCTTCCGGACGGGTTCCGAGCGGTTTCCGAGCGAAGATATCCCCAGTGCCGCTGGTATATAACTATGCGACGTCCTGGAAATGTGAAGAGGATAATATCGATCGCTCGTTGGCACTTTCTTCTTTTGTTGCTTTGCCACTCACATACATAAATATATAATTCTAGAGAGATGGCGTTGAGGGAACTGATTGAAGAACTTTCTTCCATTGACAAAACTACTCTTGCGGCTGTGGTTTTTGTTGGTTTGGTTACATATAGGGTGTATTATCACTACTCGGTCTACGTACGTGCCACGACAGCATCAACAGAATGACTGTCACGTACTAACTATTCTGTTGACATAGGTTGATGTCGAATCGGTCGGAGTACCACCAGGAATCTTAGGACCCTGGAAAGCAGCCCTCCGACATACCAAAGAGGCCGATGCTCTCATCAAGGAGGGATACAAAAAATACAGTAAAGATGGGAAATTCTTCAAGATTGCTAGCATCCCCCGGTACCTCGTCTTTCCAACCGATCCAAAACATTTGCAGGAGATGAATAGTGCACCCGATCATGTTCTTTCCTTTGGGGACGCTGGTGCGGATGTACGTAATGCCTTTAAATCTCCAGATTCCTGGTGAGATATATTTGCTAAATGAAGTTCCGGCGCAATTAGAGGATTTCCATCGACTACACCATGGATCATAGTTTTCGTACAGAAACATATCATCTCAAAGTTATCCAAGTCTACTTAACTCAAAGATTGAGCAGCATTCTGCCGGAAATTATTAGTGAAGTGACACTAGCTTGGCAGGAAAACACAAACATTGGAGATGGTTCGTATATATTTACCCTCTAGGCCTAGTACGAATTAGGGGGCTTTGTTCTAACTCTTTAATTTCTACAGAATGGACCGAGGTCAACGTATGGGATATTATGTTAAAAGTTATTTCAAGAACTATTAACCGTATGTACGTTGGCTTGCCATTATGCCGTAACCAAGAATATCTGGACAACCTTGTCGAATATGCTACAACAACGTCAAAGAGTGGTATTATCATTGACATGGCCCCTCGCATCCTCAAACCGTTAGTATATCTATATCAATCTCGAATTTTGAGACACAAGTATTAATTTATCTGTTAGTCTCGTTTCATGGTATATTTTGGACAAGCCCAAAAAACTTAAGAAACTAATGAAGTTTGTTGGACCATTGTTTGAGGAGAGGAAAAAGAAGATGAAGGAGCTTGGTGACAAGTGGACTGATCGCCCAGTAAGTCCAGCTACTAATTTCTGCCTAGCTCAGCCTCTAACACGAGTATAGGATGATGCAATCCAATGGATTTTGGACAGTGCACCACTTGGCGCTGACACTGATACTGAGTCTTTGGTTAACCGAATTCTATTCTTGAATTTCGCGGCTATTCACACTACTTCGATTTCTATCACCCAAGCCCTATACGACCTGGCAGTCCACACAGACCTCCACAACCCCCTCAAGGATGAAATCACCTCAGTTATCGCTGAAGAAGGTGGCTGGACTAAACAAGGACTCACAAAAATGAAGAAACTCGATAGTGTTCTTAAGGAATCTCAGCGCATGAATAATGTCACTTCGAGTACGGCCCCAAATATCCGATTTTAATTATTTATATAGATTTACTAACACAATTTAGTTGCAATGATGCGCAAAGCTATGGTCCCATACACATTCTCTGATGGTACTTTCATTCCCAAAGGCACTTGGCTCTGCGCTCCAGCCGCCGCCATCCACAAACAAGAGGAAATGCAATACGACGGTTTCCGCTGGGAGCGTTTGCGAAAGGAGGAAGGCCAGGCAGCAAAGCACCAAATGGTCAGCACATCGGTAGAGTACTTGTCATTTGGTCATGGAAGGCATGCATGCCCAGGGCGATTCTTTGCAGCAAACGAGCTGAAGATTCTGGTGGCGTCCATCATCCTGAACTATGAGTTCAAGTCGCCGACGGGGGAGAGACCCAAGAACGGTCACTTCGGTGTCTCGTGTGTTCCGGATCGAGGGGTCAATATGTTGTTTAGGAAGAGGAAGGACGTTTAAATTGCTCTTTGCGTAGTGAGGAGTAATTCTTCTGCCATTTTGTCATTCGTTTTAAGAGTCAACTAGGGTTCCATTTGTATTATTATTTGTTGGGTGCACTTGTATTTGGGTAGCGAAAGATCAAATTTATAGAGTTTATTATGTACATGTTATATATACAATTATAACACTGTGAACCAGGCGGTCCGAAATAATGCCGGCATGCGCGGTGGTGCACGTGGCGTCTTCTGACCCAAGGACGAGGACTGATATACAGTCGTTCGCCGATATAACGAATGCCAAAAAGCCACAAATTTGCTATAACGAACGGGTCTCGGTGATCCGAATCTAAATTTCACATAGAAACTTGCCTGCTATACCGAATAATCTGCTGTATCGAACGGAAAACTTTGGAATATGCACGTTCGTTATATCGGCGGACGACTGTACATGTTAAATTTTACATTTATTCACCATACAGGATAATTAAATAGCCCTAGTTTTTAGGTATTTTTAGTGAGGTTAGCTTGCAATTGGTAGGGCTAGCTAGGGTTACATACATGTACAATGCCGGAAAATGGGGTGTGATTAGAGTAGTAGTAGTCTTGTAGTGATGCGGCTTTTATGAGCATTAAGCTTGCTCATTCGGCTCGGGTTAATTCGGTATTCATATGAATACTATAATTGCAAACAAAGGTTATTTCATGCAAATACACTATCCCAAAAGAACGGTATGCTGAAAAAAGCCATACCAATACTACTAGCTAGCTCAGCCTAGCTGGTCACATAATTGAGTTCTGTGACCGCACTAGTATCAGGGTATGGTACTAGGCTAGAGCTACATGATACATGCTAGACCTACTATACACATGTACGCGTACCTACATGTAGTCTCGTACTCACAAACCTCCTACATGTATATATATACATGTAGACTCATCCTGCAAATCCTCGAAGGAATTGCCAAATTGTAGTTCTATCTTGAAGTCGATTTCAACCTCAACATACACATGTACAAGAGGAATCTTCAGAACACCTACTACTTGTATTAGTTTTCAATTGTATATCGGAGACCTGCTAGTTTCCAGACACCTACTATGCTTTTGGATATTTTGGTATTTTAATGGTATATTAAAGGCGTACTGGTACAGCTTTTTCTAAAACCCCGCTTTTTCTAAAAAGCAGCTTGTGACCAAAATAACCCTTTTTGAAGAACACCAGTTCTCTACTATATGTTAAAAAAAAGTGCTTCTATAGAAATACATTTCTTTGAAAAGTCGGTGTCTTTGTTATTATGGTTTTACTACGTCACTTTTAAACCTGCAAAACTTGTACGGCTCTAATCACACCCGGGTTTCCCGTATTGTAGTCACTAATGTAGAGGCAACATTTATGAGCGGCCCAGCGTTTCTACAAATGTATATACGACGATATCACGGGTCCAAATATTGTTCTGTAAATATTCAATTCAAATTAACCGCTAGTAATAAAACACAGAATAAAAATAGGTATATACATGTAAGTAACAAAACTACAGCAGATGCGTCCTTATCCAAATTGGTCTGTCACCCCCCCCCCCCCCCCTTTGTGCTATCTTGCTATTTCTCGTCTTCTTGAGTAACAGCGCCTCCATCCACCCCTGCCTAATAGCTCCCTGTATTAGGAGACACTTGACCGCTCCTTTTCCTTCCTCTCCCTCACTGCTTCCATCGTATCGTCCCACACGCTGGAAATTGGAGTCTTTACGTAAGGTTTGCATTTTTTCTTCTTGCTTCCCTTTATCTTGCACTTGAACGCAATGCTCTGCTCTGGCTCCAGATCTGTGGTCGAGATAATCCGTTTCCTCTCAAGCTCATGGATTACAAGGTCGCACATACCATCCTTGCCCGTCTTCACGATCCCCAACGCACCCTTCCGAATCCCAAGACGACAATAAGCCACATAACGTTCGAGCCAATCACGCATCTTGACCCCAATCTGGGCTGGACACACCGTCTTCGCGTACTCCTTAGTCGCCACAGTCCCAGTGATTCCCATAGCCTGCCATACGGAACTGGTGTCCTTCCCAAGATTACCGCAATAGCAAGGAATCGCTTTCCGGGGGCCATTGACATTGAGGTCATCGAGGAGGCCGTCTTTAGTGGTTGGGGAGTTCCAGTTGTAAGAACTCAGACAAATGGGAACAGTGAACAAGCCGGGGGTTTGTGGGTCTGCAGCCTGCTGAACCGTGGGCCCGTCATTCAGAATGCTCAAGTTTGACGCCAACTGGACATCCTTAAGGCCCATGACATGCGACCAGAATGAGCTCGTAATGATATCGGCCGTTTTTAGGTTCCATGGGTCTGCAGCGAGACCATTGAAACCGAAAGGATCTTCTACGGTGTGTGTCATGATGATACCACGGTCGTTCCAGCGGTACAGGTAGCAGACTGCAACATTGTCGATGCATGCCTTACTGTGCTGCGGTCCAGTAGTATCTTCGGCGCAGGTCTTAACGACCTCGAAATCCTTGACGGGGTTGGGAGACGTGAAAGGAATCGAGCTCCTGCCCTTGGGCCTGCGAAACTCACTCGTGCAGGAGATGAACATCTTCTGGGTGGTTATGGCCATGTTGAGAGTCTTGTAGAAGATGTTCTTCGTCAAGGTTCTGTAAAGGCGGTTAGTAAGGTCAATGATCGAAAGACAGGGAAATCGGAAAACCCACGTCTCAACATCGGAAGCAGTCCAAGCACCGAGAACGCCGTCAGTTGCTGGAAGATATGTGCCCAGCGCGAGGAGATCGGCCAACTCAGAGGAACCATCATCTTTGATACTCTCGGACCTGATGACCCGATTGACGGTTTCCTTGAGTGCCATCCGGGAGATGCGACCAGACTCTTGGATCCACCATTGCATTCCCATCTCGTTGATCTCTCTCGGCTTATCATCCGCTTTCCACGTGGAGAAGAAACTGTTGACCATGGTCTTGACCAAACCCTGGGTGACCATCGGAAACAGGATGCGGCCAACACCGGCAGTGCGCTGGGCCAGTTGGTAGAATCCCAAGGTCCGGTTTGGGATCTTCGTTTGATCTGAAGATTCTTTTATCCAGATCTTCTCAGGCTCGTCCGGGATGGGCCACGTCTTTGCAATTTGTTCAAGACGGTAATCATCATATGAATCCCAGCCTTCGAAACGTCCCAAAACCTCTCGCTCCGTTGTTGGACCCCAGCTAGCGATCCGATCACCTTCACCAAGCTTGGTAGGAGGATTAAGGTTGTCTTTGGCGCGGAGATACGTGATGTAGCTGAGCTGACCTGGTTGGAGTCTACCTTCTGGCTGTTGCCTGCGCTCGTCCTCGGGGATGTTTTCGCCGGCGGCGACTCGGGCCATCCAATCCCGCTTCTCGTCCTGGTTCTCGGCCCAGATCTTTCTGGTGACCGTGTGCCCGTCGACCTGACCATATCCATCGAATTCCTCCTCTTGGATCTTCCGGGCTTCTGCAGAGGGCCAAATACCATGGACGAATCTTCTCCATCCATAGGCGGTGCCAGCACAGAGATCTTTGAAGTCACTCCAGGCATGCGAAGCAGCCTCTGTGAACCCATGGACATTCCAGCGGGCACGAAAGTCAGGAAACCAGCCATGCTGATATTCCACATCACCGACCTCTGCTGCCTTTGCAGGGTCATGGCGAGCCATCGCATTCCCCTCCCACTTACCGTAGAACTCCTGCTTGTTGAGTCTCCCGTCCAACTTGCCATTGTTGTACCACCAATTGGCCAATGACACACCGTCCGGATTCCACCACAGCGAGCCACCAAACCGGGGCGGTACACGAAGTGTGTACGGAGCATCGGGGAGATATCCGTTGTTGACGGTATATCTCGTTAGCTGGATTTCCGAGATCTCTTCATCCGCAGGTGCTGGGAACATATCAACAAGCCCCGGCTCGTTCGAGATGGGGCGTCCTTGCTTCTCCGAGATTTTGGCAAAGACCCAATCCTTCATGCTGCCCCAAGGGATCAAGGGCATAACCGCATTAAGCGCTGACTGGGCGGCCCACAGAGAAATCTCAGAAAGCTGGTTGAATGCGGCAATCCGCTGAAGTTCATCGGCGCTGTGCTGAAACCAGAAAAAGACGTACGACATACGACCGGCCATGAGCCCAACATTGCTCTGGGCGGCTTGCATCGCGTTGTGGATTATATCCAGCGACACCACAAAATGACCGGTCGAGGCCAGGATAAAGTACACTCGTCGGGCGAGTTCGAGGTCTTCAATGTGCCCGACCACATTGAGACAATGCACGGTGCAAGAGCTTTGGGCACCAATTGCGCACTTGAAGTTTGTGTCGCCGAGGAAGTCATAGGCGATCGTAGCCGCTAGACCGTGGTGCTTGAAGTACTCACGGCCTCGGTTCTCAAGGGTGTATTCCCTGAGCCAGGTGTCGCTACCGCTGCGGCGATAGTTTAACTGGGTTGGCGCGAAGGGACGAGACTTGCAAATCTCAACGTTGTCACGAGCGTATGAGGAGATGTCATGAGCGGGGGCCTGGGGAGGGGACTGGGTTAGGTCTTGCGCACAAGCAAGACCGAGAAGGAAGAAACTGCAGTGTTTGGTGAAAAGCATTCTGCTACGCTTAAGAAGTTGTTGGTACAAAAGGTTGTCAAAAAGGATTTAAAAGAAAAGCTTCTATTGAAAACCAGTCGAGAGAACAGATACTACTTGTCTATACATATATCGAGGAGAATTAAGAAAAGCTTAAGGGGGCCCGGCTGTATTTATATTTATTTGAGCCCACCACGTATACCATTGAGTATCAGGACACAGTGTTTCAAGGTGAAGACAGCACGAGTGTGAGGAGGTCATGTTTACGCAGCCGGTACACGCAAAGTGTTCGGTCACCACGATGCAGTTACCGGTTACAGTGGCCTTCAAGATGAAAATTTTCATGACGGCGGCTAGCCTGCAACAAATAACTACGTAATTATGTAAACACAGTTATATCCTTATATATATCGGTTGTAAATAATAGGTAAGATTACCGTGTAAGAAATCCCATGGGGTGGTTACTCCTGAATGCCATGACTGCCGCGATTGATTTTCTGTTGAAAGCTCATCCGTTCACAATGACGATCGCGAACAAACTGTCGAAAATTCTTTTCTTATTGACATATCTACATAGATACCGAGTATACGTATAATGTATGTATACACACGAGTGTTTACTGGAAGATTATAAGTAGAAAGAACATACGTAGTTGTGTACAAAAATGATAGAAACCTGGTACATGATACCAGTTTGATGCCGATCATCATGCTTAGGTGTGGCTGCATTATTACGGGCGGACTATTTATGATCGCATATCGATATTAATAGGCTAAAAACCTAATTCGAGAGCCAGATCGAGCAAAGCGCGGTGCATGTAAGTGATTCATTATTGCATCATACCTGCTCTTGGAACGCGAGTAAGGAGTAGTATTCGAAATTTACAACGTCTAGCCATTGTATAACTCCTGGAACGTAGAACTAGCCCTTCAGTCATCAGGTTACGTTATAATCACATTTTCCAGCCGTGTATGGCATGCACTGCTAACCATCGGGCCCGCACCAGCTAGATGCCGGACACAGGGCGAATATCGGTACCAAAACCTTCGATTTCACCGTTCGCGATATCATCACTACCACACAAGGCCAGGGGCTGATACCTGATGCCAGATTTAAGGCTTAAGAGATGGTTTAGGAGCTCTGTTATTGAAATTGGTGGTTGTACATCGTGACAAAAGATGTCAGGGTTAGGTTTCATGCTGGGCTATTACTTGTCAAAAACATCATTGACATTAGGGTTAGGTGTCATCCTCGCAGGGTTAGTTACGTCTAGGTGAACTCCTTTACAATCTTTTTCCTTAGCCTCATCATCTCTCACGGCAAACCAAGTACTCACAACCAAATTTAATCGATTAGATAAGAACCATGCACGAACACCTGTCTCATGAGTACATGTAAGTAGCTGCCAATTCTATAAAACCTGGTAATTTGATCATTGACACTTACCGCTGCGGCGCGCGCATAGACCAGTCGCAAAACTTGTGACGGAACTTTCGCACCAGTTTTAACAATTGAATTAGACGAGGCATTTAGCCTGAGAATAACAGAACTACCTGTTCTGACGTACGTTCATGATAACGTGGCTACGACGGTGTGAATAGGTTGAGGCGGCGAATGTCTAAATGCAACCACCACCCACAACACAATTGCCATCAATAATAAACAAGGCTTGCGGGGGGTGAAATATTGGTTATCAAATTTAATAAATATAAAAGGGCACTCTCTGAAGTCAAGTGTGGAAGACATTACATGAGCTAGAAGTAGAGAGATTTGGAGATTTGGGACTTGGCGCATTTTTTGCGGCTCGACGTAACAAAACAACACAACTCATGCTAGAAGTGTAATATTGTAATTTTCAGCTGATAGAGTGATTATTCATATGCAAAATATATAGTCTTCCAATTCTCAGAAATAATTCATGACAATTGGTGGCCTAGGACCATGTTGAAAAGTGGCATTTTTGGTGCCTTCCCATGACTTACAACCTAGAACTATACCTTATCAGAGATTCCATATGGCGCGCTTGCTACGTGGGTGAATTCCAAAGCTGCACTAAGGCAACCGAATTTCCCACAGACACGCGTATGCGTCTATCTTCTTTAGGGATTCTCCAAGATTGATTACGCTCACACGTGCCAAAAGAAAGTTCAATAATCGCATTCTCCACTATTTTTCTTTTTTAACATTTACGACCTCTTGAAGATCTAGAGACTTCACACGCCATGTGTGGCTGAGAGCCAAAGAGGCTGTATTCTAGCATGCACCTTATGTATTTGATTCGGAACCGACTTTCTTTCCATTTCTACATACATACTTCGATGTTTTTATTGATATTTTAGTTTAGAATAGGGGTCGCTTGCAACTCTAACCTCGATAAAAACACAAAAACGATATAACCCAGCCCTGTTCACTAATAACAAAGAAGCGGGAAAGTTTATCAACCGATCCCAATAAGAGCTCCTAATATAGTACTCACGAAGCTGATGTTGCTGTGAATTTAAGAAAGGTCACTTTATTTCAAGTAGGACCCAATCGGGTCCTTAACTCGGTTGCTACGGTTGATGGGATAACGAAAATTATAGATTTTTCTTTTTCTTTTTGAATTGAAAGGATACAGTCCTAGGGCACTCGATGGTGCGCGAACGTCTATCAGGGGAAAAAACCTATTTCAAAGCCGAGGGTGGTAAGCGAGACCCACTAGTAGCCCACCATGGCCACTAATCGCTCCAACCGTAACTTCCCCGGCCGGCCTCTATTCCAAAAATCGGATCAGAGAAACCGACGAAAGAGCCATATTCTTAACCCAAAATGATTTTGAGCGAGAAGACAGGGGACTTGGAGAAGGGGGGCGTGCCCTATGATAGCAGTTAGTATATATACCCGCGCTCCAATTGCAAGCCAACCTTTTGAATTCTTATCTGACTGGAACCTCGATTAGCGTACTATATACGTATATAATTCTCTATAAAAACTCGTCCTTTCTTGTTTATTTGTTCTTTTTCCAGGTCTTTTCCTTCCCACTTACCTTTTCCCTCTCGACTAAGAATCTCTAGTGCATGGCCACCGGATCTGATATGTATATGAATACAACGGACCAATAGTTATTTAGGATAATAACTCCCACTTCACGCCTCCCGGCTCACACCAATATACCTTGATTTATACGAGGCTCGGGCCTTGAATTATGTCCTTCCTCTTCTCCAGTTTTGAGTCTTAGACTTTACCAAGATATTTTCACATTTGAAGCCATCGGTTGAATTGGCCAATTGGGTGAGCTAGGTAGATCGGGGATGATAGAGAACATGAAAACGGATGGTGAAGAATGAGAGTGATTTGCTCGTTTGTTCCACAAGAAGCTGCCTAGGATTGATGTTTTTCCAATATCTCTTTTGAATCTCGAGCCAAAAATAAGGACTGAGGATGTGTAGTTGTTACTCTTTGAATCACTTCGTAGCTCTCCTGGTCTTTAGTCAGGTGTTTTGTTGACTTGAACTACTTTCGCAGAGCTCTGGAGCTTTTCTTAGCTTCTTTATAATATTTTCTTACATCAGTCTATCTCGGCCAGAAGCCCCACCTAGTTTGGTTTTGGGTACATCTAATAAGTATATAATTATAACCTGCATATGCAATGTGCTTTTATAGTCTTCTGATTGGTTCATTGAGAGCTGTTTTTGTTTCACTTGAAACATGTTGTGTTGGATATTAACATAGGGTATTGTGCTGAGTGTTGTCAGAGTGTTAATAAGGTTTCTACTGGTTCTGGGGATCGGTTAGTAGTTCGATTTTAGCAGCTTGGTGGCTGCTAAAGGGATATACCTGTAGTTTTAACTGGAGAAATTGTCTGACCTATCCGTTGATATATCGGGGATATCAGAAAAGGCACATATTGACCAGAGCAGATCTAGATATAGTGATGGACTTTGCCTGCCAGGAGGGGTCGAGGGCCGCGCAGCGGCCTGAGAGCCCCGACTGACAGGCAAAAGAGAAATAAGCCGCAAAGCGGCTTGCCTGTATATTGGACTGATTGATATACATATAGTACCGGCCGAAGGCTGGAAACTACTTGTATTTAGTAGCCCTATATCCATTCACATCCCAATTGGAACTACTCTCGTTTCACTGGCGATACTAATCCCCACCCCTAGCGCTAATTGATAGTCCTTATGGTGTGTACCCAAACTACTTAGTACCTATACAGATTCTCGATTATAACTGGGGTGTATTAGTATAGTAATAAGCCATCGATCACACGCGGGTTAGTTGTATATATAATGGTCAGCTGTATATATAATGGTCAGCTGTAGGTGTGCACCAGAGTTAAATCGGCGACGATATTGTTCCTAAGGTGACTACAAGGGATTAATTTCTCTTTGGTGACGATAGCTGCTGGGTTTACCGGTGAGAGCCGGCCGCTGAAGCTTGATGCTAGAGCTCGAGTCGCAAGGCTCCATTAGATCTGGGGGTGTGTACCAGGGACTTGTTTAGGCGGAGCATACATGTAGTTTTAATACCTGTAGGTACCAGTAGCGAGTGATTGTGAGCGTGGCTGGCGACGATACTCAGGTGCATGTGCGCATGCATATGGTTAGTTTCACAGTCACCTAAACAACTATGGCTCTAGAAGCTATGGTGGGTAGGTGTGTAAACTTCGGCGTTTGCAGCCAATCAATCTATAGGAATTGGGAGATCTACTCCCATAATGGTACTAGCGCCTAGCCTGACGGTGGAATTTTCTCTAATTCCCATACAAAAAAAGTTCCTCTGAAGTTGACACACGTACCCCCTATGCCTTCTCGCGCCATACGTGTATGTCTACAACAAAAAGCAAGTGGTAACGTTTCTTTGATCGAGTGATAGCTTATGATCAAACACATACATTAAGTGTAATTGCGCATATAATCCTCACTAATAACAACAAGCTGTAAGTATTTTCGATTCTTATTTATGGAAATTTAATTCTTTAATTTAATAAATTACAAAAAAGCTAAATGCGCGCATGCGTTTGATTTGTGCCATTCGATACAGACGCGTTCAGAGTTATGTTCGTGCCAAGAACATCCGGGTAATGCTTTTATACATTTCGAGACATTTACAGAAGAGCCTCGTTTCCTATTCACGAACACCCCCAGGCAAACAATTTCTAACCCACCTGCCGCCGGCGCACCGCTTTCAACACATTCACCAGCCCATATCATAAAATCCTACCGTTAGAATCATGCCCGTTGTTAAGGGCGGCGTTTGGACTAATGTCGAAGACGAGATCCTCAAAGCTTCCGTCTCTAAATATGGTCTAAACCAATGGCAACGCGTCTCCTCGCTGCTCGCGCGGAAATCCGCCAAACAATGCAAAGCCCGTTGGGCAGAATGGCTCGACCCAAGCATCCGCAAGGTCGAATGGTCCCGTGATGAGGATGAGAAGCTTCTTCATTTGGCAAAGCTCATGCCGACACAATGGAGGACTATCGCGCCAATTGTGGGAAGGACGGCGACTCAGTGCTTGGATAGGTATCAGAAGCTTTTGGACGAGGCGGAAGCTAGGGAAAGCACAGAATTAGGACTGGCGGGGCCAGAAGGTGGAGAGGCGAGCGCGCCGAGTGCAGATGATATTAGGAGGTTTAGACCGGGGGAGACTGACCCTGACCCCGAGACGAAGCCTGCGAGACCTGGTATGGGCTTCTTTTTACTGTCGAGCTTTATCTTTGTTTTGTGTACTGATGATGGTGGTTTGTAGATGCTGTGGACATGGACGAGGACGAAAAGGAGATGTTGAGTGAGGCACGTGCTCGTCTCGCTAACACACAGGGTAAAAAGGCGAAACGTAAAGCCCGTGAGCGGCAACTTGAGGACTCACGGCGTCTGGCTGTCCTCCAGAAGCGCCGAGAACTTAAACATGCCGGTATTAATATCAAGCTCACTCATCGCCGCAAAGGTGAAATGGACTATAATGCGGACATCCCATTCGAGAAGCAGCCAGCGTTGGGATTCTATGACATTGGTGAAGAAGAGGCAAGAAACGAGAGGCAGCGCGCAAACATCGACCCCCGAAAGGCACTGTCACATACAAAGCGTAAGGGCGATCAAGACGAGGAAGCTGAGCGGGGCAAAAGAAGAAAAGGAGGTGATAAGGACAAGAATGGCGCTGCGGCGGCATTCGCATCCGCAGCAAAGGCTGGACAATTGCAGAAGATTAGGCAGGCAGAGCAGCTCAGCAAGCGCAGACAGCTTGTGTTGCCGTCGCCACAGGTCGGAGAAGCAGAGCTGGAGGAAATTGTCAAGATGGGAATGACCGGCGAGGATGCGAACAAGATCGCAGGCGCGAGCGAGAATGAGTCTACAAAGGGTTTGGTAGGAAACTACACTAGTATCAATGCCGGACAGCCAATTCGGACTCCTCGAGCACCTCCAACGGAGGACCGTGTTGCCAATGAGATCAAGAATATCCGCGCCCTGACAGAAACACAATCCTCGCTTCTTGGAGGAGAAAATACCCCACTACATGAAGCAGGTACAACAGGTTTTGATGGAATTGCCCCAAGAAAAATGGTCGTTTCTACACCCAACCCTCTTGCGACACCGTTCCGCCAGGGCGGAGGAGTTGGAGCTACGCCAATGAAAATTGGGCAGACGCCTTTAAGAACGCCGAGAGATTCATTGGCTATAAACAATGGAGCCTATACAGGAGCTATGGTCTCAATGACACCAAGGGACCAGAAGCTACAGCAGCAGTCTTTGAAGGAGCGGCTGAAGTCTGGGTATGTGAAACTGCTCAATTCTTATGTTATCTAACTAATTGATTGTAGTTTTGCGTCCCTACCCAAACCAAAAGATATTGAGCTCGAGGAACCTGAAGAGCCTGAAGATGCAGACATGGAGGCCGGCCCCGCCATTGTAATTGACCAGGAAGAGATCGACCGCCGCATGCGCGAAAAGCGCCAAGCAGAGTTCGAGGCCGAGCAAAAACGCCGTACCCAAGTTCTCCAACGATCGCTCCCTCGCCCATCAACGCTAGACATCGACGCTCTAGTCAACCGAGCACATAACGAAAGTGATGCAATTAGAGCTATGGTATCACGAGAGATGGCGACCTTGATCGGCTCAGATGCACTAAAATACCCAATTAAAGGCGGGAAAGTCAGTGGGTCACCAGGGCGTTTCGAGAAGTTTGAAGATGATCTTTTAGAGCGAGCAAAAATGGAGGTGTTGATGGAGTTGCCAGAGGAGGTTGCGAAGCAGGCTGGTAGTGAGTTTGAGGAGGCTTGGCAGAACGTTCATGGGGCGCAAAGGAATATATTACCAGGGTTGGAGGAGTATGGGAGGGATAGTGTGGATCGCATACAGTTGATAGTGCAGGCCTTCGACGTACGTTACCTCTTTTCAGCTTATCGCGTCGAACACAGTAACTAATATTTTGAATGCTATAGTCCGCACAAGACAAGCTCACCAAAGATGCCATCCAAGGCAATAAACTTGAGAAGAAACTAGGCCTCCATCTTGGCGGTTACCAATCCCGTTCTAAGCTCCTCACACAAAAAATCATTCAAGCCTCACAAGCAATATCTGAAACCAAACAAGACCTTGAGTCGTTTAGAACTCTGCGGATTAGCGAATCTGATGCAATCCCAAGGAGACTAGAGGCGATTAGAACCGAGGTTGCATTCTTGGACAAGAGGCAGAGGGAGGCGCAGGAGATCTATAGGGCTAGGAGAGAAGAGCTGGAAGCTTTGTAGGGGATATGAAGTTACGATGATTTGTTTTGGTTTGACTTGTTATGGATCGCGGATTGTTGATTTCTTTTTCTCTTTTACTTTACGTTTGCAAGTGTTCTGTACTAAAATCAGATGTGGCGTGAGACGCACGCCAGGCATGGGGGTGTCAATTGTATTTTAAGACGGACAGGTCACAGGTTAATAGCTATGCCATGGAAAGTAATATCGGGAGGGTAGGAATTTAAAAGAGAGAGAGAGATAGTAGATAAGTAGGGTTTCTGCCCCTAATTTGATGCGTTGGCAGCGCAAAATGTGTGTCTTGTCCCTTTGTAAGAAACTATCATATGATTCCTGTAGTTAATTGGACGACAGCCCAACCCCAAATTACACTACATAGGGTTCTCTTTACCTCCACTAAATAATACAAGAAACCTCCCTTGCCCCACTAACTTATTTACCCCACCCTCGAGAACTCAAGATGTCACAAAAACGTCTTCGCTCCGACTCGGCCGCCTCTACCGACCCAAATACCTGGACTATCTTTGAGCCGTCCTCGGCCCCAGATGCCGATGGTGACATTATTCCCACAAATCCCCATGACACTAAACACTCCCGTCATGCCGTCACCTCGGCCCCAGCAATAACATGCTTCCTACCGCCGTCATGCGCAGCAGGAACCGCATTTGCTAGCCATGAGCTGTTTGAGAGTCATTACGCACAGGCGCATACCAATCGCTGCTTAGAGTGTGGGAAAAACTTTCCGAGCGGGAGGTTTCTGGAGCTACATATCGCGGAACATCATGATCCGTTGCAGGAATTGAGAAGGGAGAGGGGTGAGAAGGGGGTATGTTGCTTGTTAATACCTATATAGTCTGATGATGAGTTAGAAGGAAGCTGATTCGGCGGTGTGGATATGTAGTATGGGTGCTTTGTGGAGGGGTGTGAGCGGTTTTGTTCAACGCCGCAGAAGAGAAGGAGGCACGTTATCGATAAGCACCATTTCCCTAAGGTGTGTTTTCGACTCGGTTCGATTATTATAGGCTTTATGGGCACTTAAATACTGATTTAATGATTATAGGAATATAACTGGGGAATTGTGCAATGGGGTATTGATAACCATACAACTTTACTCACTCGTTCCACCACCAAAAATACTCCTACTACAACCCCAACTACTAGTCCCACTACAGCTGCCACACCAACAACCCCCAATAAACCACAGAAGCTAGGTGGTAAGAACCCAAGCCCCAAACAAAAAGATCCAAGTAGGCGAAAAAGACCAATGGATATTAAAGAGGAAGAGGAGGGAAAGCCCTCATTGGAGAAAGGAAAAGAGGTAAAAGAAGTAGATATGCTCGACGTTGCGAACGCCATGAGTGCCATGAAGTTAGTGCCGCCTAGTGTTAGGTTTGGTGGGAGAAGAGGAGCTAGCATGAGATAGTAAAAAATATATATATATATTAAGAGAGGGATCCGGATGCAAGGATTGGAGTCGGGGTTTTGACCTTTTTTTTTTTTTACTTATTTATTTGGCGATCATTGTGTGCATTGAATGATTGGGCATTATTTATTATTATTATTATTATTATTATTATTATTATTATTATTATTATTACTATTATTATTATTATTATTATTATTACTATTATTATTATTATTATTATTATTACTATTATTATTATTATTTCCCCACTCCTTTACAGTAGAAATATGTATTGTTTCTCAATGGGTGAGACGTCTCGCTGGAGTTTTGGATATAGCAAGATATTTATTACTCTTGTAGCTAGCTGATGCTATTGCTAGGTGACAAGATTTTGTATGGGAATTATCAATAGATATGAAAGGGATAATAACATAACCAGAAAGCCCTGGGTTTGTCGATCTGCTGGTTGCTACGTAAAGTGAGGCTTAATATGTTGAATAAACTATATTATTCTAATAAACGATAGGATAAGTTCAGTATGGACATTTCAATGATAGCAACTGGTAGGATAGTTAATTTTATTTCGTGTTGTACAGAAAAATTCACAAAAAGGAAAACTCAGCCTCACTAATATTTTTTGTCACCTCATACACCTCCTTCCAAATTCCTCCGGCAGCCCATTTGAACCCTTAGTAAGATCCACGACCCCTTCCACGGGGCGTGAATCCACCACGAGACCCGCCTCTGGGAGTGAATCCGCCGGAGCCACCTCGTGAGCCACCACGAGGGGTGAAACCACCGCGTCCACCGCGAGGAGTGAATCCACCCCTGCTACCGCCTCTAGGTGCACCACGGCCGCCACGGGGAGCTCCACGGCCGCCTCGAGATCCGCCGCGTCCGCCAGCGGGCTTGGGGCCCCTGGGGCCGACTGCTTTTGGTTTGGGGAGGAATCTAACAAGCTTATTAGCTCACATAATGGGAGAACAAATGGGCGGATGTTGACCTGTCCAATGGCAATAACTTGTCGCCGCCAATGTAGAATTTGTCGCCCTCTTTGAAAGAAGTAGCGACGATGCCGTCTTGCGGTTTGATAGTGAAATAAACCTGGTTCATAGGGCCGAGGATCTCATCGACTTTACCAATAACAGACTATAGAAATCAAATTCCTACTTGTCAATATTGTTGAAAAAAGATAGTAAGTCAATTTCAAGAAAATAATACCTTGTTCTCGAGGTAAATTGGCGCATTGAAGTAGGGGATCTTAGTGTTGATTGACTGGCATACGATTTCCCCTTCACAAGCGTGCATGAACTTTCCCATTTCTATTTCATGACCAATTAGCCACAAAAACACCGATTGCGGGGTGGGTTAAGGCTGAAGCACAAACCTAGGACTGTATCGGGAGGGCCGGTAGGTGCCTGGAATCCAGTACGGCCACCTGGAATTTCCTATCAGCATTGTTTTCCAGGGGGAGGTTCAGACTAGAGAGAGAAAAAAAAGCCTTTATTCACCTCTGAAACCACCACCACCACCGAAAGAACCACCGCGACCACCTCTGTCACCGCCTCCTCTACCGCCACGGAATCCTCCTCTGCTCATTTTGAAATTGGTACTAGGGTCGGGGGAGGTAGGTGAAGATTACTAGTGGGTTCTGTTAACGTTGGAACGAGAGGCTCTTGTCAAAGGTTTGGAGTCGCAGATGAAAATTGCGGGTATGGTGCCAAGAGACAAGGTATTGGGTGGCTAGAGAAAAACATATATTGTGGCTTGTGACTGCATCAAAAGGGCTTATTGTGGCTAGTGAATAGTTAAACGTCTCAGTTGACCAGCAGAGACGAGGTGGCTGAACAGCACCTCGATTCGGCTGACAAAACACCCCCCATGCGGCTCTGCGGGATCTGGGCGCTTATCGTCTAAGTCACTGTTCACAGAACTGCCATAGTCGAGCCCTCACTTAGGTTGCAGCAAGCAGCCAGCAGCCCAACAGCAGCAAGCAGCCAGCCAGCCAGCCCCACCATCCTATCTAGCTCAGATATACGGCTGTAACAACTCTTTCCCTCCCCCACCCCCGCATTATGAACCGCACATTTGTCTACTCACGTATCAACGGCATCAATATCAAATTCGACCTCACATTCCCGAGTGTCGGAGAGCCTACAAGTAGTCATGGCAGAACGGGTGCGGCCAAGAAGACCATCGCTCTTTTGATGAAGAGAGTAAACCAGATGATAGAGGGACAATCTACGAACTCTGCTCCTGCTGGTCCTGTACGCATACCTGCTGTTATATTCTTTCATGGGGGTGGCTTAACTGCCGGGAATCGAGAGTTTTTTCCAAGGGATTTCAAGGGTATGTTCAATATGTTCTTTTTGTTCGAGCGGTGGTATGGTGGTAGTTCTTGATAGGCTGGCCGTTGTTTCTCCGGTAGCTTCTACAGTTGCCTCTATCACTGCTAGCACTACATGTACCTCCTACCACCACTCATGCTACGCTACCGCTACAGCATACCTTCTACTACTACCAGAATGCTATCACTACACCTCCTGCCTACTACCACTACTACTGCTGTATTTTTGGAAAGTTTATTGGTTGGTTGACACAATCACCTGCCCCTCTCTCCGCAGCCGATGTTCTCGCCCAGGGAATAGCCTTCATCTCAGCCGATTACCGTCTTCTCTTTCCATGCACAGCGCATGATATCCTTGTCGACGTTAGAACTCTTTTTAGCTTCATAGGGGAGCAGCTCAACCCTGCTCTATCATCTTCCAGTTATCCCGGCGACCCCTTCAACTTCCATATTTCTCCCGATCATCTTGCTGTTGCTGGAGCAAGCGCAGGTGCATACCCTGCACGCCTTGCTGCACTCTACGCAAATCCTAAGCCAAAATGTTTCTTCTCTCTCTATGGCACTGGAGGGAATTTACTAGACCCGTTCTATCTGAGAACTCCTGATGCCGCACAAGGTGACTTGGATATCGGAACAAACGCCCGCTTTATGTCCCCCGGTGGTCTCGAGGCTAGAGATACTGTCGCGCCGATCGCCGACTGTCCAATGGGCTTTGATGACACCACACGCTCTATCCCTGGGTACTCCGACCGACTCTTAACCCTCTACGTAACATTGCTCAAATCAGGAAGATACCTAGACTTCCTCACAGGCGTTGAAGGACTTGGGCAGCGCCTTCGTACGGCTGCAATCAGGTCCGGGGTCCCGGTGAACGATGAAAGCTACGATTGGGAACGTATTGTGGATGCAATTCCACCTGAAGCGAACTGTTTATTTCCCCAACTTCACATTTCCAACACCTTTCCACCGTCATATTTAATCCATGGCAGCCAGGATAGGGCAGTTCCAGTTAGCGAGACAACTGAGTGTGACCGCATGCTCAAAGAAGCTGGCGTAAGAAGTGAAATGGTCATTGCGAATGGCCTTGGCCATACATTCGATCAGCATATGGGACCCGATGGATGGCAGAGATACGCAGGTGGGGTAGTGCCTTTCTTACTGGAGTATATCGCAACGGAAGGGATGGAGACGGAGAGTGCCGACGGTAGATGACAATCGAAACTGGAAGGGGTTTATGGAAACTGTGATGCGGGGGTAAGGCAAAGACAGCTTTATCCCCATAATTTACCTTTTTCTCGCATCTTTTCTTATATCCATGAAATGACCACCATATTAAATATCATATCAGTTCTCACGAACGTGGAAATGGTGGCATCAATGGTCTGGATGGCTTGATATTGGGTATGGGGTGGATATTTCTGCTAGCTATCTATCGAGGGTTCTTTGTCAATATGGTGGGGAATTTCGATTTTTTGGTCGGCTTTTTTTTGTCCTTTATTTCCTTTTTCGCTGGCCTCATTACTGGCCACTTTCTTTAACTGGATTTCCACGGGAGCGGAAACCGAATTTGCTGGGCGAACGCAGGTAATGAAGAATACCCGGGTGTAGGCCCAAGAGTGGCTATTCTTGATGATCGAGTATATAAGTCATTTTATTCGATCTCGCCAGGCAAGTTATGGTATCCATTATCTAGATTTTGAAAATTTGGGTCTTCATGCCTAAATCACAGAAGTGGTATTATGTTTTGAGAGGCGCCTTTCTTGGATTAGATTTCTCTTGCTACATCTCTTATTAAGATGGAATATTGAGTCGAGCCATTTGATGGTGTTTTAAACGCCAATCTGTAGTTATCCCCTTCACTAAGAGTTAACCAATTTACGTCATTGTGTAACCATATTTTCTTATTCCTGGCCTCGAACATAAATGGCATTGTATATATCCAATAGTTTTCCTATCAATTCCAATTGAAGACTAAGGTGACCTTGTATAGGATAGAACTGACCAGACAGTACTTCAAAGGACAGTAAAGAAAGAAAAAAAGAAAAAAAAACCCCGAAAGGTTAAGAAAGACAAGTAGAAAAAAAAGGAGAAAAAAACAAGAAAGGAGAAAGGAGGCATGCTTAATGATGAGTCCTAGACCTATAACTATTAAAATTGATGCCACAGTATGTGTGGAGGATTAGGTAGGCTGGCGCAGGGCAATTATTCATTACATGTGTACATTATAGCTACATGCACTTAATGTGAAGGTGTGTATCGTAAGATTGGAACCTAGGGGAATGCCGTTTATTTATATAAGGTAGATGAGGCGAGGGGTAGGACATAATTACAGTAAAATTAGTAGATAAGGTACTAGATCAGGGTATCCACATGTTTTCTTTTTTAGAGTACCACATGGTGGGGCTTGGACGCGAGTGATATCGTATGTTTAAATCATTAACCAACGAATGCGTTTGCAAAGTCGTTTGTCGCTTATCGTTCAAACCTGAGAGCGGGAGATTTCCCGCCCGTATTGAATGTCACTTAGTTTACTCAAATCATATTCCATTCTAGCTCTGGAAAAATAAAAATGGGCAGGTGTTTATAATTGTACGACTGAGTTATTAATCACAGGGTATCACTCGTGCTTATTATTGCCAAGACAACGAGGGAAAAAAAATCTCCTGATAAGCAATTAGCTAACCAGCAAGGCTGTGCGCTGTCATTTAAGATTTATTCTCTTGGTGAAATGACATTTTTATGGAGGAGGGCAATTGCGAGTCTCTGGATAGGTGAAGACTTATGGGTTTGTGTTACCGTAGACTTGCATAGCTAGGGAAACATATATACTGTGCGTGATTGATCGGGGGGGGGGGGGGGGGGCTATCCCTATCAATGGGCGCGTGCAGCAGTACTCAGAAACAATATCTACTATACTATAAAAGAATATGGCCTGGAAGAGTTTCGCTAAACCGGCCGGCCTAATCCTACATCCGGCCCTGGAGACCGATTAGCCAAATACATGTAATGTAGTGAGCAATAAGCTAAGGTAGTTCAATCTGCAATTAATTATAGAGTTCCAATCGATATCACACATACATATGTACCTCACTAAAGCCCTCCCTCTTCATACCCCTTCAAAAAAAAAATAGGTAATAAATATACACAAAAAGTTGATACTCCACCCACGGGTTCTAATTCGAGATATTGAACACTGCTTCCCGTGAAAGTGTCGTACTTCCCGAGCATCACTCCCACCCCCGGAGTTGAACCCACGACCTCCGGACGTCTCCGGACCCAGACGTCTCTGAGTGGCTCAACCCACGCGGTGTAGCAAGACGAGGCGTCTACCACTAGACTACCTCGCCTGCACAACTATAGGCCGGGAAGTAATATTTAAGGGAGTGAGTGGAAAAAGTGAGTAGGGGGACACCTAACCCTGTAGTCACAATCCACCACGAACGTACTCACTGGCCACCCTCTTGTATTAAGTATATAAAACAAACTATAGTACCAATTGCGGATTTTTGATATGGCGGCGGCCTTACACTGCGGTGCACTCATATCTATGGCTATTCCTTCAACTTACATAGAAAGGAATATGTGATCAACAAAAGCGGTTCATAAACTGTAATATCTTGAAAGAATTATTGTACACATCCCATTGAAAGAAAACGCCAAACTTTTATATATCATTAAATGCCAAACAACTTCCTTTATTCCAGACCTTCAAACTCCGCATCTCCTTTCTCGCTCTCTTTTCTTCTTCTCTTGACTTCCTCAACCAACTCTTTCCACTCCGCTTCTTTTTGTTTTTCTTCAGGTGCCATCTTATTCTGGCGTTCCGCCTCTCTCTTCTTACCTCTCTTCTCTCTTCGAGCTTCCCTTACATCTGCCGCATCCGTCTTCTCAGACCATGCCTCAGTCCTCTTCCGTTTCTTGTCCTTGTCGTTCTGGTGTACCTTTGAGTATTCCGGGGCACCAGTTTCCGCGGCGACTGCGAGTGCTTCAAGCCGTGCCTTCTCCTTGACTTTATCGCGGTACGCGAAAGTCGACATCTAAACACTATTAGTTGCCGATTCAAGAAAACAAGCCTAAGAGGACCTACATTAACTTCCACACCCAATACAACCTTCTCCACGCCTTCAGCTCTCAACTCCGGCATTTTCGGCATCCTTAACAACGCAAAAGCCTCCGCCAAGTCTTTCCACTCAATGTCCTTCACCCTAAATATACTCGCAGTCTGGTGTTTACTATGTGCTCTAACATGTGACACAAACGCTTTCATGCCCTTCTCATGGAGCGCCCTATCTCGCAGCACCACAGCCCTCAACTTCTGCACTACTTGTGCAGTCTCTTCTTCAGTGGGATTTTCGGCGTCATATGAGTCTTGGATAAGCACGAGTGGCACAACAGGGGTCTTCCGCACTTCCAGAAAGTCGATGTAGCCCTCTTCACGGCCCCGAGAGAGGAAGATGACTGCAAGACCCTTACGGCCGGCACGACCGGCACGGCCGCAACGGTGAAGGAAGACTTTAGGATCTGTAGGGGGATCAATCTGAACGACAAGGTCGACTTCGGGGATATCAAGTCCACGAGCTGCAAGGTCTGTAGTCAGTAGAATTGATGGCGAGGTCGAGGAGGTAAATTGCGCAAAGTTGGTTTGGCGGATCTTTGGTGATTGCTTTCCATGTAGAGGAACAATGGTATAGCCTCCCGATTTACTCTTTGGTCCCGGAAGAATAGCAGGGAAGAGTGAGGCGAAGTAGTCGACGGAGACGCAATTGGAGAGGTATATTATCGTTTTCTGAGGCAGATTCGTAACCGGGAATAGGCCTGATACAGGGGAGAGAATGCGCTGAAGGTGGACCAGCCTCTGTCTCGGGGTTGCTAGGATATATGTCATTGCTAAACTTGCTGGTGTTCGTTTTTCCTTCTTCGCAGTATGTACTTTAACAGCGATTTTGACTGGATTTCGGAGACCGGTTCTAACAAGACTGCCGACGACTGCATCACTGACAGATGCACTGAATAGCCCTGTTCTTCGCTGCTTAGGTAGACGGGAAATGATTTTTGTGAGGGTTTCTTTAAAACCCAGATCAAGAAGACGATCTGCCTCGTCCAGAACTAATGCTTCAAAAGAGTCGGTAGTGCACAAAACATGCTGTGATGCTAATAGCTCGTTAAGGCGTCCCGGAGTTCCAATGAGAAAGTTCGGCGACTGCTGCAGAAAATTCTTAAGGTCTTGCGCTGGGGGTGTAGTTCCACCTAGTAATAGAAGTGGTGTAATCCTCGTCGCCGAAGGGTCGGCCTCGGCACCCTCTTTCGAAGCTGAGGGCGCATGGAAGGCTAATAGTGACTTCAAAACCGAGTGTATTTGAGTTGCCAATTCCCGAGTGGGCGAAATAACAATTGCACCAACGTGATTCTTCTTTTTGGGTTCTCCGCGTAGAAGTCGCTCTACAATAGGGATTAGAAATGAGAGTGTTTTACCACTCCCGGTGACGGCTTCGACGACGACGTCCTTATTACCCATGAATAGAGGAATAGTTGAGGCCTGTACTGGTGTCATTTTTGAAAACCCCATGCTATCCACAGCGTCAAGGACCCAGGGAGACAGTTGAGGTTTGAGCGACTGCCATGATTGCTTTGCGGGCGTCTCTGACGGTGGGGCATCTTCAGTGGTAGGAGGTTCGATTTTGAGGATCTCTGCAGCCACAGGCTTTTGTTTCAGAGGCTTCTGCTTTTGTTTTGGTTTCTTTTCTGTAGTTGAGGCCGGCATTTAATTAGTCGGTGGACCTGATTTTCACCAGCGGAGGATTGATTATGGAGGATTTATTTTTTATTACACTCCAGTAGATTGCCAGTGAAGACTCTCGGTAGGGTAACTCCTCCCACATGCTGCACAATTAGTGGGGCTTCAATTTCAACCTCGAAATACCATTTGGTTCAAACACCCCCCCAATACCCGCCATGAACGCTCGTGTAGCACTACGGTGGGCTGGCCGACCCTCACTCGGACCCATCACTACCTCAATTCCTACTCTTCTGACCTTCCAGCGCCATAAATCCAGCGGCTGGTTCGGTTTTGGTGGTAGTAAAGATGAGCGCAAAGCCCCAGCAGCTCCGGAGTCAGAAATTTCAATTGCCGACGCGCAGTTACAACGCGGAGATCTTGCAGGAAATACCCTTTTTGACCAGGAGGAAATGACCACCGAAGACGGCTTTCCCGTCCTCCCAGTTGTCAACCCGCTCATTATCGACCCGGAGCGTCACAAGTGGACATGGCCGAAGCGCGCCGACGCCCGCGAGCACCGTCGCCGTGGGAGGCTTTCGAAGAAAGAGCAGATCATGCAGACGGAGAAGGAGCTACTGGCAAAATCACACATGTTCAAGACGTCGCTGAAGAAGCTTGGTCCTATTGCGAGGCAGATCGCTGGCAAGAGTTTGGACCATGCAATTACACAGATGAAGTTCTCGCCAAAGAAGGCGGCCAGGGACGTACTGGGACACTTGAAGCAGGCAAAGAACGAGGCTATTCTCCACAGGCGTATGGACCCTGGGCAGACGTATATTGAGCAGGCGTGGGTTGGGAGGGGCCCTTTTGAATTCGCGTCGAGCCATAGGGCGAAGGGACGGATCGATAGGCTGAGGCTGCCGTATACCAGTTAGTTAGCCCCTAAAATGAGAGGTGTTTCTAGGTTTTGGTCGTGTGATGGCGCACTAATGAGATGCTTTTTTTTGCTTTGAATAGGTCTCACGGTTGTCCTGAAAGAAGAGAAAACGAGAATCCGGATCATGAAGGAGAAGGAGGAGAAATATATGCGAAAGAAGCCGTGGGTACAACTCCCGAATAGGGCTATCTATGGCCAAACGCAGTATTACAGGTGGTAAAGGAAGTAAACATAGTAAAGAATCTTGTATATTTGCATTAGGGTGAAAATAAGTCTTCTGGTGCGGAAGAAAAATCCTGTATTATATTGATAAAGTGACTTTGCATTTACTCCAAAACCTAACAATTCAGCTCACAGTATGTGTATTTGATAAATAATTTATGCTTCTAAAACTTTCCAAGGTGGTCCTATGAAAAAGTCGTAGCATACATGTAGGAAGTGGGTGAGAATGTACATTCAAAACTTCGTGAGGTTTTAGTTCATGTTAGATTTGTGAGGTAGAGAAACATGATGTTGGTGAACGGGGAATTGTTATTGTTGAGTTTCTGTTGAGTCTATATGAGATTTCGAATAAAGTATAATGACGGATTCAATCACAGATCCATTAAGCCTGCCCTAAAAGAGAATGGCTTGGCGACATTATTTAGGTTCTGTACCAGGTATTAATTACCGTCCAGAGAAGGCTGACTAGTACTAATACGTGTTGGAGAATGTGACCCGAGCTGGTGGGACAATAACTTCTGTGATTGTTCCAATATCTGCAACTGTAGATCTCAGCCCTGCCTCCCATATTGTGCGGTCGGGTGCTATATTCTGGCCAATACCAATCCTACTAATCAATCATTGGTTTGATGTAATCTTTACATCCTATTAAACCACGATTACAACTCTACAATTAATTAATAACTTATTCCCTTTTTAAAATTAAAAGCTAAATTCAATTCGTTTGAAAACCCGCAAACCTTTTTCCCATCCACCTATTACTTTTGTTTATTTAAAGAATAGAACTCCCGAGTGACCATTCATGATTCACTCAATGTGAAACATAAAACATCACTCAAGCCTTAACAGCCTTCCTCTCAAATGCCAGGAAATTATCCCCTTCAGTACTTTCCACAGGTACGAAGCCACACTTTCCCAATACCTTGACGCTTGCCCCATTTCCTGTTTTCACCTTGGCTCCGATGACACCATCCCCACCATACGTCTCCAACCACTTTCCCAAAGCTTCACTGGCATAACCTCTGCCCCAGAATTCCTCCACGAAGATATACCCGACTTCAGAGTCGGTGCGGAAGCACCCAACGATACCAATCATACGAGACGATTCTTTTAAAAAGACACCGTAGTTGCGAGAGGATGGATTTTTCAATAGGAGAATCTCAAGCCATGTTTGACTCTGCGATAGAGTAGAGCAATTGCCATAGGTGCTATATTGTACGTTTATATTAGAACCTGAAAAGACTATATCATTCTAGATAGGGATGGAGATGGGGGATGTTCTTACGTCCACTTAGTGGCATTTGGGTTGGACCAAATTCTGTGGAAATCATGCAGGTTTGAAGCCTGAAGCTCCCTGAGCTGGATACGATTCTTGGGAATATAAGACATCATGTTTATGATATTTTGGCTGATGAATTTGTGGAATTAGACGATTTTAGGTAGAGTGTGGTTGGGGGGGGGGGGGGGGTGTGCTGGGGTGGGAAGGATGAAGAGGATCTGAGTGACGGCGGAATATATAGTTGAGCTAGAGCTAGTAATGCGCTAATGTGGGTTGTGGTGATCTTCTTACTACTGTATCCTGATAATTTCCGGGGTGTACAGCTTATATAACGTTTACGATACGGGAATTCAATGGAAACCCCACAACTCATTAGAACGGGGTAATTTAGCCGGATCCGAATGGACATATAGATAAGTACATGTATGGTTGCATGAATACATGTAAATGTACCTTTGATACAAGTAATTAATTGTACTACATATATCAATCATGGAAAGGTGCATACAGGTACCTAAATTACATGTACATATATCTATGTGGTTACAATTTCTAGCACTACATGTATTATTCCAGGTAGGCCAATCACATATCGATTGACCCCCTTGTTACCTCATGGCGCATCTCTTGCTATTTTTTTTTTTTTTTTTTTTTTTAAATCATGTAGTTTTATTGATTCTAGGTACAAAACTCGCATCTCTTGCTATGTGGGCCAGTATTATATAATTATGCATGCAGTACACTGTATACGCCCGGGCACCCATTAATAATAAGAAAGTGTTATCTTTCTCTACTTAATATCACAACTCCTCCAAACTCTGTACACCGACCTAAAGATAATGAATACGTATACAGCAAAACCTATCATAATTCCACCCCCGCAGTGGCCGAATTTTGCTAGAATTATCGTAGGGATAGTGTTTAGAGAGAGGTATTTGTTAACAAACTGCAGGTATCGTCCCCTCCAACCGCTGGAAGTTTGGTAGGGATGGAATTTCGAGAGGGTGGAATTATGATAGGTTTCTCTATACTTACATCAAACGAAAACGCTCCTTAAAGTCTATAGGAATATCGGTATATCTACACTCTAACTACGATGCAATCTGACACGCCCTACCCGACCGGCCTATAGAACTGCCAATGCTCTGTTTAAAATATCTACCAACTCATCCGTTTCCTCTAAACCAACACTGATTCTTATGAGATCGCTTGCCACCCCAAACTGAGCAGCCCAATCTAACTCCCCATAATGCGCAAGCAGCGTGTATGGGGAAGCTAGTGTGAAGTTTGTACCAAGACTTGGACCCTTCGAAATTTCCATTGTATCAAATACAGCAATGGCATCTTCACGGCTATAAAATGTCACGCTAAGGAGACCTCCGTATCCACCATTTTCGCAACGGCAGTTGTCATAGTAAGGTTTCGTAGGCGAATATTTTGGATAGTATACTTCTTTAACTGTTGGAGAAAAATGAAAGATTAGTTAAGTAGAGGCATTTAAAGGATTGTAGAGGTTACCCCGTGGATGTTGCCTAAGTAAATCACTGATAGTTTCGGCGTTTTTATTAATGCGCGCGATCCGAGAAACAAAGTCACGGCTATTTCTTTCCAGAAACAATGCGTCTTCGCCCCAGTAATTATCTTCGAATTCAGTGTTCAGAGTCTGTTTAAGCTGTTGATAATAGCGGCCCTTAGGATTCAAGACAGAACTAGTTTTGGTAAGCAGAGTATTACAAAACCTAATAATTGTTCAAGAAGACCAACCTGCCACCCATGACGTTAGCGTCACCACTAAAGACTTTCGTCAAGCTGCTGACCACCACGTCCGCATACGGAAGCACATTGACATTGAGGAAGTTCCCCACTGTTTCATCGATAACAACCGCAAAGTTGTATTTATCGGCCAGTTCTCGAATCCGCACCAGATTGGGCGCTTTAAGCAACGGATTTGAAGGAAACTCGCAGAATAAGGCTAGTATTTCTTCTCCGGACTCACATTTAGCCTGCAAATCATCTAGATCTTCCTGGGACCCATTGCCGTAGAAGTAACAGCCCGGCCCGAATTTTTGGAGGATTTTGAGTGTATCGATATATGGGAATCTGCATTATGTGTTAGAAATCCAAGACGGTTCATGAAGTCCATTTCATACCCATAGGAAACACTCTTCTTATATCCCAATGCTGACATCAAAAACCTATGAGTATTGAATATCGCACTCATTCCGCTTGGGTGCAAATACACATCATTCTCTGAAAATCCTCCCTCAAGTCTTCCACCCTCATCTGACTGCTCTAAAGCATCATTAGGTGCTAAGTTTGACTTTAAAGTGCCTGCAATCCTTCTACGAATAGCTAACTTTGCGTTCTCGATGAATGCGACGTCAAGGTTGCGCCCAAAGCGCTCCTCGACATATGTGGAACTGTCTTCGCCAATTTCCCCATTTAGATCGCTCTGAGAATGCACCTTAGCATCAACCCTAGGTAGGCGCGAGTAGCGCTTCGGCCCTTTTGGGGCTAGGGGTGGAGTAGGATTGTTATCTTCGAGCTCAGCGGCCAAGCTCTTCTCAACCAATGAACCTTCCTCAAATTCTCTCTGACAGAACTCTGCCCTACGGCTTGAGACCCCATCACCACTATGCTGCCAGAACTCCTTGGCGCATTTAAACTCTTCTGCAGGGAATAGTACTGCACATAGGTCTGACCAAATTGGAGTTTCCGAATCTTTAGGTGTTTTGGGGTTCTTTGATTTGTTGTAGACAAGCTCAATGACCCTAACATTTGGCGCAGGGATAGTTTTAGATCTCTGTTTAATGAACTGCTTACATTGTTTAGCAACCCCAGGAGAGGGGAAAAGCATGGCATCTTCGTCCGGTTGACCGAACTTCTGGAGGATTGATTGTACAAGTTTCTGGATACTTTTATGGATGTAGAATCTGGAGGATTTTTTGTTAATCTGGGGCAATTGATCAAACTCATAGTATGCCAGTTCTGGTGGGTGTATTTATGAGAAGTATAAATGACAGATTGCCAACCTTGGATATCCAGTCTTCATTTTACTCATGACCCATTCTTGACCCTCTTCGTATCCAACATTTGCTCTCCATGTTGGTAGCGACACACTTACTGCCTAGATTTACTATGTGAGTCATAGAAGTACATCGGTGTAGCTGGATAGGGCAGTACAACGACTTACGTGTGGTGTATCAGCAGGTATGGCTGCGCCAACAATTGCATGCGTAGGGAGCATCGTGATAGTTTAAAATGAATTGATTTGGAGAAACTTTCTAAAAAATCAAAAATCCGAGGATATATATGAGATGCAACAGAGATCCTGGATCGTTGTCCTTATGGGATCGAAGAACGGACGTGTGGCTTTTATGCATCCTTTCCCTTACAGTGGTCCAAATGCGCTAGAGTTCGAGGAAGTTACCCGGTCGCAGGGCTCTCTGTCACTGGTCCCGGAACAAACAGCTTCCTCTATCTATAGCTCGAGAGCGCCGGAGATACGCTCAATTAGCCTTAGAACCCTCAAGCAATCCCAGAGAACCACTCTTTGGTAAGACTGTTAACACCACAATGTCATCTCTTTTCAGATCCTTTCGACGGTCCCAGATTACTAGCCCTTACATTCGTGGAGGAGGTATTAGATCCATTTCGACACTCCCGAATAATCCACATATCGTATTTCCTCTCTCAATTTAGTTGCTTGAATCATGTAGATATAGAGCTATTGCTAAAGAATTATTTAGTATGTAATTCCATCGTCAAATGGCAAAATCCTTTCTTTGCTTCCAACAGACCCTCCCACCCCCGAACTTTCCATCGGAACTACAACTTCTATCCCACCAACGCCTAATAGTTTCACAGAAAATCGCAATTTTCTCAAAATCTTACAATTAGTCCTCCGGAAAAATGTATACTTTGATCCAGAAGTGATAGCTTCAGCAGGAACATTTGCTTCGCCCGGTGGAGCATCTATATTTGGCGCACGGAAACGGCGGGCTACACCTGCCCCAAGCGATGGCGGTGGCGCAGGAGGTGCAAACAACCAAGGAGGGGCAGGTAGTGGTGGTGTAGGGGGTTATATACATGTATTTGATACCAGAAACCCACCAGCATTTGGGAGGATTCCCGATCCGGAGGACATTTTCGGAAGTGTATTGGTGGACGGGAATGGGCAAATTCAGCAAGAAGGATACGAGGAGTGTGGTTCGTACAGGCTGGTTACAAACGAGGGCATGTGAGTCTACCTATTCTCCACTCTTTTGAGCATATGAGAGTTTTACTAATTGCTTAGACTTGGGCTGAGTGATTACTTGAGAGGGAAGCTTATTGAGAAATTGAAAGATGAGGAAAGAACGCTGCGAGCACACGGCTGAAATTTATTTAAATAAACGCTCACTCCTTATCACCAGGCGCTCAGAAAAACAAAATATATGTTTGCCACACTTAAATGTCCGCACTACATGCAGATACAAGCTTCTGAATTTTCTTAGAGCCACGCATGACTACCACTACACTCGAGTGATGAACTGTGATTTAAATATCATAATTTTCTTGTATAAGTACGTTAAATTCTACATTCACTACTGGGTGATGATGGATTCTGTATGATAGTGGACAGGGGTTGTTTGCGGTATAATCGAGCAGCATGGCGTTGTCAAAGACCAGTCCTAAAATCCTTGCCCGTCACCAAATAGTATCCGTGGTCACCTCGTGAGTGTAGCACCCTATCTTGAAGGATTATGCGCTCTTCTTTCTATAAAAGCTGAAAAGAGTACGAAAATCGAGGGTAAGCATGCGCACATGTTTAGGCACGGGCTTAAAACTCGCGCCCACAGGTCTCTTCTTCAAGTAATCAATTCTTTTATGGAGTCTGATTTTGCGAGTGATCTCTCATGAACATCGAAATTAATCATGTACTCGTATAGTTAAGGTACCCTAAAGTATTGCATTTAATTATCAAACCACTTCTCGCCTTGGGATAAGTAGGCGGCCGTGATATGCAGAGTAAGCTATACTTATGCCCACGAGTACCTTGATCATAATTCGGCGAGCGTATTGCAACACCAGCTGCTGCTCCTATCATTTACGGGCGCATTACATATAGGTGTCGAAAGAAAGTGACATTTAAAAACGACGCCCTAAACTCCGTGTTGTCGCTGGAAATGTCTACACCGCTCGGTATCTTCTTACAATGGCGCCGAAACGGCGGAAACGGCACCTGCAAGGTTGAAGGCTGCCCGATTGGTGATTACTACATCGACAGGATATTTCCAAGTCATGAATTTCGCCCACGCTATTGGTGAAATTGGGTTAGAAAGTTTTTAACAGGAAGTAACTCTAAAATACGAGAAGAACATACTCCAGTATGCAGTCCTTCGCCCAACCCATTTGCCGAAGAAAGGCACAATGACCATGCCCATCAATAGCTCCAACTGCCTCAGGCTTTCCTGCCACTCCTCCTCCGCATCGTTGTAGCCACCATCGCTGTCGCTGTCGCTGCCATTCTCAGATACCGAGGATAACGCGGAATCATGGGATGGAGTTGGAGGGGGTATTTCGATCATGGAGGCGCTACCCTCAAGGGAGGAAACAGAGGCGTCGGGTGTGTAAGCATACCCTTCCAAGTCCGAATCGGAAGTAAATGATTCTGACATGATAAACAGTTCAAAAAAGCGGCTGAATAGGCAGAGGTGACTTTGCTTATCTATCCACTTTTTCGAGTGTTGTTTGAGTTGATTACCGATATACTATTCGGATGGAATTGGTAAGGTCGAATGCATGTGGGGAACAACGTAGTGCGCCAAGCGATCGACAACCTGCGTAGCCGTGGCTGACTCAGCAAGAAGATGTCACCGCAAGTCGTCGGTGCTGTGAAGTTTGTCAGGGGGCGTACTTATCATACCATACAGCACCTATCAAGAAAAGTCGCCGCCCTCTCGCTCCCTCCACGTCTCAAAAGAATTCTTGTGTCGCGCAACCCCCGCGTTATCACCAGTATTCTAACGAAACTCTTACTTGTTAATATCTTTCTACCCACCAGAAGTCAGACATCTCGTCTGTCACACGCGTACCGAACAGTAGTAAGTGAGGAGCAATGGCGAAGAAGAAGAAGAGGGCAAATCCCGAAGTCGAGGAGCTCCTCGCGCGACCATGGTGCTATTATTGTGAACGCGACTTTGACGATTTGAAAATTTTAATCGCTCATCAAAAGGCTAAACACTATAAATGCGAAAAATGTGGCAGAAGATTGAATACTGCTGGTGGTAAGTCATGCCTTCCCATTTGAATAGAGTGCCCTTTTTAACTGTTATTAAGGCTTGCGGGTTCATATGGAGCAAGTCCACAAAGAACAACTTGAGGCTGTTGACAATGCGATTCCTGGGCGCGAATCTATCGATCTTGAGATTTTTGGCACCGAGGGGATCCCCGAGTCAGAAGTCGCAGCCCACAACCAGCGGATTTTGTCGGCTTTTGCCCAGCGAGAAGCTGATCGCCGCGCTGGTTCAGGACAACCTGGTGCTGGATCTAAACGGCCCAAAATCGACATATCAAAGGATCTTGACCCTGATGAAATCAAAAAGAAGCTCGAAGCTCACAAAAAGGCGATGGCGGCAGCAGCACAAGGTACAAGTGGTAACGGCGCGGTCCCTGGGCCCCAAAGCCCTGGTAGAAGCGCGAGTCCAGGCCAGGGAGCTTACGAGGTCCAAGGATCACCTCCTCAGGGAGCTTATGTGGGTTCTTTTCATTTTTCATATGTTCGCAGACCTATATTCAACATATAAGCCTATCGATATAAGAATTACTAACTCTGTGTTAGCCTCAGGTACAAGCTACTAGTCCGCCACCGTTCCAACAGGGTGTTTATCCCATTCCACAGGCACCTGGACCATATCCCGCCCCAACTTATCCGCCACAAAACCAAGGACCTTTCCCTCCAGCTGCATACGGCCAACCGCCCTTCCCACAGCAGCCGATGCAATTTGGTCGTGGAGGTGGGCCACCAGCGTCCTTTAATGGCTTTCAGCCGCAGCAGCCGCAGCATCCATCTTTCACGCACAATCCGGGTGGCTTCAATCCGCCTCAGCATAATCAATTTCAGCAAGGACCTCCACCTCATGTACAGCACCCACAACACCCACAACGCCATCAAGTTCCTCCAGTTCCACCTCTCCCACAGGCTCACCAAATACCGGGATTACCCCCTAGGCCTAATGCCCCAGGACTGCCTCCTCGTCCTAACTTTAATAACCCTGGTATGGGTGGCATGAATAATGGCGGGTTCGGCCGAGGTGGTCCTAGTGGCAGTGGTAGTGGAGGAGGAGGAGGTTGGAACCAACCTCCTGCACATCAGCAACAGCAGGGTGGGTTTGGCGGCCCAGGCGCGTATGTTCCTCCTCCACAGGGACCTTCACAGCAGTTTGGTCAGCCGCAGCAACCGCAGCCGTTCTCCCCCCATCAGCCGCATTCTCAACAACAATTCGGTGGCTTCAGTGCTACAATGCAGCACCATCCACACCAGCCGCATGCGCAGAATAATGGATCGGCAATGGGCCACCAGGGAAGAAATGACAGCTCTGCATCTTTGACAGCAACAGGTGTAGAGGGCGTTAAAATGGAAATTCCAGATACAAGTACTTCAAACGTTATTGTGCCACCAACAGAGAAGAAGAAAGATGAGAAGCCTAAAAGAGAGACGAAAATGGTTTACGGTGATAATGAAATTAGTCCGGTAAGTTAACTGACCATGCTTCGTGGTCCTCCCAAATTTCCTGACAACAGCTACTTATATCGTTTTTGCATTTTACAGGAAGAAAAGAGAGCTTTGCTACCGAGGTATGAGTACCATCCTCCCAAATCGTCGGTTGAGGTTGCGACTACAGCATAAGGTGGCTCTTGACGGTGACGATAAACGGATATTCCTTAATCTTCGTTCCTCTTCTTGTCCTTTTATTGCTTTTTCTTTTGCCTTTGACAGTCCACGGAAGACCGAATAACCCCGAAAACTCACCAACTCGAAACTAAGAACGAAATCAGCAATACAAGAAATGAGGAAACTTAGTTCAATTTCCATTCTTTTGGATCATTTTCGGGAACGGTGGTCAGTCGTTGTTCTATCTTTTGTGTTTTTGATTCTTTTTCTTTACTCTTTTTGTGTGTGTGTGTGCATCTTTTTGTTTCTCGCGTGGAGTTCAGCGGTATGTGACGGACGGAAGAACGTACGAATGAGACGTGGTATATGGTGCTTGCGAGGTGGGTGAAACAAAAACGGGGATCGGGGTTGAAAGAATATCCAAGAATAAAAGTGAGCATCCTGCTTCCAGATCAGCTATCAGGACAGGGAAAGAGAGCGAGCAGGCATAATGAGTCGACGCCAGCGCGAACAAAGTCGACAAGCGAAAGCGAAAAAGAAACATATTCGATATTTAGGGACGTGGCTTGCAGTGGACGATGGAGTGATCGAGAACGCTGAACGGTTAGTCTCACATTGGGTCTTCAACTTACAGTTGCTTTTTATTTCTTACCACTCTGTTTACATTATGGCTTCGTCTTGAGGTGTTCTATTGTCTTCTCTGTCACTTTAATTTATCATTTCTAGATGTCTTGTAGCTGCCTTCCCCTCTCATTTCTCCTTTCCGTTTCCCAGCTTGATCTCTTTCGCGGTGCTGGTGATCTTTCTGGTAAGTGTGGTGTAAGATGAGTTCTTATTTTCCCTGAAGTTTTGAAATTGCGTGTGTGTAAACAAGTCGTTTGTTGCTCTGTGCTGTGGAGGCTGAGTCGGCAGATCTTGAACGCAAAAAGAAAAAAATACTTCACGCCGCGCGATTAATTACCTAGACGAAAACGAATGCGCCAACTAGTCCGAGAGTCGAATAATTTTCTGCCTTGTAAGTTTAATTTTTCTTCTGCATACTGTTTGTTACTTTACGGTATGATGTAGGGCGTTTTTCTCGGGGGTTTAGTTCAATAAAATTACTTCCTTCATCTTGGCGCGTTATGAATCCGTCTACCTGCCCGGATGTAGATGCATCATTCATTCTGGTTGGAGAGTGGTGCTGCCATATCATTCACAGAGAATCACTCGCGAGTCGTTGGTATACTTTGGGTTTACACACATATAGTTACCTCGGCAAGTGGGATTTTGCTGTAGAATACCCTCGGTAGCAGAAAAAAGAAGAAAAGGATGGTCAATAAACATGGTAGGGCCCGTTTGGAAGACGGGGCTGGTAGAAACATATTTTTTTTTACCTAGCCTCTGTTGCTCTGTTTCGGACTTAGATTGTCCTTCCCGATTTCACACCACTTCCCGGCCCCGAATAACAGTATCACAAGATATACTATAGCACAGAGTATGTACACACATGTAGGAATGGAGTGATTATCAAAACCCCCTTACCGTGGGGGTTTGTAAGCAAACTACATGCAACAGGTATGAGTGGTGTAAACGGATCATTTTAAGGCCAATGTATCCACCCCTCAAAGTGCTGTCCCGTGGTCCTGGCTTGACGTATCTCCCCGTAATTTATTTCCTTTTTCTGCGTGCCAAACAAGCTTTTAGTGACATCTGATCCCTGAATGCCACTGCACCCCGGTTAGGGCCCCAGCATACCCGGAGAGGTGTATCTACGTCACCGGCCAAAATAGATAGAACCCCGCTTGCTAATATTTGTATATTATAGGCATATGAAAACTGTCGGAGCCCAAACCACTCAATGAGTCTCTCAGCATCAATCGCGTATTTCGCAAAGAAACGGCCGTTCGTGATTATCAAAGAAAGAACCGCTTCACTCAAATCATCTATCAGATTCAAGCCAATTGCAACAATGCCTCAGAAGCGCGCTTTGGAAGATTATCCCCTGGCTGCGAAAGGGCCGTTGGAATGCGCTTTAGAGGTGTGTTTTCTAAAACCTGCAGAAGTTGATTATATAGCTCTGACAGTAGTGTAGGGAAGAGCACTTCTTAATTCTTCGTTCTTTAATAAAGGATCTGCATTTACGGTCCAAGAGCGTAAGGATTTTGGACTTGAAGGGATGCTGCCAGTCGCCATTCATACACTTGGTGAGGGAGTTCTCAATACAGCATGCATATAACGAAGTATAGCTGTTGATAGCTTGTCTGTAGAGGAACAAGTTGAGAGAGCCTACGGACAATATTCTTCCCGCGATAGCCCGCTTGCGAAAAACTCTTTCATGACTAGCATGAAGTACCAGAATGATGTATGTATTACTCGGATAAATTAGTATTTATAACTTTATTATTGGTACTAACCTTACTAATACATATAGGTTCTATACTACAAAGTAACACTTTTAAGGAACAGCCTGGAGGGAAGAAACGAGCAAACCTAACAAGAACTTCTTCTTCTTCTAGCTTATCGGAACGCATATTAAAGAAATGTTCAGCGTGATATACACGCCCACCGAGGGGGAAGCAATCGAAAACTACTCTCGCCTATTCCGTAGACCTGATGGTCAGCTCGGATTCCCCTCTACCAATAAAGATTCATACCTAATGCTATGTAACTTTCATAGGCTGCTTTCTCAATATACTCGAAAAGGATAACATAGGGCCGATACTTAGCAAATTCGGTAAGGAGGAAGATATTGACTACATCGTTGTTTCTGATGGCGAGGAGGTTTGTTTGATTTTCCGTATGTTCTGGTTGGCGAAAAGCTAAATTTATGCCCGTAAAGATTTTAGGTATTGGGGATCAAGGTGTAGGCGGGATTGGCATTAGTACGGCAAAGCTAGTATTGACGACGCTTTGTGCAGGGGTGAGTACTTTCGCCCCCTAATCTCATATTGAACGGGCTAATATTTAAATTAGGTACATCCAAATCGGTAAGTTTGAGTCAGTGAACCTTATCTATCAACATAAGCTGATTATGCCCTACAAGTACACTTCCAGTAGTTTTAGACTGTGGTACAAATGTACGAATATGGGTCCCAACTATGTTCATCCCCTGGAAGCTCTTGTAGCTAAAGCATTGTCATAGAACAAAGTCCTGATCGAAGACGAACTTTACCTCGGCCTTCGCCAGCCCCGGGTCCGGGGCGCAGAATACGGTACACTCCCCCCTTCAACTTCATTCATATAATATCACTCGCGCTAATTAAACGACCAAAGATGAATTCATAGAAATCTTTGTCCAGGCGGTCAAGAAACAGTTCCCAAAGGCCATGCTTCACTTTGAAGACTTTGGACTCCAGAATGCTAGGAGACTGTTGGAGCAATACCGGCCGCAGCTGACGTGTTTTAATGACGATGTACAGGGAACGGGGGTGGTTACTATGGCGGCTATCATGGCAGCTGCGAAGGTTGCGAAAATGGAGGTTAAGGATTTGAGAGTGGTCATGTTTGGAGCAGGAACTGCGGGAACGGGTAACATACCTATTTGGAGGGTGACTTATAGAGTGCTGACGGGGCTATATGATAGGAATTGCCGACCAATTTAGGGATGCGGTGGCGGCAGGAGGCAAGAGTAAAGAGGAAGCGACTGCACAAGTCTGGTAGGTTTTGAATAACTCCACTCCACTGAGACATGTAACACTCAATACCTAATACTCATACCACCACAGGTTGGTCGACAAGCCCGGTCTCCTCCTCAAATCCCACGGCGATCAGTTAACCACCGCACAAACCACCTACGCCCGCGAAGACGAAGAATGGTCCTCCAAAGATACTAAGGACCTAGTGACAATCATCCGCGAAGTCAAGCCACACGTTCTCATCGGCTGCTCCACTCGCCCAAAATCATTCACGGAGGAAGTTGTAAAGGAGATGGCAAAACACGTGGAAAGGCCTGCAATATTCCCCCTCTCGAATCCAACAAAGCTCCATGAAGCGAGCCCGGAGGATATATATGCCTGGACCGATGGGAAGGCGCTTGTGGCTACGGGGTCTCCTTTCCCGCCGGTTGAACATAATGGGAAGAAATTTGACATTGGTATGTTTCCCGGGGAAATGCCGATTTAATGTAATACTAACACACCATACAGCTGAATGCAACAACGCCACTGCCTTCCCGGGCATCGGTCTTGGGTGCATCCTCTCCCGCGCAACTCGCCTCAGCGACAAAATGCTCGTCGCAGCAATCGCCAGTCTCGCAGCACAATCGCCCGCCCTAAAAGACCCCACAAGGCCGCTCCTGCCAGATGTAGAGGATGTACGAAGGATCAGCGCACAGATAGCCTGTGCGGTTATCAAACAGGCGGTCGAAGAGGGCTTGAATAGGATTGAAGACATACCGGTGGATAATGAGGATCTTTTGGATTGGGTGAAGGGTCAGATGTGGAATCCTGTGTATAGGCCGTTGAAAAAGGTGGATAAGAGTACTAGCTCGAGAGCTGCGAAGGGGGAGTTGGGGATCGGGAGGTTGGGGGCTTCGGAGTAGGTTCGTCAGTTAGTTTATAGCTATCAATGTCGTGTTGCTACTAATATAACATTCCAAATTCTTATGATCGTCCTGTGAGTTTTGACTACACGTAACATCTTACACCCCAGAAAATTACATACCTTAACTTATTACTTCCCGTATATCCAGATAACTCAATTCTTATTTTACTAACGCCCAAACAAGTATGAACGCCTCTGGCAGTCGCCCAGGAACACCCACAGCAGTGTCCAAACAAACCACAAGGGCAAAATTTACGGAAAAGTGATGCATGAAACTCCAAACCCAAATCTCCACACGTAGCTAGATACATGTACCCACCGTCAAGCTCTTCATTCCACACCAGTGCTATCTACACAGAATCTGATAAAGAGCCGGTTGAGTATCCTAGCTGTGCATATTATAAGTAATAAACCTCAGCTCAAATCTGCTAGCTAGCTAAATAATGTATCAACTGTTATTCTCGTAGCTGCACACAACTACATGTAATGAATCATCAATCAACGTTAGCGTATCAACTAACCCTTACCCTTAGCAACTACGAGTGATAAGATGTGTCGCAAATGTATTTCTCGAATTCCACATTGGAGAATTAATTCACCGTTAGAAGGAGAGTAGTTTTCTAGCGATTGATGGCTATATACATGTATATATGCTAGTAAGTAATATATAGGGCTAATCTCCAATCTGGCACTGCCGAACAGCCCCCAGTGATGCAAATGGAACACATACCGCAAGACTAAAAGCCACAAAATAGGCCGCCCGGCGCCTACATAAGTATATACACGCATAACCCATCAAGCGCACGCATAGCCCATCGCACCATCACCGTCACCAGATCTCACTCGCACCAACATTCGGCAGCGACCCCATGGCCAGTAAAATGTATGACACAGCACCAAACAACCGCTCCCCAAATTTCATACCTATACTACAAAAAAAAGAAGCTGAAGAAAAGAAGAACCTAAGGGAATAAAAACATACAACAGAACTTTTTCTTTTCCTACCCACCACACCACTCCCCCCCGCCCCAAACCCCACTTCCACTTCCACCGCGATCTAACTATTAGCCAACTAAACTAGAAAGAAAAAGAAAACTAAACTACATAACTAAGCAGTCCCCTGGTAAAACCTCGGCGGCATCTCCATATCCCAGCTGGGCCTCTCCACCACAACCATCTCCATGGCTTCAATGCGCTCTCCAGATGGGCCCCACGTGAACTCGTCTTTCCTGCCGACGGGCAGGAAGGCCATGAGATTTCTGTACCGGTTTGTTTTCCAGAACGGCTTATTCCGCTGCGGCTTTGAGAGCTTCTTGCTATCGCCATTGCTCAGCGGGTTCTCGTCCTCATCCTCTTTCTCATCGTCCTCATCCTTATCGCGAATGAGCTTGAAGGGCGTTTCAGTGTCGTTGTCGTCCTCATCGTCGGAGGTGATAACACACTTCTCAGACTTTGCGGGGGCAGAGAAGACAAGACCACGGGACTGTCCGAGGAGGACCTTGTCACCGGCTCCGCTCTCACCCTTCGCGGCGTATTCGCTGGGCGCCTTGATGCTGCCGTTTGCGTCGCGCTTCCGCTTCTGGCCTGTGACCTCCTCGGCTGCTTCTGCGGCGGGGAGGTCCTGCGAGAGGTCAAACATCCATACCCACGACGCTGCCCAGATCCAAGCTCGTACGCTGCCTGGCGATGAGACCTCCCAGACGATGCCGGCGGCGCGGTCTTTCTGTATCCTGAAGTCGTGCGGGAGGCGCTCGGAGGGGTTTCGGCGTGACCAGTCGGAGAGGCGGCCTTGGAGGATGTTGAACTCGAGGATGTGGTTGTCTTTTGCGGTGACGACGAGGAGGCGGTCTTCGTCGTCTGGGGTTTGGGACTCGGGGAGCTCTTCGAATTCGACGCCCTTCTCGGTAATTGTGAGCTGCGGGGGTGTGGTGGGGGGTACGTAGGGGCGGAATTCCATCGCTACGGCGGCGGATTTGAGCTTGGGGAGTGTGATGCCGTTTTCGTTGGCACACCACACGCCGGATTTGAGGACAAAGGTGTCGATCCAGCCGCTGAGGTCGGCGACGGCGAGGATGCTGCTGTTGCTTGAGAAGGTGGCACGGTTGATGGTGCGGTCGTAGGGGTGGAGGGAGCCTTCTTCAACCCGGCGCTTCTTGCCCTTCTTGGAGCGCTGCTGGAAGTTGTGGATGAGCTGTTTGCTGACTGCTGGGGTTGGGCGGTCTTGTCGCGCGAGCTCGTGTACGCTGCCAGCAAATGACACGGGTGATTTACCGCCGGAGATGGTGAGGACTACTGTGAGAATGCGTGAGTCGGGGGTGATTACCAGAAGCGATTTGCCGTTTGGAGAGAACTTGATGAGCCTGGCGCCTTCTTTTGCGAGCTCGATTTCGTCGGGCTCGTCGTCGGACTCATCGTCTTCTTCGGAGGTTTCGAGGGTTAGGGTAGTGGGTATTGTGATTTTCCGGACTCGAAGAGCTTCGGAGGAGCTGGACTTGAGGTGGAAAAGCTTGATTTCGGCAATTGTTGAGATTGCGAGAACGAAGTCTTCGCTTTCGGGGACAGGAGTGATTGTCGCTGATGTGAGGTTCTCTTCGTTCTATATTTGTATAAGCATTGGGGGAAGTCAATTGGGGGTGGACTAAAACGAACACTAAGCATAATGCGACTAATTAATTTTCTACCGCGCTCCTCGTCCTGACCGGCGAGAGGGTACATCTCGTCTCCATCGAGCTCTTCGATACGCCAAACTTTGATTTCCCGTCCCCACCAGGACATCATCAAGCGGTGTTCCGGGACTGTGGTAATTATTGGTGTCTGGGGGATCGCAGGAAGAGCCAGCTGGTGCTCTGCGCCGAATTGGCGTAAGGGGATAACGATGGGGGTCATGTCGACACCTGAATTCCGAGTTAAAGACAGCTAGATGAGGGTTATAGATAGGATGTATATATTACCTCCAGAAAGGATTGCACTGAACTTGCCACACTCATAGGCAGCCATTGCCCTCACATCGTGCTTGTGAAATCTCCTCCTCGCGGTCTGTCCCCACCGTCTTGCACCACCAATGTGCTTGTAGACAATGGTACGCATGTCGACACCGCCAGAGATGACCGTATCGCCATTGATTCCGCCAACCTCAACTGCTAGGCAGTCTCCCTCATGGCTCTTGATTCTCTGCTGGAGGGTGTAGTTCTTCCCATCCCAGAAGCAGACCTCACCCCTCGAGTCTCCCGAGACAATATCCCCATTCAGCAATACCTTCACCGACCAAACCAGGACCTCTCTGCCCTTCTCTTTATTCAGCGACATCCTCGATGTAGACCTTCCGGACCTCACATCCCACACACGGATCGTCGAGTCCGCCATCCCCGCAACCACCGTATACCGGTCCTTCCAGACCAACGAGAGCACCCTCGACTTCGATGTACCAGCCCTCATCAGACCCCTCACATACGTCATTTCTCCGCCAGCCGTGGACACCACCGTCAACGCCCCATCCTCTGTGCCCACGACAATCTTCTGCGCGGTCTCCTCCTCGCCGCCCTCTTCCCCCGCACCGGCACCAGCCCAGCGCGGCTGCGCAGCAATGCTCCAAATAACGCCGCCGTTGCAGTCAAGATGCGCCTTGGGCCGCCCCGCAGCCAGATCCCACTCCGTCACAACAGACGAGTACCCAATGCTGAACAGGCGCAGGGCGCCCTTTCCGGCGGTGGCATCGTGGTCCTGCACCCATGTGAGGCCCTCGATGGAGCGGTCCTGGCCGCCCTGCAGCGTGCTCTCGTGGTGCCAGCAGCTGCCGAGCGGGTTCCAGATCTCGATGGAGCCGTTTGTGCGGCCGATTGCGGCGCGGAGCGTCGGTGGCGGGGGGTGCGCGGAGGATGGGGTTGAAGGGTGTGAAAATGCGATAGAGGTGATCTGCGGGGGGGTGTAGTCGACGAAACGACAGCGGTGCAGGGAGACGTGCGTCATCCTGCTTGGTGGGAGAGAAATTGAGCTGGTGGTGGGCGTGGTTGGTGAGGTTGGTGCTTGTGGTGGAAAAAGAGAATATTTGGATGGGACGGAAAATTTTGTGGGTGCCTTGGCGTGGGTGGGTAGGGCGTGGGAAGAGCCGCACTGCAGGCGCATGGAGGGTTAGCTTGGCGGTGGGTCTGCAGTTGAGTAGTGAAGTGAGGATTACCTGCTGCCTCTGGACCGTATCTGAGAATTCTTTACAAGTTTTTTTTTTTGTGCCTTCAGCAGAGTATGGTTGAACTTTCTTGGAATTCGTTGATGTAGCAGAATATTCTTCCTGGATCATGAACAATCATTCGCAGGTTCCAATACTACCGGAAAGAGTAACTGTCACCTCCGGACCCCGAATTAACTAGGAGCAAAGATCGTCAACCAGTGAATAGACGAAGCGGGAAAGATTCCAAGGAGACTAATATGACGACCGCCCTCTGGCGGACATTACCATGCCACGACAAGTAGGTCATTGCTCGCAGGCTCATACTTAACAACCTCAACAAACGATACTTGATATCGACCTTCTCCTCGACTGAATATTCCAGACAGTGTGGCATGTAGGGTTCTCGTGGCTCTCTGTGGCTCTCTGGGGAGCTGTTATTAGCAACGATGAAGACAGCGTATAAAGACAACTAGCTAGATCAGGCGAAGAACACATAGCTAGAACTTATAAATAGAGGAGAATAGAGACTTGAATAGACATCAGTAACTACATGTACTCTATAATTTGCATACGCAGGCAGTATTCCTGGAGAAGTTCTTCCAGCCGCCGAGAAACTCTTTTCACCCCGAGGTGCTATGTCAGTTTTTACACTACACCTGGGACGATTAAAAGGATCCTCTACTTGAAGTAACACTATTGTCCGTGTGGTCTTTACAAGTACGCTGTTTTCTGCCGTCATCTTTAAAAGAGGGTACAAGAGCTACAGAAAGGATCGCCCCATGATATCACTAAAATACAATACAAGAAAAGACAGCATGGCCAAGTACTTTATTGGATCTACATATGTACCCTACAGGCGTTGTGGCTAATAATCACTGTGGCGGTGCACCCACCAGTTGGAATAACAGGCCTTGGCAAGGGTCCTGAGACACTTTATTGCACCTCGCCCACTATCTGTTACCTCCCAATTGGCAGCCATTCCACCCAACCAACTCCTCAAGGGGCGTCCAAAAAAAAGGCTACACATTTCTATGCCCAAGGGGTGCTATCCTACATACATCTCTACAAAGCAAAGCAATTCACATTCCCGGGAAAGACCAGGGATCAATTCTAGCAGTCAATGATCACAAGGAACGAAATAAATGGGTTTTGCAGGTTTTATTTTTATTTGTCGGTGGATAGGGATATAAAAACGCTTCGTGCTCCTCCCTCCCAGTCAATTGGTAAAAAAAAAAAAAGCCTCCCTTCGCTGCTTAGCTAGCTTATGGTTGAAAAGTAGAATAATGAAATGAAACAGTGATTACACCCCCGTTCTAGCTAGTCTATCTAATCTCGTTGTGAGGAACTACTGAATGTTAGAAATTGTCTCGAGGAGATTGCTAGACGGGGTAGTAGGAGATTGCACTTACTGAAGTGAAGGCATCCATTCCTGTTCACAATCCTATCGTTTAGATAGATACCCTGTGGTGCGCTGTGGTGGCCCGAGACCTGTAGCAGCGTGGCCTCGATCTTTGTGCCATTCTCAACCAGACGGATGTTTTGGGAAGTTTGGGAAAAGTTTGGTGTGTCCCATGCCAGGTATCCTACACCAATTCAATTCAATCAGCAATCGTCACTTACTTAAGATAGGACAGATGTTAAGTTACCATTGAGGTTACCAATGCAAGTATTGAGGTTGAGCTCTGAGGCCTGATAGTCACCACGTTCATTGCGGCACTCGGCACGCAACCTGTGCCCATCGACGAGGTGGATGTTTCTGGAAGATTCAGAGAAGCCGCCGCCAGCCATTTTGATGTATGTAGTGTTTGTAGTAGGGAAAGTTGGTTTAGGTATTTAGGTATGAAGGAGCGAAGTAAGGGATTGTGATGGTGGATGCAATTGATGATGTGAAGGAAGGAAGGGGAGTAGAAGACGAGACGTGGGGCAAGCTTATATAGAGCTCTCCCCAGCACTCAGCTCTCCACCATCCACCCACCCGCACAGGTACATCCTCTCCCCCCCTCCCCTCCCCCCCTGCACACCCCGCCCAGTTCGCAACGCCAATCCCCAACTCTAAACCCGCCGATTAATCATCCCCAAATAAGCTTGTTCTGCCACCAACCTGCTTTCCCCCCCCTCCCCCTCTCTTCCACCCCCGAGCGAGCCAAGCCGGCACACCCACTGGTGACGCGTCATCCGAGTCCGATCCCCGACGTGGCTCCAACCTCGCCCCCGAAGGTAAAGGTCTCACGGTAGGTAGAGTAGCGTACTCTAGAGCACAGCGGCGCGTGCAAGAGCCTCTTCTGGCATAGCGTGCATCACCGCCTATCCGCAACGGGGTTACTAATCACGCTGCCACACCCACTCGAGTGATGTGCCGTGATGGTTCTCGCTGTCTGTCTGGAGGGAGGGAGGGTGCACATGACCAGCGCTACGGTGGGACGCGTATTGAATCAGCACCGGCCGGTGGGGCGCGGGAAGGTGTTACTGCTGGCGTGTCGTGCTCTGCTCTAGGTGCGATGTCTGGCTCGGCACTTGTGAGCCGGGGCGGGCCAATGGGTGTGGAATGGATCGAGAGAGACGAAACGAGTGCGCTACTCTATGCATGCCTGTCGTTGAGAAACGGCTTGTGGGTTGGGTTGGGTTGGGTTGGAGCAGGGCGGAGATAGCCGATCAACATGCAAATGGATGTTTCCATACAAAGAGCTGGCTGGACTCAATGGCAATCGAATTACGTAGGTAGTTATACAGACGTAGGTGGAATAGCAACAACGGCAATTAGGTAAACTAGAGTAGGTACATAAAATTGCACACTACATACATGCTATATCTCTCGGACCATTAATTAGATTACTCTTCCAACCCATTGATTGAAGCTGAAGCAGGAAGCAGATCCAGGGCTGAATCAAGTCTGCCTTATGGTTCCGGACGTTGGATTAGTGAATGCAGGGTCACAATCCTGGCTGGACCCGTTGCTTGTAGCATGGTAGGGGTTGTAGTTACTAGATGGTACTTCGGGGGTACTTCGGATCTCTCCAATCTCTCACAGGGAGAGCTGCTGTCCTGGTGGGGGGCAGAGTCTCGGAGTTGGTGTGTTTACAGGAAAGAGGGTAGAGAGAGAATCAATCGGTGGAAGTGGCTGAGTTTATCGATAAGGCCTTCTATATCAATCATCACATGACTGTCTAGAAATCCATAGCTGAATTGGCTGTTCAAACGATGTGGAATTAGGGCCTGAATCGATCGTGTTTGACCACTTTTTGTTCCTATGCGTTCTAGCTGTGAGATCATTGAATAGCATAGCCACATGTAATATCAAATCACTCCACGCCTCACAACCCCATTTTAACCGTCCAATTGTCACACAAAACCACCCGAGTGATACCCCATGAACCACAGAACCAATTGTTACCTACATACAAACATACATACACACAAAAAGAGAAAATAGGAAAGAAGAAAGAAAAAAACAGAAAAAAGACTTTTAAATATACAAATTTTCCTCCACTTCAAGGTACCGTCTACCTCCTGCGATGCCCTCCCTTCGCCACTCTCCCCTCCTTGACACCCTTCACGCCCAGCCCCTTCCTACCATTCTTCCCCTTCTTCCCCCCCGACGAATACCCCGCGGCCACCGCCTCCTCCTCCAAATCATCCTCCTCCTCCTCGCCCCTCCCCTTATTCGAAAACTTGACCCTATTCCTCTGCCCCCTCTTCGGCGCATCCTTACCCGTAATCGCCTGCACATACGCATCCACCCCACCCCCACCCGCACCCCCCGCCGCCGCCGCCATATCCACATCCATCTCCGCCCCCGCCCCCCCTCCCTCCTTCTCGTAATTCTGCGCATCATCCAGCCCCAGCACCAGTTTCCCGTCCTCGTTCGTCTTGGGCTGCGGCTTCTTGCGGTCGCCGATGCGCGTGCGCTGCGGCCGCGTCGACGAGATGTGTGCGAGCGACTTGCGGTCGAGGAGGTCGAGCGGCTCGTCTTCGTCTTCGACGATGTAGGCTGTGTTTTTGGCCTTGCCGCGCTTGTTGCTGTTGGTGGTGCGCGGGGCGGCGGCGGCAGAGGTGGAGTCGGCGTCGCTGTCGGAGGCGGAGTCGCTGTCGGAGCCATAGATGGCTTCTTCGAACTCGGAGGCGAATTTGGATTGGCGTTTCTGCGGGGGGGGGGGGGGGGTTGGTTAGCTACTGCCGTGTATATATCATGAGAATGAGAATGAGAACGGGGATACAAACCTTCGACACGGGCTTCTCCTCCTCGTCGTTATCGCCCGCCGCGGCAGCGTCCTTATGGCGCTTCTTGCGATCGCGGGTCTTCCTGATATTGACGACCAGCTTCTTATCCTCCTCCGGCACATGCTTCTCCACCGTCTCATACCCAAACCTCCTAATCATACGCTCAACAATATGCTTCACCTTCGCCTTAAAGTGCGCCTTATGCTCATGGCTCCACACCATCAAATTCGGCACCAGCGTCGCCAGCCGCTCCACCATCATCTCCCGCGGCAGCGAAATCACACAAACCTTCACGAACCCCAGCACGCTCCGCACCACCTCGCGGTTCTTGCTCGTCAGGAAGAGGTCCAGCGTGCTGACCATCTCGCCCACCAGCGCGCCGCCAATGTCGTCCTTGAACTGGTACAGCACGCGCGTCAGCGCCGTGATGGACGCGCTGATCATGTGCGGCGTCGACCCCGCCAGCCCCGCCGAGATCATGGTCACATACTCGTCGAGCGTCGCCGGCACGTCCGGTGCGTCGGGGGGCATGTGCGCCACGCGGCGATTCACCACGGTGCCGCCGGCACGCATCTTCTCGCCCATAAGCACCAGCAGATCGAATGCGGCGGTGCGCGCCTTCTCGTTGACCTCCTTGGCGGAGATGACGACCTCCGAGAGCACGCTGGGGATGAAGTGCATATCCTCCCTCGGCAGGAACTCCACGATCTGCGCGAGTGCCGCGAGGCGGTCGCGGCGCGCGGGGGGCGTGGCCTTGTCGGCGGCGGCGATGAGGAATTGTTGGAGCTCTTCTGATTTCTGCTGTAGTGCGGTGCGGCCGGAGTCGGTTTCGGCGAGGCGCGGGACGACCTTGTAGGCTTTTTTCTGCAGCTGCGGGTCTGCGCTGTTGTTGACGGTGGCGGCGAAGATGAGGAAGAGGCTGTGGTGGCTGTCGGCGGGGAGGTATGGCGTGATGGCGATGACGAGGTCCATCAGCGTGTGTGCCATCGGCGGCATTCGGTCCTGTCCTGCGGGGGTCTTCTCTTTGGGTTTCTCGGCCTGGGCTTTGGCTTGAGTCTCTGCGAGCGCGCCCTCGAGCATAGTCGTGACCTTCTCGAACGTGGCCATGAGCTCTGCGGGCGGCGTGATGCTGAGGAAGCTGTTGAGGCACTTTAGGATGAAGCCGCGGTACTGCGGGAGCGTGGTGCTGTAGACGTTGAAGAGCACGGCGAGCAGGTTTGAGGAGAAGGAGGCGAGGTGGGCGATGTTGCGGGCGGCATCAGCGCGCGAGACGCGGCGCTGGGCGACGAGGTCGTCTTCGCTGTCGGAGGCGACGAGCTCGAGGATGGACTTGTTGGTGTCGACGAGGGATTGCAGCCCCTTGCAGATGTCGGCGCGCAGGTCGACCTTTTGGTAGAGCACGTTTGCGAGCAGTTCGGCGAAGGGCTGGTCGAATGCCTGGAGGAGAAATGATGGGATAGTTAGTTATTGAGAGATTGAGAGGTGTAGATGTAATGTCAATGATCGTTTCTGCACAACTGTGGTTGTGCAGGATCACTGCCCATCACTCGCGCCAGAAATGATAGAAATGATAGAACAGAGAAATGATAGAACAGAGAAATGGTAGAACAGAGAAATGATAGAACAGAGAGAAATGATAAGAGAGAAATGATCAAAAACACACACCTCACACAAGTCCACCGGCAGCTCGCAATAGCCCGGAAACAGCGCCCACACCTGGCCCACCAGCGTCTCAAAGATCTTCCCCTCGACCGTCTTCTCGCCGCCCCCCGCCGCCTCCAGCGCCACAACCCGCTCAAAGAATGCCTCACTCATGGGCACAAACACCTCCCTGAAATGCCCCAGCCTCGTGTTCCCCACAAACTCCCTCAGCACGGGCAGCATCCACGCTCTCCCCGGCGCACCGGGCTTCGGCGCCACAAGATTCAGCGGCAACAGCGCCAGCACCGCGTCGGGCCCCATCGCGCGCACCGCATGGCCAAGCACCTCATCGGCCTCCTTCTTCCCCTGGAAGCCCTCGTTCGCACGCAACTCCCCAATCATCTTCACCGCATCGTTCAGCAGCGGCGCCGCCCGCCACAGCAGCCGATCCAGCAGCGCCACCAGCACCTCAAACACCTCCTTCCACGCGCCCTGGAACCGCACACTCAGCAGCTCCGTCGTCTTTGCCGCCACGCCCGCCAGCACATTCTCCGTACTCCTCGTCACGTCCAGCAGCGCCCGGTCCGGCACCACTGTCGTCGCAAGCGCCACAAGACACTGCGCCGCCGACACCCTCACGTCCCTCGCCGCGCCCTCCAGATACCCCGCCACAACCCCCCACAGCGCGGGCAACCCCGCAAACGCAGCGTCCTCGTCAACAGCAGCATACACCTCCCACCCGCGCGCCACGACCGCCAGCCACGCCGGCGCCACGCCCGCGTCGCCAATCCCCGGCCGCAGCTCCATGATGGCCTCCAGCACGCCCGGCAGCTTCGCGTGGTACACCTCGTCGCCGCTCAGGCCCGCGAAGCACTCCTCGAACACGCCGAGCGCGGCGGTGACGAGGTACTCGTTTGTGCTGCGGGCGATGGACAGCAGCGCGGTGCACAGCGCGTCGATGCGGCGGGAGGGGAAGCCGCTGGCGCTGCAGACGGCGCGGAGGAGCTGCAGGGCGTGCATTAGCCGTGGGTCTACTGCTCCTGAGCCCTTTTTGCTCTCGGGGCCGGAGGAGGTGGCGGAGAGGGCGGTGATGCCGGAGAGCGCGGAAAGCGCACACATGTCGGCCGCGGGATGCTCCGTGCTCGGACTAGCCGGTGGATTCCGCAGCACGTTCGCGACGGCCTCCTGCGCCCTCTTTCTCACTTTTGGCCGCTCGTCCATCGCGAGTGTTAGTAGTCCCGCGAGTGCCCTCCGCGGGCTGATGTCGCGCTGGGGTAGTGCCCATGCTGCCGAGTCCTGCGCGACGAGCAGCGCATCGATGACGCCGATGGAGCTGCGGAGGAGGGGTGCGTCGGCCGTTGGGTGTGAGAGCGCTGGCACGAGGTGTGTTAGGATCTGCGGGAAGCGGGAGCGCAGGAGCGGGGCGGGCACGTGCGGGGTGATGAGGTCGAGGAGGTAGATTGTTGGTGCGGCGAGGGAGGGGTTTGAGGTTGTTGTGGGGAGGAGGGAGAGGAGGGAGGCGAGATAGGCGGTGGGGGTGAAGGGGGTGGAGGTCGAGGTGAGGGTCGATTCGAGTGCTGTGAGGACTATGGCGACCTGTGTGGGGGGGGGAGGTTAGTAGGGGTTTATAGAGGGGGCAATGGGGGAGGGGAGAGAGGAGGGGGGGACCTGTTTCTGGTTCTGCAGATTCGGGGACCGGATCTTGTCCAGTTTCGCCTCGAGGGAGGTCATTTCTGCGATGGCAGACACAGAGCGGGGGTTCAGAGTGGAATTGAAGTCTCAGTTATCTCAGTTGTGTCTGTTTCTGTTCTGTTTTGTTGTTTTGTCTCTCTCTTGACGATTGTTTGTCGTCTGAGATTTTTTGATTTTGATATTCGCAGCTTTTTTTTGTGTGTGCGGAGCAAAAAAATTGTGTTAGTGTGGTGGTGTAGGGTTTGTGTTGCAGGCAGGGTAACTGGTGGTGGGGGAAGTGGGTGCTGTGATCATTTCCAGGGAGTTGCAATCATTACCGCCAACTAGGAATTGAATGGAAGAGAACGTTATAACTACAATTAAACCCTTTAAATCACAACACCCAACTATCCAAGTAGCTACAATTGCAAAAAAAAAAAAAAAAAAAGAAGATCAGCACATTAATAAAGACCATCACCTACAGCCTTCAAATTTCAAACCATAAGAATCCTCCCCCCCTAGCTAGTCATCAATCGCGACATCCTCCACCCTCACCAGCCCACACGCCATCCCCGCCGCAGCCCATCCACCGGCCACAAGGTTCTGATTCCAGCACGCCTGCGTAATATTCGACTGCTCCGGATACGCCTGCCACCACCACCACATCCAATCAGCCACCACCACCATCATACAAGAGAGAGCCAGAAAGAGGGGGGGGGACTACTAACCGTGGAGTGTACAAGCGCAGTGTTGTTCTGCCGCCGCTTGAGCTTCTCGCTCTTGGTCTCAAACTCCTCGAGCTTGAAGCCCTCGCTCATGCGGAACATGTTGCTCTTGCGCGCGTATTCGAGCTGGAACCATGTCTGCTGGTAGTTTTTCTATTCACCGCATTAGCCCTCTCCATTTCTCCCCTCCACCCCCCCCCCCCCCCACACCCCCAAGAAACAGAGGGCCACTCACAATCTTGCCATGAAACGTCCTCCTCACCGGATTACTAAACGCACACTCCCCCTCACTCCCGCCACTCACCAAAAACGCATGCACCGCACTCCCCGCCACCGCATTCACCACACCACTATGCTTACACACCGTCGTGGCCGAAAAGAACCTGCGCAGCGGATAAAACTTGACCCAGGCCCCCTCCTCACTACTGACCGCCGCGCTCACCGCGTCCACCCAGCAGATGCTCGTCGGCGCGATGCGGCTGCGGTTGTTGACGACCGTGTCGGTGTATGGATCGAGCAGGCTCGTGATGCGGCAGTACCCGTCGAGCGAGGCCGTGACGATGTGTGTGGGGAAGCTGGGGAAGCAGGAGGCGATGGCGGCGATGTAGGTCTGGTGCACGGGCGTGTAGAGGTAGGGCGTGGAGGGGTGGCGGGTCAGGTCCCAGGCGGAGAGGAAGCCGTTGGAGCAGCCGGCGATGAGGCTGTGCGGGGTGAGCCAGGTGAGGGTTGTGCAGAGGGTGGCGTCGAGGGAGAGGGTGTAGGCTGGTGTTGTCACCTTGACTGTTGAAAAGCTGTGTTAGCGATCATTTACCCTTACATCCTCGGGGGGAGGGGAAGACACACCGAACGCAGTAGCACCCCCCGCTTCCTCCTCCGCCGTCTGCTCCGGCAGGCGCACCTGTATAACCCTGATGTTCCCATCCCTAAACACAGCAGCCAGCAGGCCGAGGTCGCGCTCATCCGCGTTCTCGCGCGGGGCCTGGTGGAACTTGAGGCACGATGCGTAGCCCCAGTCGTGGCAGAGGGCGAGCTGCAGGTTTGGGGGGCCGGTGGAGGTGGTGCCCGTGGCGGCGTCGGTGGGGAAGCGCCAGACTTGGATGCAGGAGGGGCCCGGTGCGCGCTCGAATGCGGGGGGTGTTTCGCGGGCGGCGGTGGGTGCCCGTGGGGGTGGCGGGGAGGGGGCGAAGGTGCTGTCGTGTTTGGTGGAGAGGAGGAGGTATTGGCTGCCTGTGGGGGTGTGTTGTGTGGTTAGTGAATATTGCTATAGTTATAGGAAGGGAGGGAATATGGGAATATGGGAATGTGGAACTATAGGAATATAAGTATATGGGAATGTGGAACTATAGGAATATAAGTATATGGGAATATCAGAATATCGCAATATAGGAATATCAGAATATAGCAGTATAGCAATATAGCAGTATAGCAATATAGCAGTATAGCAGTATAGCAATATAGCAATATAAGAAGAGAAGAATATCCCATAATCAAAGAAAAGAATATAGGAATAAAACTCACCCTCCTCCCTACTCGGCGCCCACTCCATGCCCGTAACATGCCCGCCCGCATTCAACACCACCGCCTTCCCCTTCATCCACACCCCAAACCTGCCAAACTCCACCACCTCCCCCCTCACAATACACTTCAACACCTCCTCCGGCACCAGCGGCAAATACCTCTCCCTCTCCCCCTCCTGCACACTATCCACCCGCTGCTCCCCCACCTCCACACTCCTGACCTCCCCCCCCTCCAAAACGGCGTAACCCTCAACCCCCTCCTCTCCGGCACCGCCGGCAAGCCAATATACTCATCCCTCACCCCAATCGCCTTCACCAAGATCTCATTATTCTGCCCATACGTCGTAATGATCCTCTCGCGCTTCCCCGTGCTCTTGATAAACCCGGGGCGATACGTAATCTTGACGCTCGGGTCCGGCGGGCGCAGCGCGCCGGGCACGTCTGACGCGCCGGCTGCAGAGGGGCGGTTGCGCCGGCGGAGGCCGGGCGGGGTGCCGGCGACGCGGTTGACGCGGAAGACGTGGGGCTTGTGGATGCGGGCGGCGTTGCCGCTGCGGGCTTTGCGCTTTCGGCGCGGGGTGGCGGTGGAGGAGGCGTCGTCGTCGTCGTCGGTGTAGGTTTCGGAGTCTTCGGAGTCGGAGTTGGCGGAGGGAGAGGGGACGGCAGCGGTTGCGGTGGTGCGGCCGCGGGCAACGAAGGAGGGGTCGGCGGGGTCTTCGTCTTCGTCTTCGTCTTCGTCTTGGTCTTGGTCTTCGTCTTTGGCGGTGGCGCCACTGCTGCTGGCTGCGGGGTCTGGGTCGGTGTCGGCGTCGGTGGCAGCGTCGGCGTCGGTGTCGAGGTGCTTGAACGGGTCGAGGGCGTAGTTTGTTGGTTTCTTTGCGCGGGAGGCGCGGGGTGTCGGCGGGGGCATTGTGTCTTGTTGGTGATGTTATGAGAGGAAAGCGGTGGTGGTGATGTCTGCGTGCTGGTGTTGTGTGTTTTCGGTCATTGGCCTGGGACCTGGGCCGGGCATCTGTTTTTTCTCTTCACTCGCCCGGACCGCGGCACCAATGATCGGCTGTGCACGTTCCTGGCGATACCGCGCCCGGTGGCGCCACGGTTACCCGCCCGCCGTTACGTCCCCTCTGCGCTTCCTCTCGTCCTCTTCGCTCTCTCTTCTCCCCAACACCACGCCCACCATCACCACCACGCCCACCACCACCACCACGCCCACTCTCACCATGCCCACCAACCCCCCCCCCAAAGCCACCGACCTCGACCACCACTACATGCGTCACGCCCTCACCCTCGCCACCCACGCCCTGTCCACCCTCGAGGTCCCCGTCGCCTGCCTCTTCGTGCACACCCCCACCTCCACAATCCTCTCCACGGGCCACAACGACACAAACCGCTCCCTCCTCGGCACGCGCCACGCCGAGTTCCTCGCAATCGAATCCATCCTTCTCACACACCCGCCCGACATCTTCGCAGACACAACGCTGTACGTGACGGTGGAGCCGTGCGTGATGTGCGCGTCGGCGCTGGACCAGCTGCGCGTGCGCCGCGTGGTCTACGGGTGCGCGAATGAGCGCTTTGGCGGCTGCGGCGGCGCGGTGCAGGTGAGGAGGGGGTTTGAGTGTGTGGGCGGGGTGTATAGGGAGGAGGCGATACTGCTGCTGCGCAGGTTCTATGTGCAGGAGAATGGCAGGGCGCCGAGGCCGGCGGCGAAGGGGGGACGGGAGTTGAAGCTTGTGGTGGAGCCGTTGGGGGGTTGAAGAACTACATAGAGGGGCGGTAGATATTGGGGGACCACGCAGAGGGGGGGTATTCTTTTTTGTTTCTCGGGGGTGTTCTTGTTTCTTTTCCCCGAGCTGTTTTGCTTCTTTTCCCCGAGCTGTTTTGCTTCTCTTGCTCCTTGCTACTCTGTAAATACCTACTTAGACACCATAGACGCACCAGCAGCTTAGACATAGATCTAGATCGTAGAGTGCTTGGTTGCCGGTCAATGGGACAGACAGCCTGACAGCCATTCACCATCACGGAGGTGGTGGGGTGTGGACTGAAAAACACGCACGTGCATCATTTCCCCTTGTGCCCATTTTTCCTGTCGCGCGAGTCCTTGACATTCCCGAGTGAGTGTGCCTTATATAGGGGACCAACAATATTACCTACATGTCCTCTACCCATGTGCCCAATTCCTCACTCCTCCTACCACCTACTACTAAGCTCTACACACACAATCAACAGATCTAGCTACTCCACGCTTCACCTCACTTCACCTTCTACTACATCATATTAGGCTATATATGATCATGTGCACCCCGTCAGTCCCCCAGACTCCCCTCCCCCCCTCACTCCTCCCCAGCGCCCTCCCCCTCCCATCTCCCCTCAAAACAGATCAGCAGGACGATATCCCCCTCCAGCCCCAAACCCATGCGACCTCCAACCAAAAGGCGGGGAAACGCCAAGCCGGGTAGTGCGCCCCCTATCGAGCAGCTCAGACATCTCACAACGGCGGGGTTCAGCCTATCCCGATCAGACCAACCTACCTACTCTACCTTGTTTTTTTTTTTTTTTTCCCGCCAGATCTGGTTGTCTGGGGTATGGGGTAGGCAATGAGCGGCCTGCTGCCCAAAAATAAAACACAACAAGACAAGAAGGCAGCAAGACAAGAGACGGTTAGTATGAAACCTCGGGACTCGGCGTGGTTGGCTGTGCTGGGTTTCTGGCTTGCTAGTGCGACCTCTCTCTCTCTCTCTTGCTCGGAGGAGGAGGTGAGAGGAGAAAGAGAGGGAGAGAAGCTGCTTTTCCGATTTTATTATAATTAGCAATCGACCCCCGGGCCCCGCGAGGAAGAAAGAAAAAAAAAAAAGGAAGAAAGAAGATAGAAGCTTCAAGCCTATATTCTAAAGCTCCACAGCTAGCACCATGAGGACTTCCCAGCTCCTCCTCCTTCTTGCGCTGCCCTCAAGCCTCTGCACCCCACTCCAGTTCGACACCTCCTCCACCTCCCCCTCCTCTTCCACCGCGCAAACCCCCCTCCTCCCCAACGAGCATGTCTCCTCCCCGCGCCGCGACGCCCTAGCGGCCATGACCACCGCGCTCACAACCCTCCAATCCCAGTTCTTCACGCACTCCACCGGCACCTACCCGACGGGCATAAACTGGACGCGGGCCGTCCTCGGCACGCTCCTCGCCGCCAGCACCCGCACGCTCTCCTCCTCCCCCTCACCCGAGCACCGCGCGCTCTCAAACCGCTTCTTCACCGAGCTCATCGCCTTCTACTACGGCCAAGACATGCACCTCAAGCAAGAAGCCTACGACGACATCCTCTGGGTCGTGCTGCAATGGCTCGAGGCCCTCAAAACCATCGACCTGCGCACCGACCGCTTCGAGCCCACCGAGTGGAGCGGCAGCGAGTGGACCCCCGCCTTCGCCGACCGCGCGCAAGAGTTCTACACGATTGCGGAGCGCGGCTGGGACGAGGTGCTGTGCGGCGGCGGCATGATCTGGAGCCCGTGGCTGGAGCCGTACAAGAACGCCATTACAAACGAGCTGTACATCTCCGCCTCCATCGGCATGTATCTGTACCACCCCGCGCACAACCCGGCGCACCTGAGCAATGCGCTGCGCGCGCATGCGTGGCTGGCGGCGAGCGGGATGCGCAATGCGCATGGCCTGTACACGGACGGGTTCCACATCTCGAAGCTGAAGCTGCCGCCGTCGGCGGGGGAGAAGACGTGTGACCGCCGGGACGAGATGGTGTACACGTACAACCAGGGGGTGCTGCTCTCTGGGTTGCGCGGGCTGGCGGAGGTGACGGGGGAGCGGGCGTATCTGGAGGAGGGGTTTGCGCTGGTGGACGCGGTGGTGAGCAGTCAAGGGAAGGTCGGCGAGATTGTGGTGGGGGGAATATTGACGGAGAAGTGTGATCCTGAGAGCAGGTGTAGTCAGAATGGGCATACGTTTAAAGGTCTGTCTATACCGTCCAGCCATCCATCCATCCACCCCCATTGAAACTCCAGAATTGGACAGCAGGGAGGAGAGAAAGAAAGGGACTAACCTCTGTGACAAACAGGAATCTTCATGCACCACTTAACGCTCTTCTGCACGCCCCTCGTGCCCCTCCCCGGCGCCGCAGCCAGCAACCTGACCGTCGCCTTCAGCGCTGACACCATCAACTGGCACCGTGAGGTCTGCAGCAAGTACAACCTCTTCTTAGTCAATAACGCGGCCGCAGCCTGGCGGACGCGGAATGCCAATGGTGTTGTGGGCGCATGGTGGGGAGCGCCCGATCCCGCGGGGCTGCCAAATTCCGACTCGCCCTTCTGGGATGCGCAGGAGGGGCGGTTTAAAACGGAACTGGACGCTGGGGCGACCGATCACCTGAATCCTGAGCTCCCAGCGGGGGTGGGTCTGGCGAATAAGGGCGATCTGAATGATCGGGGGAGAGGGCGAACGGTGGAGAGCCATTCGGGAGGGTTGGCGGCGCTGCGGGCGGTGGTGGAGGTGGTATTTGCGTAGAGGGTATGGGGGTCTCTATTGGCTTGCGATTGCGAAAGTGTTTATTTGCGGCATTTTGGGTTGGCTGGTTGGTTTGGTGGTTATGTGTAGATGATTCGATTCTTTAGATGATGAATTTCCTTCTTTTCTTTCCCCCCCCTTTTTTTTTTCTCTCCCCTTCACCATGGTGGCCGTGGAGAAGGAGGAGTGCTTGTGCTTGTGCTTGGTTTATACAATTGTATATATCATAGATATCTATATATATACTCATGTAAAGTACTACTCTATTATTGGTTATAGACCTTAAAGATAGCATCTGTATTGTAGAATAGCAGCCCTATTATATATCGAAGGCACATATCCCGATGCCTGACTACTGCCGAAAAGTAGAACGCATTGATTGATTGCCGTTGATAGAACAGAGTCCAGCCTTACAAGTAAAGTACTGTAAGACATTGTGTGCTCCAATGGCCGTAAACGTAAACAAACGATTGGATGAGATGATGTATTGACAGGACTACTAGAGCTCCCAGTTTTATACAACATGCTTGACGACAGGCTGTCACGCCACAGTTGTTTATACGTAGCAAATTTATTTAAGCTTATCTTATCGCTTCCTTATCGATCGAGGGTGCTTATGTCAGTCAGTCAGTATCAACAGCTGCAACACTTTGTTTCCCACTCGGCATGGTGCATGAGGAATTCGTGATATTTTACCCGGCCAGAAAGAAACACTCGCATATCACTCATCAACTCTTTCTTCCTTCCTCTCGAGTATTTGCCCAATACCAAATACCCTCTCCTCTCCGCAATCCAGGAACTAGATACTCAATCAATACCGTAGTTAAATGACTAACCATCTTCAACTTCCAAGTAACGTGCGTGACGGTTCCAGCTACCACAACCACAAGAGGGTTGCCTGAGTACGTTCCCACCCAGGATAAGATTGACATCCAGACAGACAGGACATGGGTGCGGTCTTGTCTGTGGAACAGTGACGGCCAGCGCACAACCCCTCGTCGCTTTCTGGTTCGCTCCCTCCCTCCCTCCCGCACTCAACCTAACCTAGAAGACTACTCCGACTTTGCCCTTCTTGGGATCCGGTAGACCCGGGGGGCGGACCCTTGGGGTAGAGAGAAATAAAATAAAAAAATAAACTAAAGGATAGAAATATTCAAAACTGCGCACGAGGAGAGAGGATTTGTTTTTTGTTTTTTGTTTTTTTGTTTCGCTCAGGTTGTAATGTCACCCTGAACAAACAATTCCAATTCCTCTAATTCTCAAGGGCATCATCAGCGCAAAGCAAGGTTCGTCGTGATCACCCATTCATTCCACAGACACAGAGACAGACAGACTCACTCTCAGTCACTTACTCACTGATCACCCGGACGAGTGTCATCCACCATGATCATCATCTGCTCTGCCCCTCCCTCCCTCATTCTCTCCTGCATCATCGTGAACAGAATGGGCGCCCAGAAAAGTAAGAGGTAGAGTAAAGTGAGTGAGCGGTTGTTACACGCATGAGACCGTCGACATTCCTAGTTCGCTAGAGTATTCTAGAGAAGTGTAGTGTAGAATAGAGTAACTGCCCCCCCCCCCCCACACCTAGCTCGATACAGCAGTACTAGTACTCTAGAGTAGTAGAGACGGTACCTATCACCTATCGATACCGGCAGTAACTCCCTCCTCTCTCCTCCTCCTCCTCCCCTGTATGTAGAGCACATACTCTACACACCTACCTCTATCCAGGGCCCAGTCTGTCAATCACCAAAAGTAGAAGATCTCTCTCTCGCCTCCGTAGTCATAATTCCTTCTTTTTTTTCCCTTTCGATCCTTCCTTTCCTTCTTCCACCACTCCATCTATCTCAAGTATCTATCTGTTTCGTTTCAAACCCCCATAACCATATCTCATACCCATACCCAGACTCAAGACACACACACTCACACCCCCCAAACCCTCGTGCAATAAGTTTTCAAACCCACCCAAAAAACAAATCACAGCCAGTTTCCGATTACGCTATCTAACCCCCGACCTGACTGACCCACTACTTACCTGCCTAACTGACCCCCCCCCCCCTCTCTCGCCCCTCCCCCTCCCGACCCCACGTTTGCCCTTTTCTTTCCTCGTCCCGCGGCCAGCCCCAGCCCAAGCAAGCCCAACTCTACTACCCCAACTATCCCAGCCAACCCCACCAGCGACCGTCCACGTCGCGGGCACAGCCAAACACCTAGTAATAGTCTCTAGTCTACATAGTGACAGAGTCTGTAATCTACTATACCCAGCTATACCAGGGCCTACTATTCCCACCTCTCCCCCTCCCTTTTTTCTTTCCCTCCTACACACTCACTTGGGGGGCCACCACCACAACCACCACCAGTGTAGTACTATTAGCAGTTAACCACCAAATAACAACTTCACTAACCATCACCACCAATACCACAATCCTGTCCTAACACTAGCACAGTCGCAACAATACAACACCAACCATGAACGCGAACCAGGCGTCGCAGTCGCCGCCGCCGCCGCCGCCCTCCTCCTCCGACGAGGACCGCGAAAACATGCTAATCCTGACACCGGCGTCCACCAGCGTATCCGACGAAGGCGGGGGTGAGCGGGAACGGAATGGTGGCAGCAGCAATAACAAGCTCGACGGCGGCAGCAGTGATATTGGCGACAACGAGCATGAACGCAGCAATGATAATGACCGTGACGAGACCAGTAGCGACCGAGGAGGAGGAGGAGGAGGATGTGGAGGAGAAGCAGGATGTGGGAGTAGTGTTAGTGGAGGTGATCTCGGCGACGAAGAGGGCGGCAACCACTACAGCAGTAATAATGGCAATGAATGCGGCGGCGGTGGTGGTGGTAGTGCTGGCGTGATGATGGATGGGAGTGCGTCTACAATCACGGCAACAAACACAAATACAAAGTTCGACTGGAGCACATCTGCTGCATATGGACGACGTCAGGGCCTTCTTTCACAGGTCGGGAGCTTGAGCAAGGAGCTTACAGAGCTCAAAGCAATGATTGCACGGAGCACCTCCGCCAACAACAGCATTTCAGAAGAGCAGGCAGAAGTATGTGGACCATTCCCATCATCGTCATCATTACCCCCTAACCCAATCCACTCCTCTTGCCCCTCCTCTCCCTCCTCCCCTTCCCAACTGCTGTCGTCTCTTGTGTTCATATTCTTTATGTTCATGTGCTATGACGGTTACGTCTCCTCACCTAAATACCCCGCGCAGCATTAAAGAAGGACCGCAAAAAGTTAAAGTTTGTCGTACCACAGGACCTGTCGCGAGTCAAAGCGAACCACCGCTCATCACTCGCATCGCTCGCCGAGTCACACCGAAACGAGATGTCGACCCTCGCCAGCGCCCACCAGGAGGAGCTCAAGCAGCTCGAAAAGACGCATCTAGAGGACATGAGGAATGCCCGACGGGGCTTTGGCTTTAGCAACGATCTTGTCCAAGGCCTGCATCAGAGCTACGCGAAGCAGATCGAATCATTGGTCCTCGATCTGGGCGAGGTGAGACGGCAGCTCAAGGACGCCGAGGCATTGGCATCGCATCCACGGGCTGCTACGCCTCCGGCAGATACTAACCACTCTCCATCTAGGATACTAGATGTAGTTATTGAGTTTGAAGATCTCGACAAGGCTTTTTCGGTGGCAGAGTTGTCGATCCCACACCCAGGAAGGTCTTACAAAGCGGTGAGTGAACACCTTAGCCATGCGGTCAAAAACTATTTGCAGGCTCTCAACTCGGCTGCGGAGTTCTTTGCGTCTGGATCAAAATCCACGGAAGCGAGGAGGATCAGGCAGTGGAATCAGGCTGTTTCGGGCAACAGGCTGCGGATGAGGTTTCTGGATGGCGAGGGTATGGAGGAACTGTGGGAGAGCGAGCTGTGGAGGAATGACAACTTCACATTGAGAGTGAACTGCGAGGCAGAGTTTTGGGACAGCGTCCCGGTATTCAATGATGAAGAATTTGTAGAACAGCACCACCACCAACCGCTAAAGGCGACAAGCACAGGGACAGGGACAATACGGTCTAGGGAGCCGTTGGGACTGGCATCGGATGAGCAGCTCGTGCAGGTCGATACAACAAGCACAGTTGGTGCTTTCAATGCTACTGTGGTGCTGGAAAGGATTAACAGGGCACTTGGTGGGTTGGAAATTAACGAAGACCTTCGCAATGCGGAAGAGGATGATGAGAACAAAGAAAACATCGAGCGTCCGATGCCCAAACGACATGTAATGGTTGAGGATGTAACGGATGAGGAGGATCACTACAAAGACGACCCTGAGGATGAAGGTGTCGGCCTAGCGATTTCTTCGTCGCCTGTACCGGCAACGCCCCTCGAGAAGGAGCCGCTTTTGCCTGGAAATAGTGCGAGGAGAAGTGCGGCCAATACCAAACCACTCAGTGACGACAGCTTCCTGGAAAATCTATTAGGAACCGAGCAGGAGAGAGAGAGAGAGCGGGAAGAGGGCAAGAGAACTGGCGGTTCCAGTGGCTCGGATTCATGGCTGTTTGATGAGCTGTTTTCACCTTTACCTGCCGACAAGGGGAAGGGTAAAGAGAAAATAGTTGGACTGTTTGAAGGTTTGTCTCTCCTTCCCCAAAATTTTGAGACTGATAGTTATTTATGGAGAGATTAGTGCTTACGTCTGTGGAAGCAGATCGAGCACAGGGCCCCGAGAACCAGATGGACCATCTCAGCGGTGGCAAGCCAGGGTGGAAATGGATGCTAGCCGATGGAATTGTAAAGAGTCCATCAGTTTTGCAGCATGCTCCTTCTGATACTCATGCGCTGAAAATGGCGCCGCAGTATTTTAGAGACGGACCTAGTGGGCCTTGGCTAGAGAATCTCCGAGAGGAGGAAGAAGATGACAAGATTGGGAGCGATTGTGACCAGCCTGTATTCTCGGAAGGAGGTGATCCGTTGCCAGAGAAGAAAGACAGACCCTTCTTTTCATTTTCCGAAGAGGTTGCGAGTTCTCCAGCGCCACCTCCAGCACCTCCGGCTCCTGAGCCCCGGAAGACGAGCGGTCTTTCACCGTACTTAAGAACTGATGTTGAAAGCTCGGTCGAAGGTGCACGACTCGATGATGAAGATTCAGATATCGATGATAACCAGCCTAGGGACGGTGTAGATGTCGAGAACCCGTTTGCAGATCTGAAGCCCGGTCAGTGTGATACCCCGGTCATGGGAACATCGAGGAGTGCTGCCTCAACCACACCTCTTCTCCGCGATGGCAGCCCAGCTCCTCGACAGAATCGTGGTGGCCCCTCCCTGAAGATTCAGACTGATACACAAAGGCCTCTACGGACCCTTGGTGACCCGTTTGTTCCGTTGCCAAAGCCTCCCCCTAAGTTTAACCTCAGTCATCACAAGCCCCCGCAGCGATACAGGAATAACTACGAATTTCAGACTGTGGATAGGGACGACGATGAAACAACGTTTACTAGATATGAAGACACGGCTTCCGAGATTTCGGGCACCACGGCCGACGGTGAATGGGAAGCCAAATACCGAGGGAAACGCGGCCGTGGGAAGGTTCCGGATGTTTATTGGCATGAAAAGTCACCAGGCGGGAACGAGTCGTTCCGAAGCAGATCACGCTCACCGCCCCAACAGCCACCAAGCAGGCCTTCAACCACAACAACAGACAGGAATTTAGATTATGTCCTCCCCCCACAGATATACCAGCAGCCACCTATAGGGTTGCCTAGTAGCAGTGGAGGAGGAAACATTGGCCCTATTCGTTATGGTAGTGTTGGGGGTATGCGCTCAATGGGGCCGCTTGGGCCAGGAAATCATAGTATGCCAGCAGGATATGTAACTTCACAGCAGCAAACTCAACAGCAGCAGGCACAGCAAGCGCAGCAGCAGGCACAGCAACAGGCTCAGGCACAGGCTCAAGCTCAGGCTCAGGTGGATATGTTCCAGCAGATGAAGCTCAACGAGCTTATGAATGCAACTTACCTTCAACGCCCAATTTCTAGTGGACCGTCTTCATTTCTTGGAGGAGGCCCCGTGTATGCGCCTAATCCACCGCTAAATTCAGCTGCAACCTTTACTGGCGGTGTGCCGGTTAGACCAGCATTTATGACTATGGGTAACGCTGAACAGAGATTGGCAAGCGAAGGAGGGGGCGCATGGCCAATGAGGCCGATGTTGATGCAGCCGCACATGAACCCACAGACAGCCCATTTGTGGGCTTCAAACGGTGAGGGCAGAAGGAGTTATAGCACTGATTCTTCCGGTCCGCTTTTGGGATTGCGAAATCCGGAGAGTTTAGGTCTCTTGCAGCAACATCAACAGCAAGTTGCAGCGCAGCAGCATGCACAAGCACAAGCGCAGGCACAGGCACAGGCACAGGCACAGGCACAGGCACAGGCACAGGCACAGGCACAGGCACAGGCACAGGCACAGGCACAGGCACAGGCACAACATCAACATGCTGCCCAGCAGCAGGCTCAGCAACAAGCGCAGCAGCAGCAAAACATGATTCCCGGGTCGCTGATGTCATCTCAACAGGGTACACGCCCCCCTTCGACTATGAGCATGGGTCTTGAACAGGCAGCGTATGGGAGTGCATCGGGATTGGGAACGGCTCCTTGGGCGGCAGCTTTAGCGAATGCATATGGGCAACCAGGGACACCGGCAAGCGCACATACCTTAACCCCTACGTGGTTTGCGTTGCAGCAAGCCCATGGCCAGCAGAGCGCCGGTACGCCAGGAGGGTTTGATGGCATGTGGGCAGGGACCCCAATAGCGGGCATGCCAGCACATTGGGGTGGCAACTTTGGCACATGATGATTATGATGATGATAGCGCTGGCGTAAGGATATCAAGGAATCTTTTTTTCTTCTAATTGCGGTTACGATTTTATGCCCTGATGAGGTGTCTTTATATTATGAGGTGTTGTTCGTTTGGCTTTGTTTATTTATATTTAGGCTGCCTTTTTATTTTGCGTTTCGATTTTATTTACTTCTAGTTTGGGCTGGGTTCGCTGTGTATTTTTTTTCTTCTGCTCTTCCTATTCCACTTGGGATCTGTTTGATATATCTTGACCGTCTCTTGAAAAATTTCCTTTTATTTTACTGAATTTACGGAGTGTATGCATTAAAGATCTACTAGGGAGCAACATGAAGGATTTGTATTTGGGTTTCCGACAACAAAAAATCAACGAAAAAATTGCCTGGACTGGCTGGCTGGCTGGTATGGCTGGCTGGCTGGTATGGAGTCGTATTTGGTATCGTACGGTATTATGGGAGGGCTGGAGTTGCAGCATATTTTTTCTTGTTCTTTAACCATTTTTTGTGTAGTACTGGTACTCTATTCTTTGTTTCTTATCCCCCATTTTCTTGTATCTTTCCTTGAGGACGTTATGATAGGTGGTGATCTTTATTTAGTTTGGACTACCTGGTGTGGTTTGTTAATTGCAATGTTCTTGAAATATATGCTGTTGGGTTTTTACCTGCATGTGCTGGTTTTTGTGCTTTTGTGCTTTTGTGCTTTGGTGTCGGTCAAGTGTCATTCGGATCCTTATTGATGTTAGTGACCGCTACTCCACATATAAAACAGGCAAACACCATACCATCAACAACTCTACAACCGACCCATCCCCATCACCACCACTCACCCTCTCACCCACCCATCAATGTATCGCCCGCACCATCTCATCCATATGATGCTGCAACTCCGTAATTGCCTGCCCCAAGTGAGATACCGCCTCCCTCGTACAATTATCCAAGAGCGTCGCCTTCTTTAGTACTGCGCGGCTCTCAAACCTGATCATCTTGATCTTCTCGAACCTGCTGATGATCACCGCCAAATAGAGCTCCAGCCGCTCTGCAGAAGTGGAGTTTATAACCGTGGGCCAGAGGATGACGAAGAGGTCGTCGATGTTCATGGATAGCTCGGTGGTGACGGTTTGGAGCTCTTCTTCGAGCTCGACGAATTGGATGCGGGGGCATGGGGGACTGGTGTAGGATTTCCAGGCGGCGTTGACGCGCTCTTCGACGGCGTGGGTGTCTCTGGTAGGGCGGAGGGGGGTGTTCAACATGATGGGAGGTTTGTATGTTTGGGAGATTTGTATTTAGGTTTGAAGTTTGGCGGTTTGAGGTTTGGGTGGGGCTTTTGGGCTGTGGCTTGAGGCAGGGGGGCTTTTGGGTTTTATTAATGTCTGGATAGATTAGGTACAATCGGGGCCAACACGGCCCCAAGCCCTGAAGAATGAACAAACCAACTGAGAACATCTAGAAATGTTTCTACCAGCTTCATATTTCATTTATCACTACTCGGGCGTTCATTAAATGGTCGGATATCGTTGCAACCAAATCCCTACTAAGAATTCCGACCATTTAATGAACGCATGGGTATATCTATGGTAAAATGTTCAAAATAACAAGACGAGTGATGGTGTGTGATCTAGGCTCACAAGTCCTTCTTTTCCTTCCCAATCTCTACAACATCTTCTTCCTCCTCGTCACCAACTTCGCTATTCTTTTTTGATTTCTTCTCTGCGTCCTTCAATAACTTTAATACCTTCTCTCCTCCTGCCTCATCATTCGTCTCATCCCACTTGACATCGTACTGATCCGCGATGTTTCTGATTTCCCGCCGTAATGATCGCGCGTCACTTATCAACTCTTCCCAGCGGTCTATATCGAACCCGCGTTCTGTATAGAGCTTCATTTGCCGTGAATTTACTGTCATGTGTAACAGGGCTCGGTATGACACCTCCCGTCTATAGTACAGGAACCAACCATAACCAAGTATCACTAGGAATATTCTACACCACCCGGTCAGTTTTATCACCAATAGAGAGATGAAAGATTACAATACCCAGCCAAATAAGTAACGGGCTCCATGAAATCCCATCCTAGATGCGTCCCAAACGTCAACCAACAAACACCCCCCCACCAACTCATCAATACCGCAAAACCTCCCATCGATAATCTCTGTGCGCTCCTGTGTGCCAGTTTATCACACTCGTCCTTCAATTTCTTCTCGGCGGCTATCTTCCTCGTTATTTCCATCAGCTTCTGGCGCTGATAATGCGTACGCTGATGAAAGCTCGGCACGCCCACTGCAACGCTCTCATTTTTCTCGACCTCAATAATGAACTCCTTCCCGCGCGCTGCATCCCTAACAAAGTCACCCAGTTCCGTACTGGTAGACCACCGAACCAGCCCTCCCTCCCCTGATTTCGGCTCTGTAGAGAGCTTCCCTAGACCGCCTCCAGTCTCGACCCCACCCTCACCCTCGCCGCCACGCAGAAACCTTTCGGCTTTGCTTGCGTGCCCCTCACTGTCTCGCTCGGACATGAGGGTGTCCCCGACGTTAACAGCCTTGAATGCGATCTCGGGAGGGCGAGCCGGCCCCCCATCCCCCGGTCTGATGGGCGGTAGCTCGGATTGTATAAGACGTTCAAGGTAGGACAGCGGTTGTCGCGGGTGCACTAGTAGTGCAAGTGGCTCTACGGGTCGGTTTTGCTGCTTTGCATTGTTGATACTCTTGAGTGGTAGGAGAAGCTTGAAGAGGCGTGAAGGCGTTGATAGAAGCTTTCCTGGAGATATTTTGTTAGACAGAATTGCCTACTTGGTAGAAAAACACTAACCTTTCTCTTTGACATCGCTGCTGGGTTTATCCTGCTTGTGGACAGGAGGTGCAGAGACATTTTCATAATGCCATGGCACAGGTTCAGCGTTGGCGAGAGATTCGCCTTTCCTTACACCACCTTTGTCATCACCATCTCTCTCCTTATAAGCTTTATCCACACCACCCCTGTGGTAATCATCATAATGTTTCTTGTTATAATCTTCCTTCACACCACCTTTCTCGTCGTCGTCATATCTCTTATAAGCTTTCCTCCGGTCATCCGAATCTTTGTGGAACCGTAAAGTTGTCGAGAAAGCACGGATACCGGGTTTTATTGAGTTCGCAGGTAAGGTAGGTACTATCAGTGATCGCGACGCATGTTTCAGCGTGAGAGTACGAGTGGTATTCCTAAGTAAGACAATCGACATCTTTTTCTTTGTCCAAAAAGAAGATGATCAGGGGAAGCTTCCTGATGATAAATAGACGCAGCAGAGCGCAACATCATGGATTAACTGAGCGATATACAGCGCTGCAGGAGCTTGATTGCTGGCTTTACTTGTTTACTGACGTCAGAGGCTCAAAATCACGTGATTCAGTTCTCTTTACCCGTTTGGCTAAGCATGGATCTATCGGTAATGATCGAGGGCGCATTAAATTGCTACTGGCGGGAATCCAGTAGCTAGGATTCACCACAAGCTACAGCTTCGTGTTCCATCGGCGAATTGGTTTACTAGCGAACAAGAACCGGTCCCCAATACACGTCTTATTACTAGTTCCTATTAGCCGTTGGATAATAAACTCATCATTGAATCGGATATTTGGCCACAATAGACAGGTTTTGCAACGAAGTGCGTACTAGGACAGGGGTGACATACGGTTCGCTCGAGTTTGGCAAAAGTGAATACTTTGACGAGGTTTTGCAAAAAGTGTAGAGTAGTGACGCCACTAAATTAAATTTGCGCTAGTGAAATATAAAAAAATTATTTTCTTTGACTTCACAATCTATCAACATCGCACACATGCAGTCTTCTCAGTCCCTTCCACCTATAGGTGTTTTTTATAATCAATGTGTAAGTATCAATTCCTGTTACAAGCACTATTGCTAACATCTATACAGCCAGTGGACAGTTTTCGGAACTCTGCCGAGATGAACGCCGAGAGTTCCGCTCTTCATACACAATCATCCAGCTCCCAAGCTGTACAGAGTCTTGAAGACATTGCTACTGTTCGGAACTCTGCCGAGATGCGCGCCGAAATGCGCGCCAATGTTCCTCCTTTACAGATACAGCAATCCGCTACACAGCTATCTACTCTTCAGAACTTCACAACCTTCCGGAACTCTGCCGAGATGCGCGCCGAGATGCGCGCCGAGAGTAACAATCCTCACCCAGCTGCTATCCAAAATGCGGGCTTTCAGAACTCCAATGTGTTCCGGAACTCTGCCGAGATATGCGCCGAGCAACCCGGAAAGAATTCTGCTTTTGTAAAGCAGGTAGGAACTTTAGAGGTGCACTCAGGTGAACCACCGGTGCCTGTGGTTGATGTTTTGAATGCCTTGATAGCAAAGCAGACAGCGGCAGGTACGGCTTCAGACTTGATTCCTGCTCGAGCATTGGGGTTAGATGACTTGTCCAACCTGGGAATTATCTCTAACTTGATTGCCTACCTTGACTCTCAAGCACCTCGTCAGACCAATGGCAGGAAAATGCGGGTGGAAATTACAAAAGCAGATGACAAGGCTGAGCTCGTTAAGCTTTGTCATGAACACTTTGATGTTTATGCAACCAACGGAGCCAAGGCAAAGTTTTTTGACTTGATGAGGATCAAGTTTTGGGTCGCGACGGGTGGTAGATTGGATGTGAATGTAAAGGGTTACATGGAACGATGGGAAGACAAGAGGAGGCAGGAGATAGCGGAAGATATGGTGAAGAGTGGGGTAGCAAGGGTTTATGGGGAATGGGAGGTGGCGATTGACATGTGGATTGCAGCCGTTGATGATTTGAAAACAGCGAGAGGATTGCAGAGAGATAATAGAAGCTCAGAGGCCGCTGCTGCTGAGGAGGAAAAAAGCAAATTGGAGGAGGTTAGAGAGGATATGGCAAAGACCCTAGCTGGTGAGAAAAGAGAAAGGGAGGAAAGCAGTGAAGGCAATGGCGGTAAAAGACATTTGACGGAAAAAATGCTCGAGGAGTTTAAGAGAAGTGATACGGAAATGATGGAATACCTGGCTAGGAACGATACAAGAAGACTTGATAGATGGGAATCAATACTATCACCGGTCTTGAGTAGCTTTTCTACGAGCAGCAATGCAAATCAGAATATTGCACGGCGTCTTGACTTATTGGAGGAGGAGAATAAATCAAGAGACGCAAGACTATCAGAGAATTCTAAGGACTTAAAGGAAATCTTGGAATTGGTTAAGGCGATGCGCAATAACAGTTGAATGTAAATAGATATACTACTCATGTAAATACTCTTCTATTGACGGGGGTAAACAATCAAAGTAAAAGGATATGTTCGAGCCATAATAACAAGTATGACGGTTTGTCAAGAAAACAGCTGTGAGATAATATGCGGCTACAGGTGAAAGTCCCATCTTCATCCCCATTTTATGCCCGACATAACCAAAATACTGCAGTACCTTCCCAAACGACCACTCAACACATATCCTTAACCGGGACATTTCAGTATTAAATGTCTTTTGCCTGTGTGTCAACGGAACACCAGGCAGAGCCTTATATGTCCCCATTATACCACGTTGCCGCCGATAAGCACCATCACCATATAGGAACACCTCTTCCCCGTTTAGATTGACAGAGTGAACATTCAAAACTGCTTGCAACCCAGAGAGTCTCCATATACCCCAATCACTATTCCGTCCTTCAAATGGCCCAGCAATACTTCGTATCATCCCATCTGTTGTTGTTACACCTTGAAATTGCATCGTATGCGATTTTTATAACCCGTATAAAACCAAGCTTGATCTGCGACTGTAGGTGTTGGACGGCAAATTGTACGATGTGTACCATCAATAAAACCCCATACCTTGCCCCCTGGACGACCTTTTGCTTCAATGGCAGCGCAGTATCGGGTAAGAGCAGCTGGCGTAAGTTGACTACAATTCCAAAACAATTTCGCCTGGTAACGATCGTAGATATGGATGCAAACATCATTAAAAATGATGCTGAGATAGGATTTGCTGTGCCCGAATATCTCCAGCGCCTGTTTGAGTCGAGAAGGGTAGGATAATCTATAGAGGGTGATTGCAAGGGCAGTCGTTGGTGCTGCATAGTACCGTGATCTGTATTTTTCAGGTATTTCAAGCAGTCCCGCTAACTGATTGATTTGATGTTTATTGAACCTCAAAAACTCTATGCACCAAATATCTGTCCGAGTTTCTATACTGAAATTTGAGGGCGTATATGTGAGTTGGGGTTGTTGAGGCCGTATGCTGTTTAATTGTCCCAAATGGCAAAGCGAAAGAAATTTTTTTCTTCGGATTTCTCGCGTAACCATCCCTTCTCCAAAGGCTATCCCGGCCTCCTCTTCCGCAAAGATGGAAACAATCAAAATCAACAGAGGCGAAACGGCGAAACGAAACGGCGAAACGAAACGAGAGCGCTGAATAGTTCTAAGATTTCTCCTGCAGAATCGCCAGGCGGGAACCACAGTCTACAGAAACCCATCATGATCTATGAGGTCTAGCTGGCCAATCACAGCTTTTGTTTACCTTGTCTACTTCATATTTAATGCTACACTAAATCTGCATTAATTTAATGCAGATTTAGCTTGCATTTCCCTCGAGCTTTCCTAAATTTGTAAATATTGTTCATTATCCCTACAATTACTGTGGTAACGGCACTAAATGGTAATGCGCGCTCCGTTGCAAAGCCTGTCTAATCCCGGGTTGTGTACGCATGCAGTTTCGTGATAATAAGGACACACTATCACTAATTGCCCAGAACCATATACTTATATCAAACTTTATATACATGTTGTAATATTAGGAAGATAAGTACTAACTACATGTAGAGAAAAGAAGAGAAAACTTACAACGTCACGCAACAGATTCAGTAGTTATTTTATCTACATCACAACTCCTTTCAACAATACATTCCTGACTCTTCAGACGTCTGGCACCATCTGAAGACCTGACCCCAGCAAAGCTGACGAAGTTATTCTTCTCTGGATCTGATTCAAGTATCTGATCAATATCAGTAGTCTCTCGTCTTCGACTCGGAGGGTCTATAAAAAGCGGCGCTATGTTTGGTACTTCCTCGGACGGTATCCTTCTACGGCCCATATCAACAAAGACTATTCTCAAGGCTGGCATAGAAGCTGCTATCAGCGCAATATTTAGCTCGATCACCGACAAGGTGTTTATCTTCCCAGATTGCACTTCTGTTTGTCAGTCTACGATCAACCAATAAGCACTACAAGATCCCAGAGCGTACACATTACTTGCACCGTCCAATCCAACTTAGCCAGCGAATAAAGCCTGACGATCGATACTGCCACCGGCATCGCCCTAATGATAAATATTGCTGCTAACCCCATCCTCCGCCGAATTGAGGTATGTATAGCAATTATCGCCGGTATGGGAAGGATGTATATAATCATATCTGTGATAATATGGAAAATCGACACGAGTATAGTATTCAGCTCAATACTGATACATCTGATAGGAGTATCTAACGGTGTCCAGGAACCGGGGACTGGACTGCATTGAAAGATGTTTAACTTTGTACTGCGGGTCAGTGCGAGGCCCTATGGTAGTGGTGATGGATATTAGTTGATCATACCACTATGCAGATAACAGATCCTATTACAACTATACCCATGACGGTGTACGTTGTGACTTTGTAGTATCTACGTACTGATAAACGGAGATAGAACGATAGAATACTGATTTTGACGAGACTGTTTGGGTCAATATCGTTATCCGATAATCGTTATAGCGAGGTTCTACATACCACATTGCAGTAACATATACAAAGTTGCATGCGTAGAGCCCCTATATTCGCCTCAAAAAATTAGTATCGACTGAATATTAACCCCTTGTGCCGTCATATTAAAAAACGCATATAACATATATACTTTCAGAAGTTTATTGAGCATCATCGGTGAGATTTTCGCATCATGTAACCCCGCCCCAAGGCAAACTTGTACCAAACTAGCGGCCTCAAAAAATAATATCCATACCTAGTTCCCAATATATCAGCGTCACAAAAGAAGCGCTCAATTAACCCAAACAATAACTCACATACGCCGCGGTCATAAACCAATCATCGATTCCAAATCTTTTCAATTTGAACGCCCTCGCATAGATCCTATCACACTCGTCAGCAGTACTCTTTTAAACAGAAGACATTCGCAACTATACCTCAAGCCAAAAACCACGGATGATATTGTTGTCAGTACCACAACACTAATGATAACTTTCTTCTGGCAGTATGTTAACGGGTACATTTCTAAGAGGGCGGAATCTGAAGCCGACGATTAGAAAAGTTGGACGCCAGAGGAGTCCGTTATCTATCCGTATATATCGCGAGCTGTTGTCGCCGCTTCTTGCTGTCTTAAGAACTCCCTGATCTTTCCTTAATCTAAGGACTGGACATGGTAAGTTGCAGCTCTAATTAATAAATTAATTAACTGCGAGTGGCGGATTCTTCCTATAAAGGGGACTAAAACAAAGAAATATTGACATGGGTAGAAGCTGCAGAATATTTGGAAGACGAAAGTATGATTTGACCGGATAACGTTCTAGATCATTGACACGCACATGCAAACAGATACGAAACGCCAAAACCACAGCTACATGTATAATACCAGACAAACCGGGACACAATAACATGTACTGTACTAATAGGTAGTTGATGAAAATGCGGGGTTGCAGTGGCACCCTACCCGAAATACCGCTGTAGCAATACCGCCGTCTGAATATCCTACTTTTTCTCTGCTATTGGAATGGCCATGGTAGTTCGCCCTTTACCGGAAGCCCCGGATAACTAAATTCGAACAGACTTGCGCTATTGGAATTCCAGGCCGACTAGTAATTGATTGTTCCCATTTTATTCGGAATGGCAGGAAAGTATCTTAAGGTCAATACATTCAGGTAAAGGTCCCCAAAACCTGGTCCCCGGGGAATGTAGTGCATGCCGTGTGTCTCCGACAGCGAAGAGGTTGAAGGATGAGTGTCTAAGACACTACTTATATCTGAGACTCCCGGATTAGGAATTTCGAGACAAACGACCTATGTAGAAATTGCAATCAGAGTGTGTGACTGACTGTTGAAGTGTATGGCCAAGGGTCTTGACTCTATTGTACCGGGTGTTGAGGGTAAGTGATCAGAATCTGATAAGTAAATGCTGTGGTGAATACGTGTGTTTGTCTTATCAGATTCTGGTCACTTTTCGCTACACCCTAGTACGAAGTAAAGGTTTGTAGACACAGGCCCTGGATCTAGATCTGTTCACTCAATCAGGCCAATCCCTTGTAAATGACACAAACCTTAACTCAGTATGGATCGGATCCGGAGATGAGAAGCAACTTAAAGTTGATTAGTCACTTTCGATACGTTTTTCTTGCCCCTCGTTAGAATGGGCTCCCGTCCCTTGTGTTAAACATTGCATGAACTTTATCTTTCGACGTCAAGGCTACCAAGCGTCCCCCACGATACTTAGGGATGTATAACAAATGATTTAGGGCGCAAGTGTGGCGTAAGCACAATAACAAATGAATGTATGTGTGAACAGCGATATCTAGAGGAAGTGCTTAAGATGCATGTACGAGTCGTGTTACCAGTAAGTGAGCAAGTGTGGAAATTGTGACTTCTCGACAGAGTTCTCTGGACGTATAGACCAGTGTGTATGTGTATGCGCATATGTGAGACTCCTCCAACCCAGACCAGCTAACATCTAGGCTTCCCGCAGCTCGCCTAGTCTAGTATCTGCAAGTCACATGTAAATACATGTATCTAATCACCAATATTACTGTGTTCATTGCTTCTTCTTCTTCTTCTTCTTCTTCTTCTTCTTCTTCTTCTTCTTCTTCTTCTTCTTCTTCTTCTTCTTCTTCTCTTCTTCTCCACACACAAATCCCTACAATCACCATCATATCACTAATCTCTAGCTAGAGTATATAGCTGCATCCGCAACAGCCCCCTCCCTTCATAATATCACAGCGTTGATATTGTAAGCGGACTTTTAAAGTCCTCATGACCGAAAGAATGCGACATATTGATTCGCTGTCTAAAGATGGCCAGCTAGCTACTACGATATCACATTTGGAAGCTCTGGCCTCATCACAGTCTCATATTTGGTTCGTTCCCCTCATATTCATTTGATTCGTTCAATGGTTTTTGTATTAACCCACCCGCTCCAAATCCACCGTCAAGCTTTGATACATTTACTGATGCAGTCCATACATGCAATTACTAGAGCA